TAGATGTTTGTCTTCTGTTTCCTACAGAAGACTTAGCTTGAGTTCCATGTTTTGGAACAAGTTTTGGAGAAGTTGACCTCATGAACTTGATTGAGCTCCTTCACAGAAAGTGCCTCAGAAGTAGACTGACTCTGACCAAAATCCCCTCCCAAAAGGGGACATTTTAAATGGGATGAAGGGACGCGGTGGCTCAGTGGCTAAGATGCCGAGCTTGTCGATCGAAAGGTCGGCAGTTCAGCTGTTCGAATCCCTAGCGCTGCGTAACGGGGTGAGCTCCCGTTCCTTGTCCCAGCTTCTGCCAACGTAGCAGTTCGAAAGCACATTAAAAAAAAATGCAAGTAGGAAAATAGGGACCCCCTTTGGTGGGAAGGGAACAGCATTCCGTGCGCCTTTGGCGTTGAGTCATGCCGGCCACATGACCACGGAGACGTCTTCGGACAGCACTGGCTCTTCGGCTTTGAAAGGGAGATGAGCACCGCCCCCTAGAGTCAGGAACGACTAGCACATATGTGCGAGGGGAACCTTTACCTTTACCTTTTTAAAGATCTCAGGGAGAGTTGGTTTACAGGTGATCCTCGACTTACGACCACAACTGAGCCCAAAATTTCTGTTTTACTAAGGGAGACATTTGCTGAAAGAATTTGGCCCCATTTTAGAGCCTCCCTTGCAACATTTGTTAAGTGAATCCCTGGCAGTTGTTAAGTTAGGCACAGGATGGTTAAGTGAATTTGGCATCCTCGTTTACTTCGCTCGTCAGAAGGTCGCAAAAGGGGGGAAATCACACAACCCCGGGACACTGGGACCGTCATAAATATGAGTCGGTTGCCAAAGTGTCTGGATTTTGATCATGTGACCACGGGGATGCCCCCCAACAGTTGTGCGAAAAACTATCGTAAGTCACTTTTTTCAGTGCCGTTGTAACTTGGAACGGTCACTAAACAAACTGTCGTTAGTCAAGGACCACCTGTATTTGCGTTATTTAGGTACTGCCCGTTCCTGAAGGCTCTGGAGAAGACTCTCCAAGTTATCTAGAATTATTTTCCAGCAGTGTCCAGAGCAGCCTTTCAATGCAGAAAAAAACATAAGAATTTGTTTCTTGTGATTATAAGTTGAATTTATGATTATAAGTTGAAAAGCGTCACTTCTCCTTTAGCTCTGCCAGCTGCTCACTTTGTTTGAAATGGGGAAACGGTTGGGAACAAAACGGTACGGTATTTTCAGCCTATAGCTTCTCATTAAGAGAGGCGGCTCAGCGCTGTGGGTGTGAATGCCCGTTCTTATTTTTTAACATATATTAAGCGAGATGGAAGTTTTTAGACTTTTCAATAATGTGTGTGTCTTCTCGCAGTCTTCCTGAGTTGAGTAGCCATGGATGGTCTCTCTATTTTGGAGCCTAACCAGCCTATCCGATGATTAAATTAATTCCTTTTCTGCACTTGCACACCCAGACAGTGGCCGAAATTGTCTAGATGGCAAAGAAAAAAAAACCAAGAATGAAACTATTCAAGCTTTTAGCGCATTGTGTGAATCCAGTTGGTCTGACTTTGGTGGGGTATAAGCCTGGGCATGAAGTTAAAATGTTCATGAGCATTGCCAGAGGTGGCATTCAGCCGGTTCGGGCGAATCGGTAGTAGCGACCTGCCCCTGTGCTATACCGACTCTATTTAGCCACGTTTTCAAGCAGTATTCATGCGTGGAAGCCGCGTGTGTGAGCAAAACACATGCACGGAAGGCCATGCGCGGGGCATGTGTTCACATTTTCGATGCTGGGCGAACCGGTAGTTAACTTATGTGAATCCCACCTCTGATTGTGTTGCGTATACATGCACGCGTGTTGGTCCAGATTCCAGAATCTGAAATGCAAGATTCTTCCTGACATTCTTTCTGAAAGATTCCTTATGTCTCCCATCAAACTCACAACTCCCTTCCTTTTCCATTGCGGAGAGATTGCATTCCATTGGAATTTTTTTTTTTTAATTCTAATTTTGCAGAGAAACGTATTTGCCTGAGAATAATTCTGATTTATCTTCTGCATGGCGGCTTTTCAAATAGCTTTCCCTTTTTTTAGAAAAAAAAAGAAATCTGGTGTCTCCTGGTGTTTGGGTGCTTTTTAAAATCTGTTTACATTTGTACGACCAGGAAATGGATGGTAATGAGTTGTTGTTTTTTTTTGAAACCTGTGAGAATCAGGAATGATGATCCTGTGTTAAGAGAAGGGCTGCTTCCCCAGTTCTGGGTTCAACTCCTACCCTGTTTCCCCAAAAATAAGACCCAACCAGAAAATAAGCCCTAGCATGATTTTTCAGGATGCTCGTAATATAAGCCCTACCCCAAAAATAAGCCCCAGTTAAGATTGTCAGCAGATGGAGGTGTTTATTACCGTATTCCCCCCCCCCAAAATAAGCCCTAACCAGAAAATAAGCCCTAATGCATCTTTTGGAACAAAAGTTAATATAAGACCCAGTCTTATTTTGGGGAAAACATGGTAGTATTTCTCCATAGGGCTGGGGAAGATTTTGTTTGTTTGTTTGTTTCCTAAAGAATTGCTGGAATTCAAATCAGGATTGAAATATTAGTCTAGGATTGAAATCCTCGTCTAGTTCTCCTGCGTCTTAAAGAGGCTCTTGGTTTAATATGATGAGGACTAGAATCTTGTTTTGTGTTTAAGGGTCATCCCTCCGTAAAACTTTTGCAAGCTGGTAACGGGGCTTGGGGGGGGGAAGTCTGCAGAAATTAAGTCAAGTTGGTAAAAGAAAGTGCTGCTTTCAGTGGTTTTGTCTGGTTCCAGTTCCGTGGGTCGTTCACCTAATGGAGATCCTCCTGTGTCTTTATATCATTTTTTGGGCAGGTCTGCTTTCACAGTGAATGGGAATCTTCTGCGTAGTAGATTATAAAAGTCTGTGTTGAATTATAACTTGTTGTTGAGTTGATGGCTCAGGGTTAGGAACTTCCCTTGTTTCGTAAGCCGGAGAATCCAGAGACGTTGAAAACGGTTTCAAGCCACCCAGGGCATGCCGGAAAAGTAAATTAAAAATAACTTTTTGCGATGGGACCTGAATTTTTTCCCTTTTCAACCAGTGGTGGGTTTCAAAAATTTTCGTTACCGGTTCGGTGGGCGTGGCTAGGTGGGAAGGGGGCATATGACTGAATGGGCGTGGCCAACTTGACATCACTCACACCCACTCAGTCACATGATCCCCCCACACCTAGCTACGCCCACAGGAAAAGGTAGGAAAAATATGGGAATTTCCACCTATCTACCCCCACCCTCCCTTCGCCAATCGCCCCCGTTCCCCTCCTGTAGTGAAGGAGCTTCCTCTACCACCACCGCCTCTTTGTTCGGGCTGCTTACCTTCCGTGGCGGCTAGTTCAGAGTCCAGAAGGCAAGCTGACCGGAGTTTTCGGCGGCCCCCAGCCAGCCGCCGCTGATGGAAAGCGGCTGGCAAAGAAGACTCTTTGAGAGCCGCTTTGCAGCTGTGGCGGCTGGCCGCAGGCTGCCAGAAAGTACCGCCGGAAAATCTGCTGCTGCCGTCGCCGCCATGTTCTTCGCGCATGCGCACCCCATTGGACTTGCAAGGCAATGGGATATGTGTGTGCGATGAACATGACGGCCGGGCTGAGTGAGCGGTGACTGGGGGGACCAGATCAGGGGTGTGGCCGGCCAGCCATCGTTACCGGTTCAGCAACCGACGACAAATCATCGCTACCGGTTCTCCCAAACCAGTGCGAACCGTAGCAACCCACCACTGTTTCCATCCCTTGAATTTTCGAGAGATGGAAACCTTGTGGGATAGCCTCTTGATGCCACAAGTTCTTCCTCCAGGTGCCTTAAATACAACAGACACTACCGTACTTCCACCTTGGCCTGTTCTCACAAGCGTCGAGACCAGCTATGCAAAACCGCCACAGATCTCGGAGAAAACCTGGTCCCGTGCTAATCTGCTGGGGAAGTCCCATTTATTCTGGCGTGGTTAGCTGGCTGAGCTGTGAAGTCAAACTGAGGCTAAATTCAACAAGCGTAGCCTCAGCCACCCAATTCTATCTACATTGCCACGATCCAGGGGAGTTATTCGGACCAGACCTCAACTTCCCATCGCTTTCTGTAGCTGCTGGGTCTCGCTCTCCCACCCCCTGGGAAAGTTGCCGGCATTGAGCAGGTTGTTAGATCCACTCAGATCCAGTCCTGAGGTTTGGCATCTTGGTTTTGTTTTGTGTGTTTTCTCCTCTCTTGGCAATTTAAACTTCCTCCTCGTTCTCTCATTTCTCTGCTCCTTCGAAACAATTCACAACGAAGACAAGGGCGCAAAGCGGAGCCGATTGTGGTCAGGCAGGCCAGACCGTCGGAGAGAGACAAAGACAAGGGGTTAATATTTGTTGACTCGCCCGAACCGCACGCAATCCGTGTCCTTCGTTTCTTCGCCTCTGAGTCAATTGTGGTTTAACTCGGTTTCTCCCCCCCCAACCCCCCCCTTCTTCACCCGAACTCCCCAATCTGCCACAGCACTCCTGGGGCATCCATGAAGGAGCTTCTTCTTCTTATAAATTGATTGATGAACTGGTTCGGGCTCTGCCACTTTACCCGTTCCAGCTGCCTCTTTTCTAATCCCTGCGCTTTTGCAGATTTGCAAGAAAAGAAAATTTAAAAAAAATCACCTACACCTGCTCAAGAGAGCCGAAGCTGACCAACCTCGCAACAAGACAAAAAAAAAAAAAAGAGAAGGAACGCTACTGACTCAGTCTTTGTCCTGAAAACACGCACACATACATACCTCCTTCCCTCCGTGCCAGGTGACAAGTCAGGCCTTCCCGTGGTTTGGAAGGGTTAAAGGCAGGGTTATTCAACTTCGGACTTGCATCACTCGTTTTTTTTTTTTTTTATCACCAGGTTAGAGCAGCTGAGACGTGGAGTGCTCCTCCTCCTTCTCCTCCTCCTCCTCCTCCTCGGGGTTTGTACAATATAATAATGTGTGCTGAGATTAATCCACTGGCCAAGGAGGCTCCGAGCGTTTCTAGACTCGAAAAAGCCGAGCGTGAAACATCCAGGGGGGAAACAAAACCGCCACCAAGAACGAGAGGCATTAGAGCAGCTGAGCGATTCGACTTCCCGGCACTCTTTTCTTTCAGTTTTGGATTTATCTGGCTGATTTTTTAAAATCCACCCGCATTTAACTTCTCCAAATTATTTTCTTTTCCTCCTTAAGAATCCCAGGCTGTCCGTTTTGAGTAGGCAGTAGCGGGCCGTGCCGTCTCTCTGCTTTTAATCTCCCATATGAAGATTAATATGAAGCTGGGGACAGTTGTGGTTTGTTAAGATGCAGAGACGCATCGGAGGTTGATTAAAACTTGTATGTAAACCGCTCTTCGTGCGACAAAAAGTTGGAGGAAGCATAAGGATTTATTTTTTTTTTAATGCTTAACACCGAGCACTTTTTCTTTTTCTTTTTTTTAATTTTATGATTTGAGAGGTCCTGGATAATTCTTTACGGTGGGTTTTTTTCCCCCCCAGAAAACAGCAATATTTATTATTTTTTGGAGTGGGTGTTTCGAATTGAAGCAGGTCTTTTTTTTTTTTTAAATGGAAGTTGGACTTAATAGCGCCGTGTTTCGTCTGAGGTAGCTGTTTGGCTCCCCAAAGTTGATTTTGAGGCTCGTTTTTGGCCCTTGGGTTCACTGCGTGCCTGGGAGAGAAGGATGAAGATTTTTCAGCACCGTCCGTTCGGTCGGGCAACCTGGAAGTGGTGAGTCTCGGGAGGGAAGGGAAATCGTTGTGAGTTAGAAAACAGTAGAGAAAGTGAAGAGGAAAAGGATTTTGAGAGCTCTGGCTTTTTGGCAGGAAGGAGTTAATTATGGCTTGTCTTCGGAAAAAGTTAGTGGAGTTACTGAAAAGCCGGGTGGATCCATTCGAAATGCTGAATCACCTTTTTCTTGGTTCCACCTTGAAGTAAATAGCAGGTTAGGAGGAAAATACCTTGCAGGGTAAAAGTTCTCCGAAGTACAGGTTCTAATTCCCTTTTCTTTCTTTTCATTATATCCCAGTCTTCCTTCCTTCCTTCCTTCCCTCCCATTATTCTTTCCTTCCTCCCTCCCTCCCCATTATTCCTTCCTTCCTTCCTTCTTTCCCATTATTTTTCCTTCCTCCCCTCTTCCCTTCCTTCCTTTCTATTATTCTTGCTTTCCTCCCTCCCCTTCTCTTCCTTCCTTCCTTCTTTCCCATTATTATTTTCTTCCTCCCTCCCTCCCCTTCTCTTCCTTCCTCCTTCCTTCCTTCTTTCCCATTATTCCTTCCTTCCTTCCTTTCTTCCTTCCCATTATTCTTTCTTTCCTCCCTCCCCTTCTCTTCCTTCCTTCCTTCCTTCTTTCCCATTATTATTTTCTTCCTCCCTCCCTCCCCTCCCCTTCTCTTCCTTCCTTCCTTCCTTCTTTCCCATTATTATTTTCTTCCTCCCTCCCTCCCCTCCCCTTCTCTTCCTTCCTTCCTTCCTTCCTTCCTTCCTTCCTTCCTTCCTTCCTTCCCATTATGCTTTCCTCCCTCCCTCCCCTTCTCTTCCTTCCTTCCTTCTTTCCCATTATTCTTTCCTTCCTTCCCTCCCTCCCTTCCTTCCTTCCTGATTTTTTCTGCTTGGAAGAATATAGGGAGCATGATGTAAAAAGTTAAACAAGTTCAATGTTCCATGTTTTGTTTTTAAAACACAGTGGGATGATGGTTAATTTCTTTCTTTGTTGAGTTTGGGGTGTTGTAGCCTGCCTGTGTCTTCTGTGCAGCTTTAAAGCAGGGTTTTATAATCACCTTTTGGAGGTTACGTAAGGTGGTAGAGGGATGGCTTAGGATTTATCCTGAGTTCATGGCCAAGACCTTCTGGCTTTCTTAGAAACAGAAAAACAAATTTCTATCCAGAGTGGAAGTTTTGCTTGAAGAGAGCACATAGGATTGGCTATTGATTTATTTTATTTTTGAACGCTTCTATCTCCTGCTTTTTACTGATAAAACAGCCTGGGGAAAATATTTGTCTAATATTTTGTAAGTGATAACCTAACTGGAATGATTCTAAATTGCAACATCACATTTAGTTAATTGTTAATATAATACAGGGAGAACTATACTGAGTTAGATTGAAGAATTCTTTAATTCCTGCCCTAGAAATCATGGGTTTAGTTCAGTAGAATTCTTGTGTGAGAGAGAGATAAATAGATCAGATAGACAGATAGATAGATAGATAGATAGATAGATAGATAGATAGATAGATAGACAGACAGACAGACAGACAGACAGACAGACAGACAGACAGACAGATAATGGACAGACAGACAGACAGACAATTTGCCACTGTATAATTAATATATATGTCTAATTGCCACTGCTAGCAAATTTAATTTTCTCTTTTAAAACTGATTGGGTGACCATATTGTAGCATGGAGTTCCCCAGTTTGCAGCCTGCAAAGAAATTGTCACTTTTCTTTTTTTTTTTTAAATATACTTTATTAAATTTTGTCATTAATTGTCACTTTTCATCTCCATTGAATAAGAAACCCAGGCTAATTTCTTTTCTCCACACGCAGAAAGGTTTTAAACAAATATCAAAGATTAAGCATATAATATCTTTCCTCTTAACCTTTGGCTTGTATTCATAAATAACCAGATCCACCCCAGGCTAAACATACTTGCAAAAGAAAAAAGAAAAGAAAAAAGAGAAGATAAGAGGAAAAGAAAAAAGAAAAGAAAAGAAAAGAAAAGAAAAGAAAGAAGAATGCATAAGAATGCAGTTAATTTTAAAATTAAGAACTGCCCCCCCGTTTTTTTTTCTTAATGTGCTAAATGAAACTTTTTGCTAAGTGATAAGAAAACTGGTTTGATAGAAAGCCTGTGCTTGATGGCAAAACATTCACAGCTCTAGGCTGGCCTGCTTCTCAAAAGAGACATCAAAATTGCGTGAGAAAAAGGAGGTTTTTTTTTTTTACCGCTGTGATTTCCCTGTTTATCAGATTGTCAACTGGAACGCAAAGTCCTTGGGAGAATCCTTGCATTGTTACGTTTGCTCCCTTCCCAACAGAATTTACTAAGCCGATCTCAGATTCCTCGGGTCGATCACTTCTAGGCTTGTGGAAGTGTGACAGTTAACACAATCTACCAGCCCTTTTGACAAACCTACAACTTCTAGAGGCAAGATGTTCCACTGATTAATTAACAGAATAAGAGACAAGGGCAAAACTCACTCAACAACTATAAATTTGGCGGTCAATTGCGGTCATAAATTGAGGACTACCTATATCGAAGAGTCTTTGACCATTTCCCACAATTGGGTTGTCTCTCATCTATCAGTTATGGGAATCGGCTACCTCCAGTACAGTTCCTGGCTTCGGAAGAGACAGATTTATTGAGGGATAAGGTAAAGGTAAAGGTTCCCCTCGCGCATATATGCTAGTCGTTCCCGACTCTAGGGGGCGGTGCTCATCTCCGTTTCAAAGCGCTGTCCGAAGACATTTCCGTGGTCATGTGGCCGGCATGACTCAATGCCAAAGGCGCACAGAACGCTGTTACCTTCCCACCAAAGGTGGTCCCTATTTTTCTACTCGCATTTTTTACGAGCTTTCGAACTGCTAGGTTGGCAGAAGCTGGGACAAGTCACGGGAGCTCACCCCTTTACACGCGGCACTACGGATTCGAACCGCTGAACTGCCGAACTTTCGATTGACAAGCTCAGTGTCTTAGCCACTGAGCCATCGCGTCCCTATTGAGGGATACTTATCCTAAAAGCTAGTCTGGGGTTTTATTCTAATATGATATGTTATAGATGTAGAATTGCAAAAAAAAACCTAAACTCAGCTTCCAATGTCTTTGCCTTGGGGATTGGAAGTTAGTAGGAATCTGGCTAATCATTTCACTGGTTTAGATCATCTCTTAAGAGCTGAATTTTAATATATCCCTAACCTTCTTGCTAGGGACGTGGTGGCTCAGTGGCTAAGACGCTGAACTTGTCGATCGAAAGGTCGGCAGCTCAGCGGTTCGAATCCCTAGCGCCGCGTAACGGGGTGAGCTCCCGTGACTTGTCCCAGCTTCTGCCAACCTAGCAGTTCGAAAGCACGTAAAAAATGCAAGTAGAAAAATAGGGACCACCTTTGGTGGGAAGGGAACAGCTTTCCGTGCGCCTATGGCGTTGAGCCATGCCGGCCACATGACCACGGAGACGTCTTCGGACAACGCTAGCTCTTCGGCTTTGAAATAGAGATGAGCACCGCCCCCTAGAGTCAGGAACGACTAGCACATATGTGCGAGGGGAACCTTTACCTTTAACCTTCTTGCTGGGAAGTCTATGGTCAGATCTGAAAGCAGCTAGCCATGTCCTACTTCCTTTATTGCAAGTATTTTAGAGACACGCGCTATAAACTTTATTTCATATCTTTAAAAAAAAAAAGAACCACGAATCTGTCGAGTCCATGCCTAGATTTTCCAAACCAGCATTGACTTCACCACTTGAGCAGGAGGTTGGACTACAAGACCTCCGAGGTCCCTTCCGACTCTTCTTATTCTGTTATTTGTGACAGAGCGGTGTGCCTTTCCCCCCCCCTAAAACATAGCTTATCTCCAGGATTTAAAGGATCACTTAAAACACTCCATCCAAGAGAACAGCAAGCTTCCTTGTCAACATCTCAACCCTAGAAAAGGAGCGAATTTAAATCACGTGTGATTTTTTTTTTTTTAATAACAGCTCCTGGCTTACAATAGCGCTTCTGTCTTTACGCAGCGGCCTGTCAAGAGACGGGCAGCAGAAACGTTCGCGTACCACGGCGTTCGATGCTGCTTCGCCGTCTCTGCTTTAATCGCCTCCAATAAGAGGGAGCCTGTGTCTTCCTTCCTCATTGCTCCACAGTCCACTCCCAAATGTGCTTTGCGTGGGAACGGCGCGTGGGGTTAACCTGTTGGACGACCGGCAATCAGAAAGTTGCAAGAACACCTTCTCTTGTTTGACGCATTTGTCCATTGCATAAGAGCCGGAGACTTTGGCGTGGCACCAACATGGGCGTTTGGCAGCTGGAATATCCCAAGGGGAGTTCATCTGCCTAGGGCAGTGTTTCCCAACCTCTGCAATTTGTATGATGGGTGGACTTCAACTCCCAGAATTCCGCCCGCTGGCAATAGGGCATTGTGGGAGGTGTGTATGGAATCTGGCCAGGATGCCAAAAGTTTGGAAATCACCAGCCGGTCGTCTGAACGCAGTGCGCTCTAAAGGATGGGTGAGCAAACAGATTGAATACGTAAATCAAACGGGGTGGGTTTAAACTCATTTTGTAACTCTTGGGAATTTTTTTTTTTTTTTTTTGCTAAAGGGCCGCTTTGCAGACTTGAACTCGGGGCCCTGTCTAACAAAAGGAAATCCAGCGGTGGGAAAAGTAAGGTTCTACATTGAGGCAGTCAAACAGGAATAATATCGGTGATAACCTGGCTCAATAGTGATGACTGTGAGAGGGATCCCGGAATCCTAGTGGACAATCATTTAAATAGGAGCCAGCCTTGTGCTGCAGCAGCAAAAAAGGCCAACGCAATCCTAGGCTGCAGAAACAGAAGGATCGAATCAAGATCACATGAGACCACTTTAAAATGCCTTGATAAGGCCACAATTGGAATCCTGCATCCAGTTTTGGTCGCCACGATGTAAAAAAAAACTGGAGACTCTAGAAAGAGTGCAGAGAAGAGCCACAAAGAGGATTAGGGGACTGGAGGCTAAAACATATGACGAACGGTTGCAGGAACTGGGGATGTCCAGTTTAATGGAAAGAAGGACCAGGGGAGACATAATAGCAGTCTTGCAATATCTCAGGGGCTGCCCCAAAGAAGAGGGAGTCAAGCTATTCTCCAAAGCACCTGAAGGCAGGACGAGAAGCAACGGGTGGAAACTAATCAAGGAGAGAAGCAACTTAGAATTAAGGAGAAATTTCCTGACTGTGAGAACAATTAATCCGTGGAACAACTTGCCTCCAGAAGTTGTGAATGCTCCAACACTGGAAGTTTTTAAGAAGAGGTTGGCTAACCATTTGTCTGAAGTGGTGTAGGGTTTCCTGCCTAAGCAGGGGGTTGGACTAGAAGACCTCTAAGGTCCCTACCAACTCGGTCATTCTGTCACTCTTTGACCAAAAGGTGTGCCTTTTTCTCTAAAACGTAGCTTATCTCCAAGATTGAAGGTTTCTGTCCTCTTGGAGCAGGACAGGCCCTGCGGACAGATGGAGGACAAAATGCATTAGGCACAAGTTCTTGAACAAATCAGTCGAGAATCTCCCACTGGATAAACTTTTCAAACGCCAAGCGTTCGAGAGCCCTGACTTTCTCTGAATTATTTGCTTTCAGTATTAACAAGAAACAAGGTAGAATGCTGGGAAATTCCTAAATCGGAGCCGAGGGTGCGTGTTTGTACGAGTGACACTCTCATTATATAAAACGTGGAATTTTTTATTTTTTTTTTTTGGTTTTTAAAAAGCCCCAGAGGGACACGTGGTCGTATTCTGGCCTGTAAAAAAAATAAATAAATAAAAATCAGCTGTTTAAAAGCCCTTCCTCCCCTTCGGTGTTCTTTTTTTAAACCCAGCCTAGGAAAATTCACATTTCAATCTATCCTTGGAAAATTCTACTTCTGGTGCCAAAGAAAAACCAGCAGGCAAAGGAGAAACTACGTGTGTGTGTAGTTAATTCCACTGGTTCTTTTTATTTTTATTTTTATTTTTTTGCAACAATTTGAGCGTCCTGGTCTTGTCTGTCATCTGCACCTCTATAACTTTCTGGTTTGGTTCTGCAACCCAACAAGACAGAGACAGACTTCAGAGGATAATTAGAATTGCAGAAAAAACCATGGCTACCAACCTGCCTTCCATGGAGGACCTGTCTACTGCACGAGTCAAAAAGAGGGCTGGGAAAATATTTACAGACCCCTCGCATCCTGGACATCAACTGTCTCAACTCCTACCCTCAAAACGACGCTACACACCAGAACAACTAGACACAAGGACAGTTTTTTCCCCCAAACTCTGCTAAACAAATAATTCCCTCAACACTGTCAAACTATTCACTAAGTCTACATTACTACCCTGTTTCCCCCAAAATAAGACATCCCCTGATAATAAGCCCAATCGGGCTTTTGAGCACTTGGCAATAAGGCCAAGCACTTATTTCAGGGTTCAAAAAAATATAAGACAGGGTCTTATTTTCGGGGAAACACAGTATTACTATTAGTCTTCTCACCGTTACTATCACCCATCTCCTCCCACTTATGACGGCATGACCGTAACTTTGTTGCTGGTATCCTTACGATTTATATTGATATTGATTACTTCCTAGTATGATCTGATTGCTTATTTGTACCCTATGACTATCATTGTGTTGTACCTTATGATTCTTGACAAATGTATCTTGTCTTTTTATGTACACTGAGAGCTTATGCACCAAAGACAAATTCCTTGTGTGTCCAATCACACTTGGCCAATAAAGAATTCTATTCTATTCTATCTATTCTATTCTGCTTTCTTCCCACAGGCATATTCAGGATCCGGCAAGCCAGCGGTTGACATGGAACAAACCCCCGAAAAGTGTCCTTGTGATCAAAAAGATCCGAGACGCCAGTCTTCTGCAGCCCTTCAAAGACCTCTGCATTTATTTGACCGAGGTGAGCTGGATTTCATTCTCTCCTTCTCTCTCTCTGGCTTTTTCCCGTTGGTGCAGAGATATCCCTGGGATCTCGGAAGACCGGAAAATCACATCCAATTTTTGGTCACCGGGATGTAAAAAAAAAAAAAAAAGATAAGTACAGGCTGTCCTCGACTTACAACAGTTCACTTAGTGACGGTTTGAAGTTACGATGGCTGAGAAGCGCTTTTCACAGTTACGACCATTGCAGCCTCCCCGCGGTGGTGTGATTTACATTCGGATGCTTGGCAACTGATTCATATTTATGACGGTTACAGCGTCCCTGCGTCACGCAATCCCTTTTTGCGATGTTCCAACAAGCCAAAGTCAACAGGGAAGCCCGATTCGCTTAACAACCGTGTTGCTAATTTAAGAACAGCAGGGCTTCGCTTAACAAATGTGGCAAGAAATGGCTTAAAATGGACAACTTTCAGAATGCGATGTAACCCTTTCCCCAGTCTTTAAACATAAATCTCGACTGAAAAGTGATATGTTGACTGTTGATAGGCCCGAAGGTGCTTTTTCACCTGGGCTTCCTTGGTTTTTCTTTGACGAAGTTTCGCTTCTCATCTAAGGAATCTCTTCAGAACTGAAGAAGCTTCTTGGACGAGAAGCAAAACGACTTCAAAAGAAAAACAAGGAAGTCCAGTTGCCTTTTGAAAAAGCACCTTTGGGACAACCAGGACCTGGATGACAGAGAATCTCTATAGGCCAGGAGTCAGCAACCTGTGGCTCTGGAGCCGCATGTGGCTCTTTCATCCCTCTGCTGTGGCTCCCTGTTGCTGGTCGGCTCCACAATCAATAGGGCTTTCGGTTAGGACAGGTAGCAGAAAAAGGATGCCGTGCTAGGAAGAAACTCTATGGTGGGGGAACCGGACTTCCGGTCAGCAGAGGAAAAAGGACACCGCGCTAAGAAGAACCGGACTTCCGGCCAGCTCCAGAATTGAATGGGGGCTTCCGGTTAAGACCTTCGTGGCTCTTTGAGTGTTTAAGGTTGCCGACCCCTGCTATAGACGTTGACTGTTGATTCAATTCCCCGATCTCCCGACCGAGAAAGAAATTAACTTACAAACGCCCAGAGGTTCCTTTGCCACCCAAGATGGCAGCTGATAAGGTTTGCGCCTTAATGGGGATGAACCACTCGGGCTCTTGGTTAAAATGCATGGCCTACATACCCGCCATATTAAATAAATCTCATTTTCTAGATTCATTCATTCGGCAAATATCTTTGCTGTTCAATGCCCAAAGAATTCCGCACAGTTCTTTTGCCCGGCTTATTGTTTTTGGAGATTCTCAGTCATTCAGGTCACGATTGTCCCAAAGGTGCTTTTTTTCAAGAGGTGACTGGACTTTCTGGTTTTTTCTTTGAAGATGTTTCTCTTCTCCTCCAAGAAGTTCTTCAGCTCTTTCCCTGGCTTGATTTAACATACCCTGTTTCCCCGAAAATAAGACCTCCCCTGATAATAAGCCCAATCGAGCTTTTGAGCGCATGCATTAAAATAAGCCTCCCCCCCGAAAATAAGCCCTCCCTGAAAATATTTAAATGCAGAGCTGGAAATCAGGTAAGACGCAAAGAGGAGCCCCGTCTTGCTCCACGTGCCCCAAAATAATAAGACCTCCCCGAAAATAAGGCCAAGCGCTTATTTCGGGGTTCAAAAATATATAAGACATTGTCTTATTTTCAGGGAAACACGGTACTTAATTAACCAGCGTTGAAACTATGCTCGGCAAGCTATGGTGAACACAGCCAGCAATTCTTTGATTGACCTGGTTCAGTGGAACCGTTGAAGATCACTGAAGAGTTTTTTTGTTGCTGTTGTTGTTGACTTGTTTATGTTGACTTGTTCCAGGTGAACAACATGCTGGTTTACGTGGAGAAGAAAATCCTAGAAGATCCAGCCATCATGAACGATGAGAGTTTTGCGTCGGTGAAGAAGCGGTTTTGCACTTTCAGTGAAGGTATTTAGGAGCTTCCAGGTGGATCAAAAGGACTGGTGCACCTCTTCCCACCTAGTATCCTGTTTTCCCGAAAATAAGATCCAACCGGAAAATAAGCCCTAGCATGATTTTTTCAGGATGCTCGTAATATAAACCCTACCCCAAAAATAAGCCCTAGTTAAGATTGTCAGATGGATGCTTTAGTACCGTGTTTTCCTCAAAAATAAGACCCAACCAGAAAATAAGCCCTAGTATCATTTTTCAGGATGCTCGTAATATAAGCCCTACCCCAAAATAAGCCCCAGTTAAGATTGTTAGCCAGATGGATGCATTTAGTACCGTATTTCCCCCAAAATAAGACCTAGCCATAAAATAAGCCCTAATGAGTCTTTTGGAGCAAAAATTAATATAAGATCCAGTCTTATTTTCGGGGAAACACAGTAGGAAGTCTACGGAAACGAAAAATCAGAAAGATAGTAAGGGTGGTCCTCAGCTTACGGCCGGTTGCTTACGACGGGCCCGCAAAAGGCTACTTACAACTTGGTTCAAAGATCCTATGTTGGCCACACTTGAGGCACTGGACAACCAGCCCATCTCTATAATGGTGGGCTGGTTGCAATGCCGTGCAGTCATGTGACCACAATTCGTGATGGTATTGCAGGAAATTGGCGGAGTGGTGTGGTGGCCTAGAGGTGGAGCTCTGGCCTCACAATCAGGAGGGCCGTGAGTTCGATCCTAGGTAGAGGCAGATATTTCTCTCTCTGGGCACAATGAGAATATATATCTGCTGAACAAAACTCCACATTGGCGACAGGAAAGGCATCCGGGCCAATTAAAACATACTGCTAGCTCCATTCAGTTGCCCAAGACTCTACCCCGGGATTATGGGGGTCGTTAAACGATGATGATTGCAGATAATTTGCATTTATTTCCAGTTTCCAGCAAAATAGTGAACAAAGGGTTCACTTAATGACTTAACGGCAGAAAATGTCATAAAATCAGGCCCAGTCATGTGGTGACCTGCTTTACGCCTATCACAACGTACGACTTTAAATGCGGAGCTCTGTTATGGTCATAACTCAAGGACTGCCTGCATATGGAGATATATTAATTCTAAGGGAGAAATAGCAGTGGTGAAATCCACATTTTTTTACTAATGCTTCTGTGGGCGTGGCTTGGTGAGTGTGGCAGGGAAAGGGTACTGCAAAATCCCCATTCCCACCCCACTCGGGGGCCAGCCAGAGGTGGTATTTGCCGGTTCTCCAAACTGCTCAAAATTTCCACTACCGGTTCTCTAGAACCTGTCAGAACCTCCTGGATTTCATCCCTGGGAAGTAGGTAGGATTCTTGTCACCTTATCCCATTTTTCTCAACAAATCTTATTAAAGAAGAGTCCATAAGACGCCGGGCTTGGAAAAAAAAAATTTTTGATGTCAAAAATTGCCAAACAGCCCTTCCGTGTATGTTATTAAATAGCCGTGGTTAAAACAGGGCCAGATGAAAAGGGTATTTTATTCTGTCATCCGGCTGTATCTTTGCTTCTTTAATTGGTAAGATTGAGAATCAAAGATCTTGAAACGTTATTTTTTCCTCTTTTTCATAGATTATGACGATATCTCCGATCAGATAGACTTTATCATCTGCCTGGGCGGAGACGGGACGTTACTGTACGCTTCATCGCTTTTTCCGGTAAGCTCATCTCTCTCCTCTCCAGACTATTTCTTTACATAGCTTGGACAACTTCCGTTATCTGCAGTTGTGTGTTCAGGTGTCCTTTTTGGCATTCTCTGCCCCCACCCCCACCCCAGGGTTATTATGGGTTCACTTTCTATCCCTTTCCACAATGGTTAAATACCTTATGAGCTCAAATACCCATTTATTATTAAAAGAAAAAAGAACCATACAAGAATAGAGTAGAGGTAGAGTAGAGTAGAGTAGAGTAGAGTAGAGTAGTAGTAGAGTAGAGTAGAGTAGAGAAAGTAGATAGAATAGAATAGAATAGAATAGAATAGAATAGAATAGAATAGAATAGAATAGAATAGAATAGAATTCTTTATTGGCCAAGGGTGATTGGACACACAAGGAATTTGTCTTTGGTGCATACGCTCTCTGTGTACATAAAAGAAAAGATACATTCGTCAAGAATCATAAGGTACAACACTTAGTGATAGTCACAGGGTACAAATAAGCAATCAGGAACCAATCAATATCAATATAAATCATAAGAATACAAGCAACAATGTTACAGTCATGCAGTCATAAGTTGGAGGAGAGGGGTGATAGGAACGATGAGAAGACTAATAGTAATGCAGCCTTAGTGAATAGTTTGACAGTGTTGTGGGAATTAGTTGTTAAGCAGCCTTGTTAAGGAGCCTGGATAGCTACACAGACAGAAGCACTGTAATTTAACACCAGCTGTCTGCAATTAAAGTAAGATCGAATCTCGCCACGCTCAAGGTTGACTCAGCCTTCCATCCTTTCTAAGATGGGTAAATTGAGGACCCAGTTTGTGGGGGCAATAAGCTGACTTTGTAAAAATATACAAAAAGTATGAAGGCTATTGCTTAACGCACTGTAAGCCGCCCTGAGTCTCCGGAGAAGGGTGGCATATAAATCAAATAAAAAAAAAAAAAAGCAGAGTGATGGCGTTCGGGGAAAAACTGTTGTTGTGTCTAGTTGTTTTGGTGTGCAGTGCTCTATAGCGTTGTTTTGAGGGTAGGAGTCGAAATTTATTCTACCAGACATTGAGAAAAAAAAAAAAAGAATCCAGATTAGATTAAACACAGACAGACGTGTAAAACACAAGGACAGTACAGCTGTCTTAAATATGCAACAGAAGAGTGAATAGCCATTATTTTATTTTTTTTATTCCAACATGGTCTGTCTCCCAGTGACTCTGGGTGGTTTACAAATTCTTAAAAATGTTTTTTTTTGTTTTTGTTTTTTTTAAAGGGAACGGTACAGAAATAACCCCCAAAGCCACACAAGGAAACACAGAAATATATCTTAAGGGCCGGTGTTTTCTGCAGTCGGCTTTGCAAACTTAGCACAGTTAGCTTGGTGTATTTGCTCTGGATTTTGCACTAATTCCCCATTAATGCAAAATAATCCGAGGGCGTTTGTCCCAGATGTAAGAACAGGGACAAAAATGCTCAGAGGATGCTGTTTTCTCCAACTCTTTCCCTGTGACTTCTAATACATATACACACCCAATTTCTTTTGTCTTTGCCAACAGAGGAGTGTACCCCCAGTCATGGCTTTCCATTTGGGGTCCCTGGGCTTCCTTACCCCCTTCAATTTTGAGAACTTCCAGTCTCAAGTCACCCAGGTCATAGAAGGTGAGTTCTTAAGGGTCCTTCCATTTCTACGGGTTGCTCCTAAGAGGCGGGGTCTTTTTCGGGGGGGGGGGGAGGAGGTGTCGGACGGGTGGATTCTGTCTGCCTCTGCACCGATTAATTCAGGGTCCCCAAAATGATCTCTGATGTGCTGTCAAGCTACATCACCAATGGGGCATCCTCAGCCTGAATCCCACTTTGTTGCTCTGCTCTCCATTTTGTGATCGATTTGAACAGTGCAAAAAGAAAAAGAGAGAGAGAGAAAGAAAGAGAGACAGATAAAGAGACAGAGAGAGAAAGAGACAGAGACAGTGAAAGAGAGAGAGAGAGACAGATAAAGAGACAGAGACAGTGTGAAAGAGATAGAGACAGCGAAAGAGACAGATAAAGAGACAGAGAAGTGAAAGAGAGAGAGACAGAGACAGTGAAAGAAAGAGACAGATAAAGAGACAGACAGTGTGAGAGAGAGATAAAGAGACAGTGAGAGAAAGAAAGGAAGAAGGAAGGAAAGAAGGAAGGAAAGAAAGAAAGAAAGAAAGAAAGAAAGAAAGAAAGAAAGAAAGAAAGAAAGAAAGAAAGAAAGAAAGAAAGAAACTCCCTCCATGGCAGCCATTTTGTGAGGGTGCCCATGACATGCTTTCAAAATCCCAGATAGTTCCCCTTTTAAGATTACACGCCGGGCATAGTGATACAGCATCTACCCTGTAGCAGAAAAGTCCAAATTGATTCAATCTATTTGAAGATTACTGGATGTTTTTGCCATCCAGTAACGCCAATAAAGCCGAGGGACGGTCTGAATTAAACCCGTTCTTCCCAATCGGCTCAGATTGGAAGCAGGTTCTCTGGCTGTATTCTTCCATTAAAGTGGATCGAGTTGGCGGTTATTCAGCGTAGGTCGTTCTTTTACTAATTAGCGTTGCCATTTTAATCCCTTCTTGTCTTTAATTCCTCCCGGCAGGCAACGCGGCCCTCGTTCTCCGAAGCAGGCTGAAGGTGAAGGTGATTAAGGAGCACTGGGAAAAGAAGACCATGATTCAGAATGGGATCGAGGAAAACGGTGTGGTGTCTTCAGGTCTGGAAAAAGAAATGTTTAAACAAGCAATTCAATATCTGGTGGGTATCCTTGGAATGTTATTTTTATTTTAATTTCATTTATTCTTCTCCCCTCCCCTCCCCTCCCCCCTCCTCTCTTCTCTTCCCCTTCTTCTCTTTTCCCTTCCCGTCCTCTCCTTTCCTCTTCTCTTCTCTTCTCTTCTCTTCTCTTCTCTTCTCTTCTCTTCTCTTCTCTTCTCTTCTCTTCTCTTCTCTTCCCTTCCCTTCCCTTCCCTTCCCTTCCCTTCCCTTCCCTTCCCTTCTCTTCTCTGTGGTGCAGTGGCCTAGAGATGGAGCTCTCGCCTCACAATCAGGAGGCTGTGAGTTCAATCCTAGATAGAGGCAGATATTTCTCTCTCTGGGGCACAATGAGAATATATCTGCTGAACAAAACTCCGCATTGGCGACAGGAAAGGCATCCGGCCAGTAAACACTCAGCTCCATTCAGTTGCCCAGACTCCACCCCGCAAGGGATTACGGCCTCATTTTAAAAAAAAAAAAGTCTTATCTATCTTATTTTATTATTTTCAATTTCTGTATACTCAGCCAAGTCACCCTTCCTTTTCTTTCTCAATATTACTTAGCACGAAGTCGATGAAGATCGAGATTCCTCAAATGAAATGTTCCCCTGTTGAATTGGTTCTAATCTAGACACACACACACACACACACACACCTGGGAGTCCTTATACCGATGTTTTTCAATCTTGGTCCCTTTAAGACGGTGGCTGGGGAATTCTGGGAATCGAAGTCCGCCCGTCTTAAAGGAGCCAAAGTTGAAAAGACCGCCTTAGGCCAAGTTGATGCGTTTCATTCGTAACGTCCTTTTTCTGTTGTTCAGGTCTTGAATGAAGTGGTGGTGGACCGAGGCCCTTCCTCATATCTTTCCAACGTGGATGTCTTCCTTGATGGTCACCTTATCACCACTGTGCAAGGCGATGGTAAGCCCACAGAACTGGGGGTCACTATGTCCTCACCAAGCTCCCCAAACACGACAAACCCTCTGAAGTTAACTCAAAAGTTCCTTTATTAGGAGTGCCGGCAGCCCCGGCCAAAAGTTTCTCTCTCACCGCAGGCTAACAAGTCTGTCCGGCAGGGTGATGAATAGTTGTCTGCCATACTTATTCATCTCCGCCCCCTGCCTTTTATCCCCAGAGCTAGGGTGGGGGCTTCGCTAGCAGCAGTGGTACTTCCGTCCCGAGGACCGGCCCATAGATTTCCAGTGCTCTCCTCTCCTCTGCTTTCTGCGCATCAGGCACTGGACCCAGCTGTTCCTCTTCCTCATAAGCCACCTCCAGATCTGGGGGCTGTTGACTCTCCATCTGGGGGCTGACGGATGGCCCAGGCTCCGCCTCTGTCTCTCTCTCTCTCTCTCTCTCTCTACCAGCTCCATCCCCTCTTCCCTTGATGCTGACCCTGACTCCCACACCTCCTCCTCCTCCTCTGATTTGGCTGCTGGAGGGGCTGGCGACCGACAGGCCACAACACAGTAGTTGTCCTTTCCCGTTGTCCTTACGGTAAACGGTGCTCATTTCTTCCCACTAGGTGTCATTGTTTCGACGCCGACTGGCAGCACGGCGTATGCGGCCGCTGCGGGCGCGTCCATGATCCATCCGAATGTCCCTGCCATCATGATTACTCCCATCTGCCCTCATTCCCTCTCCTTCCGGCCCATCGTCGTCCCAGCTGGAGTGGACCTGAAGGTTGGTTGCCATAACAGAGAAGCCTTGTGGGGCAGGGCAGGTTTGAGCAGGGAGACCCAACTTCTGTGCTCAGCCACGGGGGAGCACGGGGGTCGTCTTTGAGCCCGTCCTGTAGGAAATGAGCAGGCTGAGCTGCAAGGGTTCGTTTAACAGCTGCCTGCAAAAAAAAAAAGTCGTTAAATGAAACGTGGCCCTCTGCTTAATGATCTTGATGGCTTACAGCTGAAATATGGGCTTAATTACAGTTTGTAAATTTTCTGGCTCTGCCTTCTCTGTCCCCCACGAATGAACCGAACGGGCCGCGTTCCTCACATTAAACCCGCAAAACTAAGCGCACAAGTCACTAACTCTGAAATAGCCAACACAGCCTTTGGGGCTGTAGCCGGCGCAACGAAGGAGATATTTTTGAAATATCCATGACCTCAATGCCTTCCGTCGTTCCCTGAAAACCTATCTTTTTCAGCAAGCCGGGTTGGCTTAGAAGAAATTTTTAAATTCTTTTAATTAGTTTGTGATTCTTAACTTTCGGGCCAAAATTTATATATATTTTTAAATGTTTTAATATTTGTATTCTATGTTTTTTATCTTGGCTGTACACCGCCCTGAGTCCTCAGGGAGAAGGGCGGTATATAAATTGGAAATTAAATTAAATTAAATTAAATTAAATTAAATCCTGGCCCCAGCGAACAAGTTTATCTTTTATGTAAGCAAATGAAGCATTAGCAACATGAGCCGCGGTGGCGCAGTGGTTAGAGTGCGGTACTGCAAGCTGCTTCTGCTGCCTGCCGGCTGCCTGCATATTTGGCAGTTCGAATCTCACCAGGCTCAAGGCTGACTCAGCCTTCCGTCCTTCCGAGGTGGGTCAAATGAGGATCCAAATTGTCCAGGTGTGCTGACTCTGTAAACCTCTTAGAAAGGGCTGTGAAGCACTGTCTAAGTGCTATTGCAATTAGTCTCCATTCCGGATTTTCTTCCCCCGCCAACCTCTCTTGGCAAAACAGGGAGATTTATAGCCGACGTACGCCGTGTTCCAAACCGTATTTCAGTCCCACAAAGCGAAAAGAGAAGAGCCAAATCAGGGAAAGCAATTACCGGCTTTATTTGAAGGGTTGGAATCTCTTGAGTTATTGTCAGCATGTTTTGTCTTGGGGAAGGCTGTGTTTTGAAGGGATGAATCATGCTTGACTCTGGCCCCACCCAAAAGAACCCAGCTGGCAAACTTCAGAAATTTCACATCCCTTTTTTGTTTTTAAATTGATACTGTGTTGTCCTCAAAATAAGACCAGGTCTTATATTAACTTTTGCTCCAAGAAACGCATTAGGGCTTATTTTCTGGTTATCTTATTTTTGGGGAAATATGGTACTAAATGCATCCATCTGGCTGACAATCTTAACTGGGGCTTATTTTAGGGGTAAGGCTCATATTAGGAGCATCATGAAAAATCAGGCTAGGACTTATTTTCCGGTTGGGTCTTATTTATTTATTTATTTTTTAATTTGATTTATATGCCGCCCTTCTCCGGAGACTCAGGGCGGCTTACAATGTGCTCAGCAATAGCCTTCATCCTTTTGTATATTTATACAAAGTCAGCTTATTGCCCCCACAACTGGGTCCTCAATTTACCTACCTTAGAAAGGATGGAAGGCTGAGTCAACCTTGAGCCTTGGCGAGATTCGAACCTGCAGTAATTGCAGGCAGCTGGTCTTAATAACCAGCTTAATAACAGGGTGCCTTAGACCACTGTACTACCAAGGCTCTTGATTTTCAGGGAAATACAGTACTAAATTCACCCATCTGGCTGACAATCTTAACTGGGGCTTATTTTAGGGATAGGGCTCATATTACGAGCATCCTGAAAAATCAGGGTAGGACTTATTTTCCAGTTGGATCTTATTTTCAGGGAAACAGGGTACGATCGAGAGACCTCTGGATGCAGGTAGTTCTCGACTTATAACCATTCGTTTAGTGACTGAAGTTACAGTTGGACTGAAGAAAAGCGACTTATGGCCGTTTTTCACACTTGCAATCCCCATGGTCACGTGATCAGAAATCAGACGCTTGGCAACTGCTTCATATTTATGACTTTTGCGACCTTCCGACCAGCAAAGGCAATGGGGAAGCCAGATTCGCTTAACGGCCGTGTGAGGGTAGCGATTCATTTAAGAACTCTGCCAGCCAAGGTCGTTAAACAGGGTAAAACTCACTTAACAGCTGTCTTGCTTAGGAACAGAAATTTTGGGCTCCCATTGTGGTCCTACGTCGAGGACTAGCTGTATAGACGCTGCTTTGGGTTAAAAGAAGGATGCTGAAATATGCATCAGTCAGAGGTTGGAAGTTAGCATCTTGAGATTAAACCAGCATTTCTCTAGCTTGTCGATTTTAAGGTGTGTGCGGACTTCAGATTTCAGAATTCCTCAGCCACATCTTAAAACTGGCTGGGGAATTCTGGGAGTTGAAGTCCATGCCTCTTAAAGTTGGCTGAGGAATTCTGGGAATTGAAGTCCACGCATTTTAAAGCTGGCTGGGGAATTTAGCACCATGGGTAACATATCACTATCTTATCCAGGACCTCTTCTTTCTCTCAAAAATACTTTTTCATCACAGAATCCAAACTTGGGAATCATATGTCTTTTCCCCCCTCTCTCTCAATCCTAGATCATGCTGTCTCCAGATGCCAGGAATACTGCGTGGGTTTCGTTTGACGGGCGGAAGAGGCAGGAAATCTGCCACGGGGACAGGTGAGGGTGTCCTTCTGGATGAACTCAAAATTGGCCAAAGAAAGGGCTTTTTTCCTAAACCAGGGGTCTGCAACCTTAAACACTCAAAGAGCCATTTGGACCCGTTTCCCACAGAAAAGAAAACACCGGGAGCCACAAAACCCTTCCCGTGCCTGATTATTTTTTGAGCGGCACAAAATTAGCATATGTAGTTGAATTAAACGTTCAGTTTTCTTCTGAAACTTTTCTTTTCTTGGGTTTATCCATGGTTGGCCTACCGGGGGTTGAAAAGCTCAATAAATCACATGCTGGCAGGTATCGCATATTGGCGGTTGTGACGCATTTTTTTTTTTTTTTTTAAATTTGATTTATATGCCGCCCTTCTCCGGAGACTCAGGGCGGCTTACAATGCGCTAAGCAATAGCCTTCATACTTTTGTATATTTATACAAAGTCAGCTTATTGCCCCCACAAACTGGGTCCTCAATTTACCTACCTTAGAAAGGATGGAAGGCTGAGTCAACCTTGAGCCTGGTGAGATTCAAACCTGCAGTAATTGCAGGCAGCTGGTCTTAATAACAGGGTGCTTTAGACCACTGTACTACCAGCTGCAGCAGAGGGATGAAAGAGCCACATGTGGCTCCAGAGCCACAGGTTGCTGACCCCTGTCCTAAACAATCAAGAAATGCCAAAAATGCAGGGGTAAAAAAGGAACAAGGCTTGGCATTCGAAATTGGTTCTTTGGCCTTAGGGAAGAGCTGCTTTTAAGCCACTCTGATTAAAAACCCCAAACAACTGTTCAATTCGAAGCCGTGCAAATATTTTGAGGAGACCGAAACGTTTTGGGCTGACCGTTGTCAGCTGGATTTAGTCTTAACCGGCCGTCCTTTTTGGCTTCCTTCTAGCATCAGCATCACAACTTCCTGCTACCCTCTCCCTTCGATCTGCTTCCAAGATCCCGTCAGCGACTGGTTTGAAAGCCTGGCGGAGTGTTTACACTGGAACGTTCGAAAGAAGCAAAACCACTTCGCGGTCGACGAGGAGGAAGAATTTTGAGTGTCGGGTACGCATCGGAAGAAGAGAGAACAAAATGGAACTGTCCTTGTATATAATAAGTATTTGAAGCCTGTAGCCTTTGAGAGTAAACCCACGTACCTCCCCTTTATCCATATATATATATATATAAATAGATATGGATATATATGGATATATAGATATAGATATATAGATATATGTAGATAGATGGATGGATGGATGGATGGATGAAGATAGATAGATAGATAGATAGATAGATAGATAGATAGATAGATAGATAGATACCCTATGGTATAAATGGATATGTATATATATGTATATATAGATATGTATATATATATATATGTATATATAGATATGAATATATACGTATATATAGATATATTGTGTTTCCCCAAAAATAAGACCCTGTGTTATATTTTTTTGAACCCCGAAAGAAGCGCTTGGCCTTATTTTCGGGGAGGTCTTATTATTTTGGGGCGCGTAGAGCAAGACGGGGCTCGTCTTGCTGTCTTACCTGATTTCCAGCTCTCTCCCTAACCCTAATGAGAGGAAATGGTAGGGACCAGCTGCGCTTGTGTTTAAATATTTTCAGGGAGGGCTTGTTTTCGGGGAGGGCTTGTTTTAGCACATGCGTTCAAAAGCCCGATTGGGCTTATTATTAGGGGATGTCTTATTTTTGAGGAAACATAGTATAGATAGATATATGTAGATAGATAGATGGAAGGATGGAAGGAAGGAAGGAAGGATGGATGGATGGATGGATGGATGGATGGATGTGGATATATTCACACACACGGAGAGATGGATATATATATATATATGGATATCTATCTCTGTGTCTAGGTATCTATCTAGCTAGTTACACACCTATAGTTATAGATATAGATATAAAAAGATAGCAGCGTACCTCATATCCGCCTGTTCTGATGATGATTAGCCCTCCTGTTAGTTTCCTGCCTTGTTAAGGAACCTTGGAGACAAGAGGGACAGGCACAATACTAGCTTACCTGGGCCACGGAAAGAAAGCAGCATTTTTGTGAAAACACGCTGCGTGTCTTCCCGGCAACCGATTACACATCTGGCAAGGGAAGCCGTGTTCCCAGGAACGCCATTTGCTCAGTTGGTTCCCAAATCCGTAGCGATGATGGCGGTGGGACTGGCCGTTGTTTGCAATAAACAGCCTCTTTTCCCGTTCTGCAAATTTGCCCACCGTCTCACGACGGCCGCTGTCCGTTCTTCCTTTTCTCCTCTTTCTTCAGTTTACCAAAAAAAAAAAAAAAAAGAAAGAAAGAAACGGTGTGTTTTGGTTTTCCAGCGGGCCCCTTAGAACTCCTTTTCCCTTTTGTTGTTTCAGTGACAAATTTCTCTATCTGTCTTGTGTGATCCGTCTGTCCTTGAAGGGACCAAGGCAAGCTGGACTGGCTCCTGTTTTTTAAACCCGCTTTTTCGCATCTTCCAAAGTAGTTTTTCTTCAATCTCTTTCGGATGTAAAAAAAAAACAAAAAAACAGCAGGTGAAGCTTGTAAGGGACGGGTGATGTTTCGCCTTCCCTTTGAAGGGTGTTTTGTGTGAAGACTCTCCTTTTGCTCCTTGCATCTGAAATAATTCCGACTACCCTGTTCCAAATCCATACTTTTTGAGTAAGGCGGGGTTGAAACCCCACCGCAGTCGGAAAGAAAGGAAAGTCAGGAAAAAAAAAAAATTGCAGACATTGTGCAGACATTCTTCCAACAAAACTCGACTTTTTCGGTGGTCAGGATTCCTGCAAATTTTGCTCCTTCGAGACTTTTCCCTACAGACTTGACATAGCCAAGCATTGACATGGTAAAAAAACAAACAAACGGATGGAGAGAGAGAGTAGAAATCCTGATTTAACCGCTCTCCGAGGACAGTTCTGTAAAATTCTGCCAGGCACGGAAATAGCTAAAAAACTCCTATCCTGTTGCACCTTCCTGATTCACCTGTCGTCAGAGAATCCAGTGTTGCTGAGCTGTTTCCTTCTGAACCACCCAGGGCTGAAGAAGCTGTTTGAGACAAGGCTGCCTTCAGTGGTTTTCTGAGCCCCTAAGGACTCAAAGCTGGTACTGATGGGATGGAGGATCCTGATCTCTCCGAGGTCAAACCGCTGCAAGAATATCCAGAGGAAGTTCGAAAGAAAAAAAAAAGAAAATCCTTTGCATTTTTCATTTGTCTTCAACATATCGTGTTGTCTTTTTTCTTCTTCTTCCTTTTATTGTATTATCTTATCTTGTTGTTGTCTAAGTTTCTATCTCATGAATATGAGGAGAAAAGATAAAAGAGATGACTTTTACAGAGATTAATAAAGGGGATCTTCCAGAGGAACGGGAAGCATCCGGACTAAAATACTTTTTTTTAAATTCCTCCACCCGTTAACCCAAACTCTGCTTTGTTTTCGTTCAGGGTGTCCCAGGATAGGACAAAGAGATCCTTTCCCTTCAATTCCTTCAATTCCAAAGAACTGATCATCAGAACTCTTTGATTTAGAAAAGATGACATTTTTTTTTTTAAAAAATCCCTGGAAGTTCAAAGCTAAGAGGTTACGAAGGCAGTACGATAGCCTGATTTTTTTTTTTCCTTGCAGGAAACGAGTTTGCTACTCTCTCACATTTGATTATTTTTGAAAACAGGGATCTCTTAAATGGATGTTTTTTTTTTTTAAATGGGGTAGCTGCTTACTCCCTTGATCACTCTGTCTGGAGGAAATAAGAGTGTAGGTCCGTGATGGTGAACCTATGGCACATGTGCCAGAGGTGGCAAGCAGAGCCCTCTCTGTGGGCACATGCACTGTCACCAGCTTCTGGTTTCTGGCGCGCTAGCTGGTCTTTGTGGGTGCCGGAAAAAAGCCTGAAAGTGCCCAAAAACTAGGCCGTTTTCCAGGCCATTTTCTGGCCGTTTTCTGGGCCATTTTCTGGCTGTTTTTTGGGCCTGAAAACAGCCCAAAAACGGTCTGAAAATGGCCAAAAAACAGGCAAGCATGTGTGCGCCAGCCAGCTGGTTTCCGGGTTTCCGGTACGCCAGCTGGTCTTTGCGGGTATCGGGGCACCGGAAAAAAAGACTGAAAATGGCCAAAAACTAGGCCATTTTGCAGCTGTTTTCCGGACCGTTTTCAGACCGTTTTTTGGGGCCTGAAAACGGGCCAAAAAACGGTCGGAAAACGGCCAAAAAACAGGCATACATGGTCTTTGGGTTTCCGGTGCTCCGGCGCGCGCACATGCACGCGTGTTCCAGTTTGGGCACTTGATTCTGAAAAGGTTCGCCATCACTGACGTAGGTTGTTTAGAATTCTTTTTGTCGCGGTATCGACTTCGTTCGGGCAGTCTAAATTTGACGGAAAAGAGCTTTTCTATTTCCCCCCCCCTAGAAATTTACTGAGGTTTGATCAATGACCGTCGCCCTTGAGTGAAAATGTTTCTGATTTCCCCCGCCCCTTTTTTTTTTTAAACAATGTGCTCAGTCTTGTGTTAAAATCCCTCTCACCTCTGCATCAGTCCTGTCCTTTCTCTCCCCGTGGATGGAAAACCTCTCCGGTTCATTTGACGCCGAGCGAAAAGTTAGGCTTTGTCGTCGTTTTACATTCTACAATCACAAGCTTATTTCGGTTTGCTTGCTGGGATTTTTTATTTTTTTTAAAAAAAAATGTGTCGCTTGTTGAGTTAAAACACTGGTGAGCTGTCGCCCATCCCACACACCGCACTGCCCATTCAGAAAGCTGCCTCCGCTGTGGTTGTTTGAATTTTCAACCACTCTTTGTATTCTCCTTTTTTTGCCCCCCAGCAGGGGTGGGTTCTAACCGGCTTTACTACCAGTTCTCTTTGCGCGCGAGCTTCGCGCGCGATCGCCTCTTCGGCCGCACCTCTCAGCTGGGCGAAAAAAGAAGAAATATAAGGTCGGAATAACGCGGGGGCGGGCGGGAAGGCCCAGCTCCCGAAGAAAGAGAACCGGTTCGGTGATGTAATAGCGTCACTGCTACCGGCTCGGCCGAACCGGGAGCAACCCACCACTGCCCCCCCCACTTCAAATCACAGGTATTTTAGCTGGCCAGGTGAATCGCAAGTCTTGATATCCGGACTGCAGAAGGGGGTGGCATTTTAACTTCGGAACCATCAAATCAAGAGACGTTGCTTAGCTTTTTAAAAATACTACGCAGTTTGCCGCAATTAGAACGAAAAGCATAAGAGTCAAAAGAATTGAAACAGTTGGCAATTTCTTCCCAGGCTAGACAAAAAGAGCAGAAGTGAGTATTTTGATTTTCTCATCTTCCTCCTGCTCTCTTACCAGTTATTTAAACCACGATTGTACGGAATAGAAAGTCGCTCGTTGGGTTTTCTTCCTAATAGGCAATAATTAAAAGGGAAGGGGAGGGGGGGAGAAAGCCCCAGACCGCTGATGTTGGTACAGATTTCTTGACTCGGATAAAAGGGTTTATTGAAGGCTGAAAAGAAACAAAACAAAGAAATGAGAGATAAAATGAGCCTTATTTAGGAAAGAAAAATTTACTTTTTTCATAAAGCTGGCCATTTTTTTTTAAAAAAAATAATCATATTTAAAAGAAACATTCTTTTTGTAGCTAGTCCTATATTTCTTCCAGCGTTCAGGGAAAAAAAAAATAAACCCAGTTGTTTTTTTGTGCTTTTGTTTTTAAACTGAAGGTTGTGTGTAATCAACTCCCACGAATTCTGTCTCAAAAATCATTTTTCGAAGCTGCTTCATTGTTCTTTCGCTGAGCCAATCCTGAGCAAACTTTCCCACTTCTTTATTTATACATATTTTGGCCTTGGAGGAAGTTAAGGCAAGGAAGCCCCCCCCCCCCCCAGCGCTTGACCATATCATGGCCTGAAATCTGAATTTCGGATTGCAGCTGGGTCCTAGCGTCCTCCACTCACCCTTCATTGAAAATTCAAAATTCTCTGAATCATCCTATTTAGAGCCCAAAGTTGTGCGTTTTACGGAATCGTGTTTGAGCCAGTTCTCTTCAGTATTCAGAATTGCTAGGATCTCCAACCTTTTGGTCTTTCCCCCCCCCCAATCTCTTCCTTGCCACCAATTTTCAAGCCGAACACCACAAACCAGGATTGTTAAAAAGTCAGGTTTATATCCTGAATTGGGGGGGGCACTTCACTCGGCCCGCTTCTTATTTGTGTCAGTTCACTGCAGGCTCTTTTTAAGCTACCTCTGCGGAGGATTTTGCGGAAAGCTTTTCGACGGCTTTCCTTCCTCTTGTTCCTCAACTTCCCCTTTCTTGGCAAGAGTACAGCAACTCCGCCCTTAAAAAAGAAAGAGAGAAAACTATCGTTTTATAAAAACCGGCGGTTAGGAAAGGTGTCACTCTGCCGTAGGATGGGGCAGCCGCCAAGTGTGCAAGAAAGCATGACGTGCCAAGCAAGCATTCGGAAAGAACATCGGGGCGTTAACCTCAAAGAGGCAATCCAGATGTTGCTCACCGGCGACATCCGAGCACGCATCGGGACTTCTGGGTTTGATGGGTGGCCGAACCGGAAGGTCCCAGCTCATTTATTTTTTTTTTTAAATTTTTGGGAAGAGTTCTCGAATTCTTGAAGTTCTTGAATGTGGAGAACAGCTGTCTTAATGTTTTGAAGAACATCTTCTTCATTGGCCTGTTTGCTTCTCCAGATATTTTTCTGGTCGTGTTCTGATGAGGTGCATCTTCCAAAGACATGTTGAGGTGGCTTTATTTACACATCACACAGGTGATGTGTAAATAAAAGCAATAGGGCCGGTCCAATTTGCAGGTTGATCAATCGACTTTTTAACCACATGGCCAACATTCTTCTGAACCCCCGTTACAAGGGCATCCCTTTGCGGTGGGATTCTGAACTTTTCTTGCAAAAGAGAGAAAAACGCCTGACGTTTCTGATTGTCGTTGAACGCTTTGAAAACTTGTACGATATTGCTGAGAGCTGAGAACGGTTTTCCAGAATTTTTTCCAATAAATCTTTGGTGGTTGTTGGTTTTTTTCCAAAGATCGGCATTGTGTGATAGCATCAACCCGTGGGGCGGGGGAAAAGCCAGCCCAAATCCATTGAACATGTAGAGGATTAGCAGAAGGGAAAAGATCAGGGGTTTTTTTTAGGTTTTTTTATTATTATTATTTTTATTTGATTTATATGCCGCCCTTCTCCGGAGACTCAGGGCGGCTTACAATGTGCTAAGCAATAGCCTTCATCCTTTTTTTGTATATTTATACAAAGTCAGCTTATTGCCCCCACAAACTTGGTCCTCAATTTACCTACCTTAGAAAGGATGGAAGGCTGAGTCAACCTTGAGCCTGGCGAGATTCGAACCTGCAGTAATTGCAGGCAGCTGGTCTTAATAACAGGTTGCTTTAGACCACTGTACTACCAAGGCTCTTTGAGGGGAAAAACGTCGTTCTTCAAACAGCTGATCTCTGAAGGTTTCGTCTTTTCGACGTCAAGAATTTGGTTTTTCTCTGAGTTAATCCCTCTTGTTCAGTTGGAGAGACTCTGTTATTAATCTCAAAATCATCGTAATATTTATTTAGAGTTTAGAATAACAGAGTTGGAAGGGACCTTGGAGGTCTTCTAGTCCAACCCCCTGCCTAGGCAGGAAACCCTGTAACATTTCATACAAATGATTGTCTAATCTTTTCTTAAAAACTTCCAGCGTTGGAGCATTCACAACTTCTGGAGGCAAGTTGTTCCACGGGTTAATTGTTCTCACTGTCGGGAAATTTCTCCTTCGTTCTAAGTTGCTTCTTACCTTGAATAGTTTCCACCCGTTGCTTCTTGTCCTGCCCTCAGGTGCTTTGGAGAATAGCTTGATTCCCTCTTCTTTGGGGCAGCCCCTGAGATATCGGAAGACTGCTATCATGTCTCCCCTAAGTCCTTCTTTTCATTAAAATGTCTTCGAAGAAAAAGGTAATGGGTGAGAAAAAAATGATACCTCACAGTGTTAAAAAGATAATTTCATATAACACATGGAACCCAAAATGCCATTTGTGTTGGATTGGGTTGAACCCAATCTTTACTCAACGATCATCAATGGTTCATGGCTTAGCAGAATATGTGAACATGGCCAGTTGGGATTAATCATGGTTTAGTATGGTTTAGAAACCCGGGCAACTATTCAGTTCTCGGCCTCTTAGAGCAAAGCACTTCTAAGCTGTTTATAGAGAGTCCTTGACTTATGACTGCAATTGAGCCAAAAACTCCTTACTGGGGGAGTCGGCAACCTTGAACAATCAAAGAGCCACAAAGGTCCTAACCAGAAGCTCCTGTTCGATTTTGGAGCCAACCGGAAGTCCATTTACCCCACCATAGAGTCTCCTCCTAGCATGGCATCTTTTTTCCTCTGCTGACCGGAAATCCGGTTCCCCTACCATAGAGTCTCCTCCTAGCGTGGCGTCCTTTTTCCTCTGCTGACCGGAAGTCCGGTTCCCCTACCATAGAGTCTCCTCCTAGCGTGGCATCCTTTTTCCTCTACCTGTCCTAACCGAAAGCCCTATCAACTGTGGAGCCAACTGGCGACGGAGCCGCAGCAGAGGGATGAAAGAGCCACATGCGGCTCCAGAGCCACGCGGGTTGCTGACCCCTGCCTTAGTGCAAGATGAACTAAGTCACTGCAAGGTTTTTAACAAGAGTTGGAAGGGACCTTGGAGGTCTTCTAGTCTAACCCCCTGTCCAAGCAGGAGACCCTGGAGTATACCATTTCAGACAAATGGCTATCCATAAAAAAGCCTCCGGTGATGGAGCATCCACAACTTCTGGAGGCAAGCAGTTCCACTGATCAATTGTTATCGCTGTCAGGAAATTTCTCCTCAGTTCTAGGTTGCTTCTCTCCTTGATTAGTTTCCATCCATGGTTTGTCTTGCCTTCTGGCGCTTTGGAAAATAGGTTGGCCCCCCTCTTCTTTGTGGCAGCCCCCTCAAATATTGGAATGCTGCTATCACATCACTCCTAGTCCATTTTTTTTCACTAGACGTAGCCAATTCCTGCAAACGTTTACTTGAAGAGCAAAATTGTTTTCTGTCTGGAGTAGAAGTTGTCAAACAACAAAAAAAAAAAAATTGCAAAACTACCATCGTGCCATTGATCCTTTATTGAAAAATACAAGCCCGGTAACAAATCTTTATTTATTTATTTATTTATTTAAAATAAATCAAATTATTGATTTATCAAATTATAAATCATATAAATCAAATTTTAAAAAAAATAAAGCATTATGATTAGAATATGAAATACTGGCTTTTGGGTTAGGAAAAAAAATCACTTTTGTTACGAAGAATAGCTCGGCTAAAGATAACTTCACATCGCTGGGGGTGTTTTGAAAAGAGAGGACCAAAGCCAGCACGGAAAGTTTTTAAGATTGCATTTTGAACTTTTCAAAGAGAGCGCTCTGGAGTCAGCAAGAAATCCGCCATGCTAATATTGACTGAAAGAAAGAACAGCCGAAATACCCTTAGGTTAGGGCCAAAAGTTTGAAAGAGAGAAGCTTGCGTGGGTCTGATCTACCGTGTTTTCCCGAAAATAAGACCCTGTCTTATATATATAATTTTTTTGAACTCTGAAATAAGCACTTGGCCTTATTTTCGGGGAGGTCTTATTAATTTGGGGCGCGTGGAGGAAGATGGGGCTCCTCTTGCCATCTTACCTGATTTCCAGCTCTGTCTCCCTAACCCTAATCCGAGGAAATGGCAGGGACTGGCTGGGCGTTTAAATATTTTTGGGGAGGGCTTATTTTCGGGGAAACACGGTAGACGGACACGCTGGTCCTTGCAAGGGCCCAGTTTGTGCAACACGGATGGGATAATTTTAGGCCAACGATTTTACCATTCATTCTGTCCTGCCTTCGGTGGGTCCTGGCTCAAAAATTCTTTGGGTGGGACAAAATCTCTGCCTTTTTTTTTTACAAGGGTTCGTGCAAAACTGACCAGCCTACGCTAACCAGTATGCGACTGGTTCTTTGCCTCTCTGGCACCACACCGGGAGGGCAGGAGATGTTCTCCTTGAGTGCCTGCCAAGGAACTGAAGCAACCTTGCAACTGGAAGGACAATCTATTTCCTGCAACCTTGGAAGCGTGAAAACAGGCAGCTCCCTCTGTAACAAGAGTGCAAGCTGGATCGGAGAGCGGGTCAGGCCAGGCAAAAAATCGGGCCCCAGGCTCTTTAAGGTGAAACTACGGCCACACCCCCGCGATCCCAGTTTGCAATTTGGCAACCGGAATCTGCCCCCGTCGATCAAGCTCAGACATGCCAACGGTTTGCAAGGCCCAAATTAAATTAAAAATAAAAATAAGAGGGGGGGGATTACAATACAGCCAGGGGAGCAAAATGCCAGACCCCAACCACGAGAAAGGCCACTTGCACTGCAAGCTACATCGGGAAGGTGCTCCGAAGGACATTTTGGGAGAATTGGGGGGACGATGCGTGGTTTCGTTGGCTGTTTCCGAGCGAGGAAGGCTGGCAGGGTGTGATCCCGGAGATCCAGCGAGGCAGAATGGAATCCTAGAAAAGTGGAGCAAAAGTCTCCCTTGGGGATCGAGTCTCTGCTGCTGCTGCTGCTTCTCTTATCAGAGTCCTAACCGGGGGGGGGGGGCAGAAAGCGGAGGGGGGAATCGGATTTTCCCAACTTGGTTTTCACTCTATAAGAGCACATCGGTTTGACGATGGGAGAAGTGGGTCACGAATCGATCCTTCCATAGGAAGAAAACACTGGAGAGAGAGAGAGAGAGAGAAAAGAACGTCATTATTGAAAAACGGGATCCCCCCCAAAAAGATACAGCAAGTCCTCAACTTATAACAGTTCGTTTAGTGACCGAAGTTACAACAGCACTGGAAAAACCGATTTATGACCGCTTTTCACACTTAAAAACAACGGATGCAGCATCCCAGGGTCAAATGAACAAATGTTCAGATAGAATAGAGTGTTGGAAGGGACCTTGGAGGTCTTCTAGTCCAACCCCCTGCTCACGCAGGAAACCCTATATAGCATTTCAGACAAAGGCTTATCCAATCCCGTCTTAAAAACTTCCAGATGCTTGGCAACTGACTTATAGTTATGACGGCTGCAATTTCCCGGGGGGGAATCAACCTTCCGACGAGCAAAGTCGATGGGGGGAGCCGGATTCACCTAGCAACCGGGTGACTAACTTAACGACCGCAGGGACTCGCTCAACAACGGTGGCAAGGAAGGTCGTAAAATGGGGGCAAAAGTCACGTAACCGCTGTCTTGCTTTAGCAATAGGGAATTTTGGGCTCGATTGTGGTCGTATGTCGAGGACTCTCTGCAGAGTGCGACAGTTTTGCTGGGCCCCGATTGGCATTCCCAAGCACTGATTGGCGGCTTCTCCACCGATCAGCCATTGAGACCTGCCCACGAGGGATCAAAGCAAAATTACTAGATTTGGAAATCTAGCCAGGTGTCGTCTTCTCAATCCCCATGCCAGCTCTCCGCTGAAGAGACCCACCCGACTCTGGATTGAGGTTACTCCCAGAAACCGTCCCTATGCCTCCGATACTCACTCCTCTCTCTCAGGCCTTGCCCAAAACTCTGGTAGACGTGAAACAGGGCCCAGAACAGAACGCTTTTGATCACCACCGAAATGCAGGAACAGGTGATGATGGCAGCTTCCAAGGCGTAAGAGCTCCCTTGGCCCCATTCTGTTATCACCTGGAGGGGCGAGGAAACGGATAAATACATTTGTACCTGTTGAACAATTCATCCCCGGAGACAAAATGGCATGAAATTCACACCTGTCTGCGTTTCAGGGCATCCCACCGGCCTAATCTCTCCGCGCCATCTACCTTGCAGGAATGTGGTGAGAGGAAGGGAAAAGACAGTGCCTTAGGATCCAAGTGCGCTCTCTTGGATTGGAAAAACCATGGGTATAAGATAAGACTTGCACATATGTGCTAGTCCTTCCCGACTCTAGGGGGCGGTGCTCATCTCCGTTTCAAAGCCGAAGAGCCAGCGCTGTCCGAAGACGTCTCCGTGGTCATGTGGCCGGCATGACTCAACGCCAAAGGCGCATGGAACGCTGTTCCCTTCCCACCAAAGGCGGTCCCTATTTTTCTACTTGCATTTTTTAAGTGCTTTCGAACTGCTAGGTTAATAGAAGCTGGGACAAGGAACGGGAGCTCACCCCATTACGGGGCACTAGGGATTCGAACCGCTGAACTGCCGACCTTTTGATCGAGAAGCTCAGCGTCTTAGCCACTGAGCCACCGTGTCCCCTTTCCACGGGTATCCTGAGGCCTAATTAAGAGACTTTGACCATCCAATGGTTTGCAAGCCTTTGCCAAGGGAGGGAGGGAGAGAGAGAAAAGGAAGAAAGAAAGAAAGAAAGAAAGAAAGAGAAGGAAGGAAGAAAAGGAAAGAAAGAAAGAAAGAAAGAAAGAAAGAAAGAAAGAAAGAAAGAAAGAAAGAAAGAAAATTGTTCACTATCTCCCTCTGTTTAATCCTAACATTGAAAGCTGCTGAAAAATTATCTCTTATTTTTTTTTAAAAAGAATGTGATTATCGCATTCAAGGCTGCTGCTGGTTTTTCTGCAGTGACTAGGAGGCACATTCCAGAGGGGTTTGACGTTAAAAGGGCTTTGCGAAGCCTCAAAAATCTTGTGTTTTTCTTACCTTCAGGGTCTGGCACAGCTGCTCCAAAGGGACCTTCAGCTGGTGTTTGGAAAGCTGTCCAACTTAGCTTGACCTAGTGGCATTTTTTATTTATTTTTTTAGATTCAGCGTTTCTCAACTTTAGAAACACTAAAAAAAAAATGTGTGGACTTCCAATTCCCAGAAGTCTGGAAAATGGAAGTCCCCTCGTCTTAAAAGTTGATAAGATTGCTTTTAGACAACGGGGTTGTGACACAAATCATTAAAAGGGGGACGGACGGACTGTGACGTTCAGAAAAATGTTTATAGTTTTGGTGCTTCTCTCTGGAGAAAGGAAAGAGATGGCAAGGGTTGCACTTTTTAAAGAACTGACTAGAAAGTAACTGGTTCTCGCTTAACAACAGAGCTAACAAACCAACATCTAGAGCCACAAGTATGCAAAAATCCCAACAACAGGCTGTTCCCGGCTTTAATAAATCTCTATGACAAGGTAGATCGCTTACTAAAAAGCAGGGACATCACCCTGCCAACAAAAGAGTGTATAGTCAAGGCGATGGTTTTCCCAGTTGCAATGTCTGGCTGTGACATTGGACCATAAGGAAGGCTGAGCGCCAAAGAATGGAGGCCTTTGAACAATCGTGCTGGAGAAGACTCCTGCCAGTGAGTCCCTTGGACCGCAAGGCGATCCAATCAGTCAGTCCTAGAGGAGATCAACCCTGACTGCTCTTTAGAAGGCCAGATCCTGAAGAGGAAACTCAAATCCTTTGGCCACCTAATGAGAAGGAAGGACTCCCTGGAGAAGAGCCAAATGCCGGGGAAGATTGAGGGCAAAAGAAGAAGGGGAGGGCAGAGAAGGAGGTGGCTGGATGGAGTCACTGAAGCAGTCGGTGTGAGCTTAAATGGACTCCAGAGGATGGTAGAGGACAGGAAGGCCTGGAGGAACGTTGTCCTTGGGGTCACGATGGGTCGAACACGACTTCGCAACTAACAACAACAAATGACGAGGCACCCATGATTTCCTAAGTTGGTTGACAGCAATTAGTCCGACAGTTAGTCGGATTCACTGGTTCGTAAAAGCATGTCTGAATTGGGCCTATTGTTGGATGTCCTTGGATGGGATCCAGCTGAAGGAATTTAGACCTGAGTTCTGAACATGATGGATCGAGACCAAGAGTTTGCGGCTATCGTGCAACCAAGGAGGCTCCTGCAAATTCCAAAACGAACAACTGATTTTTTTTATTGTCGTCGTCGTTTCCTCCACGAAGGTTCACCAGGCTTACGAACCAATTTCCTGCCTTTTAACACGCTGGGTACTTTTTAAAAGAAGCAATATGCTCTGAGAATTTGCATTTTCTCGTTTCTTCGGGCTCCAGATTTCATTTCAGGAAACGGAGTAAAAAGGTTCCTACCATCCTTAACTCCCAAGGCTGCGTTTGGAAACACCCAAGAAAAATTCCCTCTTATCCTCCCGAAATCAGCAAAACGAAGTTTGGCAAGACTTACTGCGTAGAGGAGGTATGCCAGATAAGCCACTTCGGGTAAATTCTGAATCACGAAAATCCAGGCGAGAGGTTTTAACTCTTTTAAGATCTGGGGAGGGAAAAAAAAAACACAAACAAAAGGCTGAAAGGTTGAAAAAGAAGCCTATCACATCAGTTTCAGCTGCAAAAAAAAAATAATCAAAATACAATAGCAGACAATGTCTTTGAAAGGAGGAAGAGCTATACGTTTCTCCACAAATACTGTAGATGGGGAGAATTAGCGCAGGGAGTTAAAATAGCAATAGCACTTATACTTCTTGTAGTCCGCCAGCAGCCTGCGGAGCTGGCAGTGGAGTCGGACAGCGAGGAGGCTGGGAAGGAACATGGGCCAGTCCTGGAGTCTGGGGAAGGCTCAGACGAGGGCTCTGCATCGGAGGCAGAGATGGGGCCAGGGCCATCTGGGGGTGATGCGCGGACTCCGGAGCCTCCAGAGTCGGACAGCAGAGAGGCAGAGGAACAGGAGGAGCCTGTTCCTAGTGCGCGCGTGCGCAGAGCTGCCACAAGGCACAAACAGCTAAAACAAAAGGGACGACTCAGGAGTAAGGCCTGGAGATGATTGGCCCCTCCCATAAGGCTTAAAAGAGGAGCAAAGGCACGTGGGCCCTTTGTAGGAAAGCCAACGTTGTTAATTCTGTTCCCAGTCGGCATCTCTGTTTGATTCTGGACTCCGTGGGGCTTGCCAAGAAGGTCTTTGGCAGAGTGTCAAGGGAGATAAAGGTTGGCGGTTATCCCGAAGGACTTCTCCCCGAAGGATTTTTTGCAACTAATTGGGATTCAGCTGGGAATGAACGTAATTCACAGCTGTTGCAATAAAAGGGTTTTTTGGGGACTTAATGACTCAGGAAGCCTAGGTCACAATAATACTCACTGCAGTGATGCCACAGGCCACCTTCAGAACAGCCCAGCAAATCCCAACAGCCAGGAACACACTGTGGAGATTTGAAATCTCCCGGGTTGTGGTCAGTAGCAGGACACACAAACAGAGCTGGCAAATAGAAGAGAGGTCTCAAAACAACGACCAGGTGGACATAGCTGCAGATCCCTTTCCCACCCAAATCAGGCAGTGGTTCAGGGTCATATCTTGACCGTTTGAAGGGATCTTACGAATCCAATAGCACTTAAGACTTATATACCGCTTCACAGCCTTCTCTAACCCCTCTCAGCCCTCTCTAACTCCCAGCTCTTAAATGTGAGCTAAAACGGGTCTCCAACCTTGGCAACTTTAAGGCTTGTGGACTTCAACTCCCAGAGTTCCTCAGCCAGGAACTCTGGGAGTTGAAGTCCACAAGCCTTAAAGTTACTAAGGTTGGAAACCCATGAGCCAAAGCTGGTGATCTTTGGTTTCAGAAAAGAGGACATCCGTCACGCCCAAGTGACAGGACAGGCTCAGGACTCAAAAGAGGAGTGTTGGTTTGGTGCCAGGAGTTACCTGAGCCTGGAGGTCAAAGGTCAGCATGGAAAAGCAGAGGTTCAGCATGAAATACTGGGCTTGAAGGCTCTCCAACGCGCCGCCCACTCGGAAGGCCATCCGGCTCTCGCTCTGAATCAGGATCACCGCGCAGCAGACGTCGAAGGCCCCCACCAGAAGGATCAGGACGAAGCGAGCCTGGTGGGAGAGGGGGACTTAGAAAGAGGGAACCCCACTTCGCCCATCGGAGGCCCCCGATCCTCCGACACAGGATGCCTCCTCGCCATCACCAACTTGGAAGGAGGATCTCCAGCCGGGATGCTCACCAACAACTCCGGCTTCTGCTTGGCGGGCAGGACGGTGAAGTTGATCACGGAGCGTAGCATGACCAAAGTGATAGAGAGGACGAAGACGACGAGCTCCTGGCGATTCTCCTGCAGGATTCCCCGGTTGACGTAATAGATGCAGAAAACTGCCACAAAAGAGAGGCCAGGTTATCAGTAGCCAGCAAAAGAGGGGAGAAGAGATTTCCTAGGGGTGGAAGCAGAGCCCCGAGATCAGCTCTTGGGTTTGGATTTGCCCTCCCTGTTTCACTGAGGGCCGGAACCTTGCTTCGTTTAAAACGGATAAAGCAAAAGGGAGCATCTATTCTCAGTCTGGATACAATCAGTCTCCATCCAATCTGAAAGATTAACTTTAATACATTTAAGATTCATCGTTTGCCTTTCTCAAGTGCCAAAGCAACTAGCAGTTACCCCCAAGTGGCGAAAAGCAAAGCTACAAAGGAAAATGAATGATAAAATTAGCGAACAACAGCCAGTTTCCTGTGTTAATGCCTTGGCGAGTGGCTGAGTAAGCCATGGTTTGTTTTAACTATGATTTGACTAGACCAAGGAGGACAGATTCAGATATTAAACCATGATGGGGTTGATTTAACTTGAGTCCTATGGATAAAATCCAACCCTTGCATAAACTAGGGAGGGATTAAAAACAAGAAATATATATATTTACTTTCTATGGCCAAACATAACAAGATTCTGGAGTGGACACTAGGCCCAAATTTTGGGTTCTTTTTGAAAACTGTCCCTGTCTCTGTCTTTGGATCTTTATCCATAAAATGCCAAAATACAAGGTGGAAACTCTTGCTGAAAGCAGGATTCAAGCGGCAGAGAACTTTGAGAGGATTCTTTAAAAATGTGGGACAGCAATGCCACCTACTGCCTTCAGTGAGTATTACAGTTTACAGGGCAATGGAAGACTTTAGCAAACATTGACACCTATCAGGGCAACAATATTGTTGGGAGAGTCCATGTCTTCACCCATCCCTAGGGATGCAGAAATTGCAGATTCCAGATGAAAGTGACTACAAAAACAATCTTCGACTAACTGAACAACTGCCCTTAACAACTGTGGCGAGAAAAGTCATAAAATCAACTGTCTTGTTTAGCAACGGAAATGTTGGGCTCCGTTGGGATTGTAAAGTCAAGGACTACCTGCAGTTATGATCTAGGAATTATTGACAGGATTAAAACCGGATCAAAAGTAGGATGAACAGACCTAGGACGGTGTATGCAAATTGGGGTCTACACAACTATAGCCAAATATAAAGCAGAGTAACTCATCCTTTAGGTTTTTTGTTGTTTTTTTTTAGAAAGAGTCAATTCCCTTCTTGCCTCTTGTGCAAGAATTAGATCAGTCTAGATGTCTGTCAAGGGAACGCGGTGGCTCAGTGGCTAAGACGCTGAGCTTGTCGATCAGAAAGGTCGGCGGTTCGAATCCCTAGCGCTGCATAACGGGAGTGAGCTCCCATTACTTGCCCCAGCTTCTGCCAACCTAGCAGTTCGAAAGCACGTAAAAAATGCAAGTAGAAAAAGAGGGACCCCCTTTGGGGGGAAGGTCACAGCGTTCCGTGCGCCTTTGGCGTTTAGTCATGCCAGCCACATGACCACGGAATTGTCATCAGACAGCGCTGGCTCTTCGGCTTTGAAACGGAGATGAGCACTGGCCCCTAGAGTCGGGAACGACTAGCATGTATGTGCGAGGGGAACCTTTACCTTTGATGTCTGTCAAAAATATAATTTGTATAAAAAAAAGACTACTTTTGAGCACTAAAAGTTCATCCTTCCCCTACCATTCTAGTTTGTAAAGTTTGCCAGTCAGGATCATTGTTTGATTACCAAGGCCAATGATCTGGATGAGAGACACAGTGAAATCTTCATTTTTCTGCTGGATGAGGGTCTCTATGGTTAATCCAATGACACTCAACAACGAAAGGATGGTGACACAGAAGTAGATCTTGACAGGAGATGACAGTTCGGACCATCGTTTGATCTGGAACGATAAAGAGTGCAAGTAACGTGAAGAGAATTTTTTCTTCAAGTTGGACTTCAGCTTCCCCGTTTAGCCCACAATCCTGGGATTTCCTGGTTAAGTCCCATCTAGTAATTTGCTTTCTGAAGTTGGTTAAGGGAGGTGCCATCAGCTGCTGCATGCCATGTTTGTAAAATTAGCAGAAAGCAATGGATGGCAGTGCCCCAACGTACCTCAGGTCAGAATTACATCTGTAATTCTGGTGGCTCAGCAGACTAAAAGTATTGTGATTAACACCAGCTGTCTGCAATTACTATAAGTTCGAATCTCACCAGGCTCAAGGTTGACTCAGCCTTCCATCCTTTCTAAGGTGGGTAAATTGAGGACCCAGTTTGTGGGGGCAATAAGCTGACTTTGTATAAATATACAAAAGTATGAAGGCTATTGCTTAACGCATTGTAAGCCGCCCTGAGTCTCTGGAGAAGGGCGGCCTATAAATCAATTTTTTTAAAAAAAAATTCACATATTACGCACATGGTCCAATAGCTCAAACCACTTTATTGAAATGGACAAGACTGGTGAAGTGCAGATACTTACAGGGCCGCACGGCGTGGCAATCAGCTCTTGGTGTCTTGGCGTTAGATTTGGCAGCGGAGAATTTATGCTTTCGTTTGGCAAAACCAGCGCTTCTTCTGACTGGGAAAGGGGAACCCTAAATGGACAGGAAAAAAAAAAGGAAAATTATATGTGGAGGTTCAGGAAAATACGTTACGTGTGGAAATGCGCTGGTCCATCATGGATGTGCTAAGTCAGCAGGAGGGAAAGGGGTTCTTTGTCCGGGAACAGAACTCTACCCATTTTCAATTTTTGTAAAAAACGAAGTCGGGATTTGGCTGGAGGATCCAAGACAGATGTTGGCTGATGAAAGTTAGGGATCAACCTCTGGAATGTCACAGCGTGGGGGAACGGTTTGGATGCCCAGCAGGGGCTCAGCTGAACTCCCAAGCTTTGCTCCCAATGGAGTGAGAAACGTTTCGTGAAACTGCACAGGGTCACTCCTGAAGGGGAGGAAAATGTTAGGTTTCGAAACCACGTGTTCTGTCCCTGTACCACTCACGCACCCCCCCAGACGGCCTGGAGTTAATAAGCCACACGACAAAACTCTTTGAAGATAAAGCTGGCAGCAACCCAGTGGCTAGCTGCCAATTCAGACTTTACTCACACAAAACAAAGATTAGACTGCAAGCATTTTGATAAACCAGGCAGAGTTTCTACAATACAAGGATTCATCCAAATGCAGTCCGATAAAGGAGGCAAAGTCCAGTAACGCAGAGATCAGCAGTTCGTCACAAACTGAACCGGCCACCACACCCACATTTATACCCTGTGGGGTGTGGTCCAGTGACTCAGCTTCCCCTCTGCTGTGCACACTTTCCCTGCGCCTCTGTCGAGGGTCCAGCCAGCACTTATCTTCCTCGTCGCTGTCCACCTGTGGCTGCGGGGACGTGCTTGGCTCTGAGCCTATCGTTTCGCCTTCGGTGTTCTCCGGAGGCATTGCCAGAGAGGAGGGTCCTGGAGAGGGAGGCCTTGCCAACTCCTCTTCCTCACTCTCAGAGTCTGCATCTGTCGATAGCCCAGGCTCAGGCAACGGAGCCACAACATGAGGTGGATGTGTATTAGGGCAGCACTGAGGCTTTGGCTCCCGTTGGCAGTTTCCTGGCACAAGGGCCAGGCAAAAACGCCAGGGCCATCGGCTTCTAGCTGCCCAAAGTTAACTTAAAAAGCTAAGTTTCTAGTCCTCCTGAGGTGGGTGGGTCCACGCTGAGGTTTCTTTTGCACATGGCGCATGGAATTACAAAGCCGGCCGATGATGATGATGATGAGCCCCACATATTGTGCCAAGTAATCATATAGGATTCACGTTATCCCGCAAACTCAGTTTGGGCTGATTGAATAAACCACGATTCCTGAATAAATCATGATCCCATAAACCAGGTCAAGCATGAAATGCAAGGATACTACCTAGCGAGATCCCAGATGCGCGGAGACCCCAGTTCCCATAATCCCCAGGTAGCATGTCTGGAGTGATGGGGACTGTAGTCCCACAATCCCTCCCCCCCTCCTCCAGTCATTTCCTATTGAAAACCCACCCACATTTGAGAGGCCGTGACGTCAGAGGAGACGCGTCCGGACGCCCCTCTGACGTCACGCCGCGGCCAGGGAGACGGAGCTATAACGGAAAGATCGGTCGGCTTCCCTTCCCCCCACCCCCCGACCTCCCCACCGTCGTCTACGGATCCCCTCAAGGGGCAGTGACCGGCTGCTACCTCGTGCCGGGCGTCTCCATGGCGACGGCGACCGTTACATGTCCCAGCCGAGCGACGAAGCGGGCGCTCCCGCATACGGGAAGTTCTCTCGGGCAGTGGCCATAGAGAAGGAAGTGCCCGAGCAGAGGAACTTCCGGCCGAGGCGGAAACGCGCCATTTTCAAGTCCTTTGCGCCCGCCCTCCGGGGAGGGTTCGAAGCCGTGGTGCCATAGAGAGAGGGACGGCTAGACTTACTTCCCGCTCTCATTCTCTCCGCGGTAGTATTTTTCCTCATTTGATGTGCTATCTCGTGACGTCACTTCCTTCTCTCCAGTACCTACCAGTTTCTAAGAGGCTGATGACGTCATAGTCTTGAGCTGCCTTAAAAGGCAATAAAACTTTTTATTTTCTTTAGGCATCCTGACATAACCTTTAGGCATCCTGACATAACCTTTAGGCATCCTGCCATAAACAGTCCCTTCCTTGCTAATCTGGAGGAAAGAAAGCGGAAGACACGTGTTGCCTCAAGAGGACTAGAAACTTGACTCTACCTGTAAATAGGAGCATGGTAGAAAGCCAGGCTTCCACTGTTCAGTATCCTCCTCCTCACCACTATTTTAGTTTGGTTTCAGTTCTAAATGTAGAAACTACCGTAGTATCTAATAACTGTGAAGACTGGTATCAACAGGACTAGAAACTTGTTTGGCTTTAATTAGGAATGGTTTGAAGCTCAACCTCGGGGAACTTTCAATATCTCGGGTCGCCTTCCTGACATCCAGAGTAGAAGAGCAATTTTTAGATTTACTTGTAAGCTGCCCATTGAGACAGTGAGATGGGCGGTGTATAAATTTTGACGAATAAATAGGGTAAAATTAATCAAAGGTTAAGGAATGTTTCCCTTATTCCTTCCCAATCTTTCGAGTCCTGTGGTAAGTTGTCTGTGAATTAATCTCGGAGTGACTTTTTTTATTCCTGCAGCCTCGGCAAGAGAAATTACTGACCCTCTTCAGTTCAGAAAACTCAGCTCTTTCTTTAAACATTGGAAGGGTAACAGAATAATAAGAGAATAACAGAGTTGGAAGGGACTTTGGAGGTCATCTAGTCCAGCTCCTTCCCCCCTCCGTCAAGCAGGCAACCCTATAACATTTCAGACAAAAGGTTATCCAACATCTTAAAAACTTCCAGTGTTGGAGCCTTCACAACTTCTGGTGGCAAGTTGTTCCACGGATTCATTGTTCTCACTGTCAGGAAATTTCTCCTTAGTTCCAGGTTGCTTCTCTCCTTGGTTAGTTTCCACCCGTTGCTTCTCATCCTGCCTTCAGGTGCTTTGGAGAATAGCTTGACTCCCTCTTCTTTGGGGCAGCCGTTGAGATATCGGAACACAGCTATTATGTCTGTGCCTGCTCCTTCTTTTCATCAAACTAGACCTACCCAATTCCTGCCATAGTCTTAGAAGAAGAAAAAATAATTGTAAGGGTTACTCTACAGAGTTACTCTCTGTTAATGTTATCTAATTTTAGGTTCTATTTAATTGGGCCAAACTATGTTATAGTAATAATTTTAATTAGCAATTTTATGATGTTTGTATATCTATATTTTTCTTGACTGTACACCGCCTTGAGTCCTACGGGAGAAAGGCGGTATAGAAATATAATAAATAAATAAATAAATAGATAGACAGATAGATAGATAGATGATAGATAGATAGATAGATGATAGATAGATAGATAGATAGACAGATAGATAGATAGATAGATAGATAGATAATAAATACTCCAGCCTCATCTTTCCATAAGGGGCATTTCTCAAAAAAGGAAATTGCATTTGGGAATCCCTCAGATTTATTCTTTTCCTCACAGGGGAATGTGAGTCTTAAAAAAAAACACCAAAGGATTGGCATTTTACGCATGTTCAAGAGAGTCCTCATCACACGCAAGTTAAATCTGACCTATGCCTGGCTCTGAGTGGTGTCTGAAATTAGTAATTTCTCTCTTGTCTTTTTTCTTTTCCTCCTCCTCGCTTCTGGCTTGCTCCGCCCTGCCAAAGGAGGAGCAGATTGTGCGAACAGGCCCACCTCCCTGACTGATGGAGGTAGCCCCGGTGATGGCTGCGGAAGAAGAGGACAGGAGGATCTGTCAGAGAACAGAGGCAGGTGTGTTTGTCTGCAGGGCAATCCGGGCAACAATTGTGTTGCTCTGCATTGCACGTAGGGGGATAATTTGCAATTGTGGTTTGAAAAAGCTGTTCTGGAGACATTTGACAGCTGACCTTTTCTGTCTGCACAACTGCAAGAAGGAAATCGATTTAGAACTAAGGACGTCTTTGGATATCGTTCATTGTTGGTGTGGGCTGTATTATAGTTATTTGTTCATCAAATTAATACCTTTGACAAAGAGGCTTCGTGGGGAAGACGGTTGAATTTTGTTCCCGCCGAGAAAAGCAAACGGAGTAGCCTGAATTACCATCAAGATCTAGACAGAAGATAGTTTGGAAATCATCTGAACGGATTCCTTTTTTTTTTTTTTTTTTAAGAATTGTTTTACAAGTAGGAATATAATGTGAATCACCGTGGCATAAACCTTCGTGGTCTGCTAATGCTAAGCCCAGTTAGATTCAGGAGGAAACGCAGAAAATTGAATTGATTTGTCCAAACTTTTCATCATTTATGAATAAACCTGTGTTGTATCTTTAATGTCTTTGATCAGGTAAGAGATTTATAGTAAGGGACGGGTTGATTAAAATATAGCTTGTATGTCATTATAGCTGGGTTACTGTACGGTATTCAAAAAAATTAGAAGAGCCATTTGCAATTGTATTTTTGTTTATTTTTTGTGTTCCGGCGTATGTGCACATTTGATTCTTTCTGTACCAGGACTATGAAATTGACAGTGTTTTGTGTACACATCCCCAAATACAACAATTTCACTGTTAGTTGTGCATGAAATTTAAATGAATTCATAGTAACTGATGAGAGTTGTTATCATGTTATCTTTAATGATATTAAGTAACAGAAGAAGATTAAAAGGTTTCCCTTATCACAGCTCTGGCCTAAAAAGAAATCATTCTTGATCAGTTAACTTTTGATGCTTTCAAGGCTTGGAAATCCCCATGAAAACAAAGGCAGTACTTTTTCAGCTCTTTCATCACATATATTCCATTTTTTTTTCAAGGGCAGAGCGGCTGCACAAAGGAGCTTCATTTTGGCAAGTACTTTGTACACCTGGACATAAGGAAAAATAACGCACAGAGGAGGAAGCGCCGTCTCAAACCAGAGAATCAAAATGCTGCCGGTTTTTAGTCTCTCAGTACTTGTGGTTTTGATGTTGAAGGATGTGGTCGCACGCCTTGAAAACAGGCAGTTTTCAAAATTAGCAAAAGGTTCCCTGGGTTGAGGGGTCCTTGATGGTCTCTGAGATTGGTTGTTTTCTTGCAGATGTTTAGAATAGAATAGAATAGAATAGAATAGAATAGAATAGAATAGAATAGAATAGAATAGAATAGAATAGAATAGAAGGAAGGGACCTTGGAGGTCTTCTAGTCCAACCCCCTGCTTAGGCAGGAAACCCTACTCCACTTCAGACAAATAGTCATCCAACATCTTCTTAAAAGCTTCCAGTGTTGGAGCATTCACAACTTCTGGTGGCAAGTCGTTCCACAGATTAATTGTTCTCACTGTCAGGAAATTTCTCCTTAGTTCTAAGTTGCTTCTCTCCTTGATTAGTTTCCACCCGTTGCTTCTTGTCCTGCCCTCAGGTGCTTTGGAGAATAGCTTGACTCCCTCTCTTTGGGGCAGCCCCTGAGATATTGGAAGACTGCTATCCTGTCTCCCCTAGTCCTTCTTTCCATTAAACTGGACATCCCCAGTTCCAGAAATTGTTCTTCGTATGTTTTAGCCTCCAGTCCCCTAATTGTCTTGGTTGCTCTTCTCTGCACTCTTTCTAGAGTCTCTTAGCATCTTTTTTACATGGTGGCGACCAAAACTGGATGCCGTATTCCAAGTGTGGCCTTACCAAGGCCTTATAAAGTGGTATCAACACTTCACGTGATCTTGATTCTATCCCTCTGTTGATGCAGCCTAGAACTGTGTTGGCTTTTTTGGCAGCTGCTGCACACGGCTGGCTCCTATTTAAATGATTGTCCACTAGGACTCCAAGATCCCTCTCACAATTACTACTGTTGAGCGAGGTACCACAGATACGGTACCTGTGCATTTTGGTTTTTCTTGCCTAAATGTAGAACCTTCCTTTTTTTCCACCGTTGAATTTTATTTTGTTAGATAGCGCCCAATGCTCAAGTCTGTCAAGATCCTTCTGTATCTTGAGCCTTTATCTTCTGGAGTGTCGGCTGTTCCTGCCAGCTTGGTGTCATCTGCAAATTTGATGAATTCCCCATCTATTTATTTATTTATTTATTATATTTCTATACCGCCTTTCTCCCGTAGGACTCAAGGCGGTGTACAGTCAAGAAAAATATAGATACACAAACATCATAAAATTGCTAATTAAAATTATTATTATAACATAGTTTGGCCCAATTAAATAGAATCTAAAATTAGATAACATTTTAAAAACATTCACACGTTCATATGTTCCTCTTCGTCCAAGTCATTGATGAAGATATTGAAGAGTACTGGGCCTAAAACAGAGCTTTTTTAAAACGGAGTTTCATTACCCAAGTAGGTAACATCATCAATGCTAGAAGGGAGCAGGGTTTGCTAAAGGACTTAACACCGGATTTGACTGGATTGAACTGTATATAACCAGAGAGCAAACCCTTCTCCCTCCTAGCACTGAGTAATGAAACATTTGCAAGGAAACAACCAAGCTCAGGGACCCCTCATTTCAACCCTGAGCCCCAAATATTATCTTTTATTAGTTTGCTGCGTTGCCAGATGTTGTCTATATAATTTCTGGTAGAATAAATATGAAGCCTCTTGATTTTTGAGCAAGCACCGACTGCTCCTTTCACCTTGAGTTAGAAAGCAGAAGCTTTTTACAGCCTGAATCATTTTAAATGGAATTCATTGTGGGAGAGAAAATGCTTTATATACAGCATATCTTACATAAACCTTTTGCTGGCTTTTTAAACGAGTGTTTGTTACAGCCAGGTTATTATAGAGTGTTGTTTTTTTTTTAGTTTTTTTTTTCTTTCTTTCTTTTCAGCAAGGCGAATCCAGTGTGGCAGGATTTCCAGCCTTGTTTTTAATTTTTATTTTTCCATCCAATCTCATTCGGGGCCAAGTGCGAGCGCCTTTAAAACACTTTGATGTTAAACTTTGAACTTGGCTTATCAATCTGCCCTCTGCCCCAGGGAGCCGTTGGCGTGATGCCCACCCAATCTAATGGATGTTAACAATGCCCTATCTTCCTTTGCCATCTATTTTATTTCTCTCCGCTTGTTTGCTTCTTAACAGCCTCTCTGTTCGAGCTGCCTGCTTTCTTAGGAGGGAGAATGAAAAATAAACGTCTTGTTGGATTTCATTGCAACCGAATTGCCATGATCACCGTTAACGATGATGCCGAGTGCACGAGACGTTAGGTGGCCTGATTTTGACGGAAAACCTGTTTTGGCAATCGCAAAACTGCTCCCTTTTTTTGATGTCCTTTTCTTAGAACTTGGGTGGAAGTTTTATTTTTTTGGCAGGGATGGGCCTTGAAAGACGTGGCACCAGATTATAGCTTGATGTCCGACCTCTCTCTCCTAACCATTTGACTCCCAGCCAGGCAAACCGATTTTAGCTTGTTGAACCATCTGTTTTCTTGGCTCTGTTTTTGGTGGGTTTTGTGGGAGAAGCCAGGATTCCCCCAGGGTTGAATATCTGCTGCTCTACCAATCTATTTTATTTGAAGCTGCAGGAGGGGTTTGGGGGGAAATTTGGAACAGGATTTCTGCAGACGGCGGGCAAGGGGTGACGTGGATTGGGTAAAAAAAAAAAAAGTCTGGTTTAATTGACAGGTGACTCTCTTTTGAAGGAGAACTCCAATGCTTCATGTGGCAACTTGTTCCGCTGGCTGACAAGCTTGGGAGGTTTCCCTCCTGATGTCCAGCCAGAATTGTCTTTTTTGTTCAGGGTCTTGGTTAGTTCGGCCCTTGGAGAAGAAATCCCCTCCTTCTGTCTGATGACCCCTCTTTTCTTTCTCAAAAAGAACCCCCCCAAGATTCAACAGACAGAATTCCACAGGGAATGCCAGTTTGGTGAACCTCAGAACTCAGTTTACTTTGTTCAGACTCTGATTTCCAAACTTATTTTGTTCTTTTTTCATCCTTCCTTCCTTCCTTCCTTCCTTCCTTCCTTCCTTCCTTCCTTCCTTCCTTCCTTCCTCCCTCCCTCCCTCCCTCCCTCCCTCCCTCCCTCTTTTCCTTTCTTCCTCCCTTGCTCCTCCCTCCCTCCCTCCCTCTTTCCTTTCTCCCTCCCTCCCTCTCTCCTTTCCTTTCTTCCTCCCTTGTGCCTTCCTTCCTCCCTCCCTCCTTCTTTCCTCCCTCCCTCCCTTGTTCCTTCTTTCTTTCCTCCCTCCCTCCCCCTTCTTTCTTTCCTCCTGCCCTCCCTTCTTCCTTCTTTCTTTCCTCCCTCTCCCCTTCTTTCCTTCCGCCCTCCCTCCCTTGTTCATTCTTTCTTTCCTCCCTCCCTCCCCCTTTCCTTCCTCCCTCCCTCCTTTCCTTCCTCCCTCCCTCCCTCCTTCTTTCCTTCCTCCCTTGCTCGCTCCCTTGCTCCTTCCTTCCTCCCTTTCTCCCTCTTTCCTCCCTCCCTCTTTCCTTCCTTCTTTCCTTCCTTCTTCCCTCCCTCCTTTCCTTTCTTCCTCCCTCCCTCTCTTGCTCCTTCCTTCCTTTCTTCCTTCCTTCCTTCCTTCCAGACAACGGAGCAACGTGTGACCAAATGCACCTGAAGCTCTTCGCAAGCCAAGGGAATTTGGAGGGCCCCTCCGCTGAAGTCCGAGGGCTCCGCTTTGGCAGTTGAGCATCGGGCCTCACCTCCCCCGAACATGGCCACCCTAAGCGGCAGCTCCACTTTGGACCCGTCCAGCTCCGGCCCTTCCACCTCCCTCGTTTTGCCTCTGTTGGATGACAAACCCAAAGCGAAAAACCTCTTCCAGTTTGGCTCCCTCTTCCATAGCCGGAGCGAACGCTTCGTCATCGCCCGGAGCGACAGCGTGCCGGAAGAGAATGTCCTGAAAATCACCATCACGGAGACCACCGTTATCGAGTCGGACCTGGGCATCTGGAGTTCTTACGCCCTCACCTACCTCACTCTCTGGTTCTTCTTCAGCTTTTGCACTCTTTTCCTGAATAAGTACATCCTGTCACTGCTGGAAGGGGAACCGAGCATGTTAGGTAAGTGACCCCGTCCAGTGCTTTGGCTGGCTTTAGGGAATTAGGGCAGTTGAAGTCAACACCTCTTAAAGTTGCCAGCTTGAGAAACACCCATTGTCTCTTAAGTGCCGAAAATCAGCGCCGTCGTTCTCTCCGTTCTTGAGATTTGCAAACGCCCTGAGCTTTTCTTCGTCCTTTAGTGTAAGAGTTTTGTTTGTTCCCTCTGCCATCTGTCTGGTAAACTTGCAAGATGATGATGATGATGATTATTACTATTATTATTATTATTATTATTATTATTATTATTATTATTATTATTATTATTATTACTATTAATTAAATTTGTATGCCACCCCTCTCCGAAGACTCAGGGCGGCTCACAATGCATTTAAAATCATTATAAAAAACATTTAAACATTAAAAACATTAAAAAAACTCATTCACACCCTTCATGGCCGGATCTCACCAGATCACAAGAGCGAGATCAATGGCCCCAGGCTTGCCGGAAAAGCCAGGTCTTCACCACTTTTCGGAAGGCCAATAGGGTGGGAATGGTCCGGATCTCAGGAGGTAACTGGTTCCAGAGAGCTGGGGCAGCCACAGAGAAGGCCCTCCCCCGCGGGCCCGCCAGCCGGCATTGTTTAGCTGATGGGACCCGGAGGAGACCAACTCTCTGGGATCTTACCGGTCTCTGGGAGCTATGCGGCAGAAGGCGGTCTCGAAGATAACCTGGCCCTGAGCCATGTAGGGCTTTAAAGGTAATAACCAACACCTTGAATTGTGCCCGGAGACCAATAGGGAGCCAATGCAGCTCATGGAGAATTGGTGTAATGTGGGTGTACGTAGGTGCACCCACGACAGCTCGCGCGGCTGCGTTCTGGACCAACTGGACCAGATTTGTTTCCCTTGCCGTATACGTGTATAGCAATAGCAATAGCACTTATATACCGCTTTACAAGCGGTATATACAACTGCTCTCTAAGCGGTTGACGGAGTCACTTTTCGCCCCGGTATCCTAATTTTAGGCACCTCTCTTTCTTCCAGGCGCCGTTCAGATGCTTTCCACCACCTTCATTGGCTGCATCAAAATGTTCGTCCCCTGCTGTCTTTATCAGCACAAGACTCGTCTCTCCTACCCTCCGAATTTCATCATGATTATGCTTTTCGTTGGCCTGATGCGGTAAGGCCTGGGCACACATTTGGAGAAACTGAGTCACTTCTTCATTGGTGGATGCCTGTCTTTCTTGCCCCCCCCAATCCAAATCAGTGTGTCCCGTCCCCCCGAGGAGAAAACTTAAGTTATTATTTTTTTTATATAATATTAGCGTTTTTGGAGGAATCCTCTGAGACAAACATTGGAGAATTTCCTTTTTAAAAAAAAAAAAAATTAATCTGCTTTTGCATTAACTTTTTTAAAAAGCCAGTTTTCTCCAACTTTGAGTTTTTCAGATGTTTCCGGATTACATCTCGATAATTCGCTATATAGATCAACTGGAAAAAAATAGATTTAAACTATTGGATAAAACTAAAGTCTTCCATTTCTACCCCGTTTCCCCCAAAATAAGACATCCCCTGATAATAAGCCCAATTGGGCTTTTGAGCGTATGGCAGTAAGGCCAAGCGCTTATTTCAGGGTTCAAAAAAATATAAGACAGGGTCTTATTTTCTGGGAAACACGGTAGATAGATAGATAGATAGATAGATAGATAGATAGATAGATAGATAGACAGTTCTGTTTTTCTTCCGGAAACGTTTTGGGGGTGAAGGAAGAAAATAGGTTTGCTTGGTGTTTTGGCTGCTGCAAAGTTAAACTGCCTTCCCCCCCCCCCCCCCCCCCCCCCCGTTTGCTGCTTCTCAGGTTTGCAACTGTGGTTTTGGGGCTTGTCAGCTTGAAGAACGTGGCTGTTTCCTTTGCCGAGACCGTGAAAAGCTCAGCACCCATTTTTACCGTTATTATGTCGCGCATGATTTTAGGAGAATACACCGGTACGTTTCTCTCTCTCTCCCCCCTTCCCGGTCTCCCTCCCTTCCTTCTCTCTCTCTTTCTGTTTCTCTCTCTCCTCCTCTCTTTCCCTCCCTCCCTCCCTCTTTTTCTGTTTTTCTCTTTCTCATCCCTCTCCCTCCCTCCTTCCCCCTCTCTCTTTTCCTCCCTCCCTCCGTCCCTCTTTTTCTGTTTCTCTCTCTCTCCCTCTTTCTCTCTTTCCCTCTCCCTCCCTCCCTCTCTTTTTCTGTTTTTCTCTTTCTCCTCCCACTCCCTCCCTCCTTCCCTCTCTCTCTTTCCCTCCCTGTCCCTCCTTCCTTCATCTCTTTCTCTCCCTCCCTCTCCCCCTCCCTGCCCCCCCCTCTCTCTCCACCTCATAAGATTGTAGTTGTGGGGAAAATAGGAGGAGGAATATATGTTGGATATATTCATAGCCCTTGGTTGGGTTGTTCTTAAAAACAATAAAGGCGGAACACAAACGAATAAAGCATATTATTCAGCCCTTTGGGGGGTGCGAAGGAGACCACTTTTCAACCTCCCTGAATCTTGGACTGCAAATCAAATTGGCTGTCAGGTTTCGAGGTCATCTCAAATAAATTGCATTTCAAACAAAGTCTTTGAAGGAAAACTCCTATTTATTAAGCACGACATTCTAAAATCCGACTCCATCGAAGCCAACACTGACTTCCAGACCCAAACCCCTCCCTTTCCGTTCCCCACTCCCCTGCACTCATTGGCCATCTTCCAAGTCATTCTACCCCTAATCTACTGCTCCAGCTCAAAGGAATTTCCCCCCTCCCATCCCATCTCCTAGGGGATATTATCTCCAGGGAAAATAAGTAGGTGAAAAGTCAAACGCCCCTTTCCAGACGCCTCCGCTTCTCCTTCTTATGTCAGCACTAGAGTAAATGCAGCTTGAAGTGCTGACATCGGCCAGGAGTCTTTTAACTGGCTGCTGTTTCTACGCTTCTGTTCCTTTGTTCCCTTCTGATTTGTGTCCCAAATTGTTCCAGGGCTGTTCGTGAATCTCTCTCTGGTCCCCGTGATGGGCGGGCTGGCCTTGTGCACAGCGACCGAACTGAGTTTCAACATCCTCGGCTTCTCGGCGGCCTTGTCGACGAACATTATGGACTGGTAGGCATCGCGGAAGCTCAAAAGCGGGAGGCGTGAAGGGGAAATTTGCTTAAAGATGCTCAGCTGACCTTGGAAACATCTGCAGAGTTATTTTTAGTCGTTCTGGGCAGTCCTTCCCCTTTGCTCTTGGTTATTTCCGTTCAAACTTTAAAACGAATGTCGCTTCTTTCTCCTTTTTTTTTTTTTTTTTTCGCAGTTTGCAGAACGTTTTCTCCAAAAAGCTGCTGAGTGGGGACAAATACCGTTTCTCGTAAGTATCTGGTCATTTAAAAGCTTTGCACGATTTAACAGAAGTTTTGGGAGTGGGTGCGGTGGGCCTAGAGGTGGAGCTCTCGCCTCACAATCAGGAGGCCGTGGGTTCGATCCTAAGGAGAGGCAGATATTTCTCTCTCTCTCTCGGCACAATGAGACTATATCTGCTGAACAAAACTCCGCCCTGGTGATAGGAAGGGCATCCGGCCAGTAAAAAAACACTCTGCTAGCTCCATTCAGTTGCCCAGACTCCACCCCGCAAAAGATTATGGGGTCGTTAAAAGGAGATGATGATGATTTAACAGAAGCTTAGCTTCTCCTCCGCTCCGAGGGACCTACATTAATTTCCTCGGGTGACCCTTCAAGTCCCCCAGAATAATTGTTTGGTTCACTTCATTCATTCCTTTTCGTCCCCCTCTCCTTTTTTTATTTTTCTTTCTTTTTCTTTTCTTTTGCAGGGCTCCTGAGCTTCAGTTCTACACTAGTGCAGCTGCTGTGATCATGCTTATTCCGGCTTGGGTCTTTTTCATGGTGAGATATCCCCCCACACCCCCACCCCCACACACACCGTTTGGGAATGAGGTGGCATGTTGCTGTTTGTCAAACAGGCCACACCTGAGGTTCTGTCTTGTAGTGTAGAAATTCAGGTTTGGGGAATGGTGTGAACGGTTGCAAGTCACAAGCTGGCATTCGGCAGGTGGGGCCCAAACTGAGTGGAACAGGCATTTTTCTCTTTTCTGGCTGCTCAGGCGTTCTTTCTTTCCTTCCTTCTACCCTCTCTCCGTCTCTCCCTTCCTTCCTTCTCCATTTTTCCTGTTCTCATCTATCTATCTACCTACCTTCCTTCCTTCCTTCCCCCTTTTACCTGGTGTCATTTTCCTTCCTTCCTTCCTTCCTTCCTTCCTTCCTTCCTTCCTTCCTTCTCCCTTTTCCTGTTCTCTCCTTCCTTCCTTCCTCCCTCCCTCTCTCCCTCCCTGCTTCCCTCTCTCCCTTCCTTCCACTTTTCCCATTCTCTACTTCCTTCCTCCCTCCCTCCCTCCCTCCCTTCCTTCTCTCTCTACCTCTCTGCCCCTCCATTCCTCCATTCATTCTTGCATCCTTACTGCATCTCTCCCATCTCTTTCTCCTCATCTCTTTTTCTTCCTTTCTCCCACTCTTTCCTTTTTTTCCCCTTTCTCCTTTCTGCTCCTTCCAGCCACCTGCTGGGAGGAGGGGGAAAACGTCCCTCTTGATCGACATATCTATATGCTTGGAAACGACATAACACTTAGCTTCATATTGCCAGCCCCATGTCAATAAAGGGTTGCTTCATTCAGCACCCCCACGGCCTTTCGTGCCATACGACGTGAAATTGGGGGAAAACAGGGCAGAAAACTCTGCTAAAGCATTCCAGAAGGATCTCAAATTGAGCTCCTGGCGCTGCCTCCCTTTTAACCTCCTGCCCTCTCCTTCCCTTCTGTTTCGTTCCTTCTTTTCCCGCCGGAAAGGATATGCCGGTGATCGGGAAAAGTGGGCGGAGTTTCCAGTACAACCAGGACATTGTGGTGTTGCTCCTGATGGACGGAGTGCTGTTCCACCTCCAAAGCGTCACCGCTTACGCGTTGATGGGCAAGATTTCCCCCGTAACGTTCAGGTAAACGAAACCCAGAAATACCGTAGGGGTCATCATCCGATAAGAAGCAAGCAGAGTGGCGCGGTGGCCTAGAGGCGGAGCTCTCGCCTCACAATCAGGAGGCTGTGAGTTCGATCCTAGGTAGAGGCAGATATTTCTCTCTGTGGGCACAATGAGAAATATATCTGCTGAACAAAACTCCGCGCTGGCAACAGGAAAGGCATCCGGCCATTCAACACTCTGCTAGCTCCATTCAGTTGCCCAGACTCCACCCCGCGAGGGATGATGGATAAATGATGATGATGATAATCTGATAAGAAGCTCCTTTATTTAGACTAGAATAGAATAACAGAGTGGGAAGGGACCTTGGAGGCCTTCTAGTCCAACCCCCTGCCCAGGCAGGAAACCCTACACCACTTCAGACAAAGGGTTATCCAACCTCTTCTTAAAAATTTCCAGTGTTGGGGCATTCACAACTTGTTCCACTTATTAATTGTTCTAACTGTCAGGAAATTTAGAACTAAGTTCTAAATTGCTTCTCTCCTTGATTAGTTTCCACCCATTGCTTCTTGTTCTACCCTCAGGTGTAGATTTACAGGGTGTATCTATACCTGAGTGGGTAGATACACTCATTTCAGGGGTAGATTTACAAGGAAGCCATGGGGCGGCTTCATCCAGGCTGGCAAAGGTTCCCGGTTCCCATTTAGCGTGGCCTTCCCGATCCCGAGACTCTCTTTGGGGCAGCTGGACTACAGCACCCATCATCCCTAGCCATGCTGCAAGGGCTGTAAGCTTGTCTTGTTTTGGCAATGCTGCTTATCAATCGTGCAGAGCAGGAGAGTTACAGCCGAAGGATTGCTTCTCTTTTCTCATTTCGTGTATTCACATTTGCAGCAAGTTTTCTGAGGTTCTTTAATTGGGCCTCGATCCAACCAGCATCTCCTCCTATTCCTACCTATTATACACAGGCACCTCCTTGAGTATGAAATCACTCCCAATTTTTTCTCAGTCTCCTCCTGTTTTCCTGTCCTTCCCACAGCGTGGCCAGCACGGTGAAGCACGCCCTGTCCATCTGGCTCAGCATTATCGTCTTCGGGAACAAGATCACCAGCCTCTCGGCCATCGGGACAGTGCTAGTGATCATCGGAGTCATGCTGTATAACAGAGCCAAGCAGCACCAGCAAGAAACCCTCCAGAATCTGGTGGGAACATCCGCTACCCCCCAACTGTCTCCAGTGATCAAGGAAGACTCCGAGCCCCTCCTCTCCAAAGACTCCCGTCCTTTCGAATGAGACCACCGCCCTAAATTTAGCTACGCAGAAGTTTAAAAGAAGGACATTTTTTTCTCTCTCTCTCTTGAGTGATCCCCATCCCCAACCCCAAGGCCCATCCCACTCGCAAGCCGGGGCCTGCTACGATAAGAAAAACGCGGGCGCAGAGACCACAAGCGTTGTATGGAAGAGTTCTTCCTAAGACTTTTGCGCTCTGCCGTCCATTTTATTCGAAAGTGTCTTTCAAGACACTTTTGGTCCATCATCCGATGTGAAATCCAGCAAAGTTTGCCATTGTCCAAGGTTGCACAAAAGGAAAACAAAAACCCAGCTGGTCCAAACTCCCAAAAGCTGGGGGAAAAAAATCGGCTTCCGGAGTCTCAAAAATCGCCAAATGTCCCTTGCTGGGAACAATCACAATCACCAGCGTGCAACTGATATTCCGTCCTAGGAATTCCTTCGTTAGGTCTGCGTTCCAGATGAAACCTTTCTGAAGTTGTTCTGCTGAGAAGTCATCAGCAATTTTGACCCACAGCAACCTCTATCTCGCCTCCAAGCTAAAGTTTCGGCTTTCCCTCCCCCGAGAACGGACCATGTTGGCTTGTTTGTGGGGAAGAGCTGAGAAACGTTTTTTGCACAGGTGGCAAAGGAGAGGCCGCTTCGATATTTGTTTTATTTTGTTTCCGTCCCGTTGAGGGCTTGCAATAAACCTCAGCCAGCCTTTCGAAATCCGGATGCCCTGCTAATAGCAATCAAAAAATGATTTTGGGAAAAGGCACGCTAGAGTTTCTAGCTTCTAGCTAGCTAGCTTCTAGCTTCTTTGGAGTTTTAAGACCGGACACATTTGGGATTGTAAAAACGAGGAGAAAAATTGTGCGTTGCGTATTGTCCTGGATCATGTTGGCGTGGGATGCCTCTTAGCAATCAAATTAACCAAAAAAACTACTGGAAGAAGGAAATGAAATTTTTGCGGAGCCAGAGTTTTAAAACTCGACGCGTTCGGGATTGTAAAAAACGAGAAAATTGTGCGGTGCGTTTTGTCCAGGATCATGTTGGTGTGGGATGCCTCTTAGCAATCAAATAACCAAAAAAAACCCCCAACAAACTGCTGGAGAAGGAAATGAGATTTTACAGAGCGAAACCCTCTCAAAATAATGTTTGTAAATCCCATGAGGTGTTTTGGGAAGCTGCCTTTATGTCAGCTCATATCCGTCTAGCTTAGTTTTGCTACTCTGGGACCGCTGAAGTTATTCCCTCCTAGTTCACGACAAATCCATCCACGTCCTTGTGGCTTCGGTATCGATAGCCCAGGACTTGAATTCTGTTCATGTGCTGTTAGCAACTTCCTTGGAGGTAAAAACCACTGAGCTGGTCAGATTCTTATGAATTGAGCAGCTTGAAGCTCTGAGCCTATATTGATTGTCTGTGCTACAATCCGTCTGAACGAAACGTGGTCAGGTATTCATCGTAGGGGAAAAATAATGTTTACCCTCGGCACGTTAATACGTTTTTAAATTTCAGAGTGGGAAAAAAAAATCACTCCACGTTTCCTGATTTGTCAGCCAGCAGGAACATAAATTGGCTGCCCGACCCCAAATGTTTTACTCTCTTCCTTCCCACCCCCCAGCTCAGCTTTGTTAGTCGAAAAAAGGGGTACGGCAAACAATGCTTTCTGTTTAAAGAACAGAATATGAGGAGCGCTTGGACTTTGGATGCAAAATTTCTCAGGCAGAAACAGTCTCCCTGCTGTTTGTCGCTCCAAAACGCCGACATTATTTTCTCTCGTCCTGGGCATACTTGAAAGGCAAACATTTTTTTACAGGTGCTTTGTGTGTCGGGGCCAAAATCATCCGTATCTCAGATGCCAAGGTAAGACGGCAAAAGAGTTTGGAGGCTGATTTAAGAACGGGTGGTGCACTTGCTCGCAAGCCACTTGGCATCATTCCGATGACCACTTTAAAAATCTTGACTAGAGACCAATCCTGTGGATAACGTTTCATGACCTGTGTAAGACACAAATCATTTAGGATTTGTTTGGTGTAGTAGGGAGTTTCCCCCCCCCCAAAAAAAGAAACTTAATCCAGGTGTAATCTTGTATCTGTTTTCTTCTCGGAAGTCTGCATCAAAACATTAAACGTCACTGAAGGTGCATCTGATTTTTTTTCTCTTTGGTTTATATGAGCATCAACCCGCGTCGTTTTTATAGCGAATAGAATAGAATAACAGAGGTAGAAGGGACCTTGGAGGTCTTCTAGTCCAACCCCCTGCTTAGAACCTGACCAGCAAAGTCAATGGGCAAGCCGTATTCACTATGTGACTAATTTAACAACTGCCACTGATTCACTTAACAACTGTGGCAAGAAAGGTCGTAAAATGGGGAGAGGGCACAAAACTCACTGAATATCTGTCTCACTTAGGCACGGAAAATTTGCGCTCAGCTATGGTCGTAAGTCAAGGACTTCCAGTGTAATGCTTTAGGCTAGTGTTTTGTCAGCTGTGGCAACTTTGAAATGCGTGGACTAGCCGCTGGGGAATTCTGGGAGTTGGGAGTCCACACATATTGAGCCTCGTATTGAGTACTGCAGGCTACTTCTGCTGACTATCGGCTGCCTGCAATTTGGCAGTTCAAATCCCACCAGGCTCAAGGTTGACTCAGCCTTCCATCCTTCCGAGGTAGGTAAAATGAGGAGCCAGATTGTTGGGGCAAGAGGCTGACTCTGTAAACCTCTTAGTGGGTAAAATGAACCTTTCTTTCTTTCTTTCTTTCTTTCTTTCTTTCTTTCTTTCTTTCTTTCATCCATTACATCTTCCTTCCTTCCTCCCTCCTTCACTATTTCTACTTCCTTCCCTCCCTTCCTTCCTTCCATCCATCCATTACATCTTCCTTCCTTTCTTCCTCCTTCACTATTTCTACTTCCTTCCTTCCTTTCTTCCTTCCTCCACTATTTCTACTTCCTGCCTTCCCTCCCTCCCTTCCTTCCTTCCCAGTGCTTAGAATGCAATATTGCAGGTTAATTCTGCCCACTGCCAGCAGTTCGATCCTGACCAACTGGCTCAAAGTTGACTCAGCCTTCCATCCTTCCGAGGTCGATAAAATGAGGACCCAGATTGTTGGGGGCAATAGGGCTGACTCTAAATGGCTTAGAGAGAGGGCTGTAAAAGCACTGTAAAGCGATATATAAGTCTTAAGTGCTATTGTATCTTTAAATTGCCAGATTTTTGGGGGGAGGGGGCATTGTAAATATTTTATTTCGGAGGGTATTTTAAAAGTTTAAAAAGTAGGATTCTTGCAACAGCTTTCTTTGACTAAGTAGCCTAAAGGACAATTCCTGAATTTCTCTATTTGAGATTTATTGCGAAGTCCTTGGCAAGGGGAGTCGGACACAGGTTAAATCTTCAGAAAATAAGAGTTTATATTAGTTTTTTTAGCCTAAGGACAATTCCTGAATTTCTGTATTGAAGATACAGAAAATATAGTCGACTAGCTCGGAAGTGTACGGCCAGCGATACCCCTCTACACTTTCGAACATCTATGAATCGTCGAGCTTCAATTGAGAGGCCTCTGACGAGGGGAGGAGGGGAAAGAAAAAAAAATCCTTCACGCGACGTCATCACCCCACGCCGGATGTGAAGCGCAGGCCGGACGGCCCAACTTCCGGCCGCACCATCCTCAGGCGAGTGGGTCCCGTTAAAGCAGCGGTGGCGGTGCCAAGGCCGTGAGGGAAGGTGAGGTCGATGTCCGGCTGGGCCCTTCTCCGCTTCTCGCAGCCTTCAAGCCCGGCGAAGCGGCTGAGAGAGCCGGCAGCGGGGCGGAAGGGAGCTCGGCGGCCCGGGAGGCGGCCGCTGAGGAGAATGGCCTACGTCGGAGGGCCGGTGTTTTTGGCGGGCTGCTGTGGAGAAATGTTTTTCGAGGTGGGGGAGGGGCGGCCGGTTTCTGTGGAGAATTGGGCCTTTGAAGTACCGTTTTCAAATTTCAGGGTTTTTTTAAAAAAAATTATTTTTTATTATTTATTACTTTATAATAATTTATTTTTATTTTACAATAAATAATTTTATAGTATAACAAATATAGTGTAAATATAATAAATGTAATAAATGTCCTGATTTTATGGTGGGTTTTTAAAATTTGAAACTGGTTTTGAATTGAAATGTTTTAAATTGTGGGCCAAACTTTATTTAATTATTTTAAATCTATTTTAACTTTTGTGTACAAATGTTTTACTTCGGCGGTTCACCGCCCTGAGTCCGAAAGGAGAAGGGCGGTATAGAAATCTGAAAAATAAATAAATAAAATAAATAAATGTTAATATAATCAATATAATAAATGTTAATATAATAAATGTTAATATTATAAATGTAATAAATGTAAATATAAATATAATAAATGTAAATATAATAAATGTAATAAATGTTAATATAAATATAATAAATGTTAATATAATAAATATAATAAATTTAAATATAATAAATAGTTATAAAATAAATATTTTATAATAAATAATAATAATGATTATTACATCTTTTAAGCATAATTAGTACAGCCCCAAATAACTTGCAGGAAAAACTTCTTGTTGTCCAACACAACAACAATGGATTGAAATTCCCCCTCCATTGGGTAATAGACTGACCCATAATGATGAACAACTCTAAAGAAATCCATAGATGCATTGCTCAGAAGAAACCAGCTGATAAATTGTGGCGTTTTAGATTTAGGATTTTCTGAAGGCCAAGGGAACACTTTCCTCACTGTGGGTGTAGATTCCAGCGACTGAATGGTTGTGTTCCCTCCTAGTGCCTTTTGTAACACAAATGGGTGATGAAAAGGAATCGTGGAAGGTGAAAACGTTAGATGAAATTCTTCAGGAGAAGAAACGCCGGAAGGAGCAGGAAGAAAAAGCAGATACCAAGCGCCTCAAAAATGTGAGTTTGGGATTTTGTATCGGGAAATTTTCTTTTCTGTGATTTGCACAGCAGTTCTTTTTTTTTGATAATAATGGGATTCAGCTCTTTTGAAAAAAAGTATGCATATTGTGTGTCTTCTTTTCAGTCGTATGATAATTCTCAGCCCTTTTCACTCTCTCTGTTTAAGTTGATGAGGGCACTTTCCCGAAAGCCAAAATGAATCTTTTCTTCCTAACTCACCCTAGTCTGATGACCGGGATTCAAAGCGAGATTCCCTTGAAGAGGGAGAGTTAAGAGATCACCGTATGGAGATCACTATTAGAAATTCACCTTACAGGAGAGAAGATTCTATGGACGACAGGTGAGAAAGCTGCTATAGGTAGTCCTTGATTTACGACCACAATTGAGCCCAAAATTTCTGCTGCTCAGTGAGACAAATGTGAAGTCCGTTTTGCCCCAGTTTATGACTTTTTTTTAAGTGAATCACTGCAGTTGTTTAAGTTACGTTAAGTTATGACGGTCCCCCGGGACCATCATAAATATTGAGTCAGTTGCCAAACCTCTGAATTTTCAATCACGTAGACATAGGGATGATATAATTGTGAAAAACTGTTATAAGTCACTTTTTTCAGTGCTGTTATAACTTTGAACGGTCACTAAATGAACTGTTGAAAGTCAATGACTGTACTGGATTGCAAGAGAAAATCAATGTTTAGTAGAGTCGTTCAGGTTTCTTCATTTGAAAGGACTTTTCAATCCCTGACCTCCAACTTCCCAGAGTGCCTTGCAAAAAAAACAAAATCCCCCTCAGGATGAGCTAGCATGTTTGAGAAGAGAAGCCGCAAATTGTTGCATCTCTCTAGGAGCAACCTGAACTGTTGTGTTGCTGTTATAATCTACTGAAATTGCTGCTTATAGTGATTGACAGTTTATGGAAAGAAGAACTTCATGGAGGGTTGTTGGGTTTTTTTGGCATAGCTAATGAAATGGCCCTGCTTTCTTTGCTGGTTTTGAAGCAATTTAGATTTTGAAGCAACTTTTGGGAGCATTTGGGGTGAATGGCAGCATAAGAATAAGTTTTAAGTCATATATAAAGCACCAGTGAGAATCATGACTCTCATTGTTTGCAGCCTTAGAGATATCAGAGGGGGGAAAAGCGAATTGGGAAGAGGAAAAGCAAAATAACTTGTCACTTAGGATCACTTAGGTGAGATGGCGGTTGTAGCTTTCTCCAGTCTTACTTTTTTTCGTGCTCCATTTATGTGCTCCATAGGGGAGAGGAGGACGATTCGCTGGCAATCAAACCGCCCCAGCAAATGTCACGCAAGGAGAAAGCCCACCACAGAAAAGACGAGAAGCGGAAAGAAAAAAGACGACATCGCAGTCACTCAGCAGAAGGTTCCGTTCTTCTCATTTGGGGATTCCTCTGTTGCTTTTGATAAAAACGCTCTGTACGGTCACAAGCCTAAGGGCCACAAGTACAAGGTTGGGAAGTAGTGAAGGTTCTGAGGCCAGCAGATCCGTCTAGGAATCGCTTTGTGGCACTGCCTATTCAGGCAAGGTTTTAAGCTTGTGGAAGCTTAGAAGTATGAAAGTAGGTTCACAGAGAGCATTTAGTCCTACTCCATGCTAATACATGAGCTTCTCGTGTGGAAATCATAACATGAGCCGTGGTGGTGCATTGCTCAGAATGCAGTATTGCAGGCTGACTTTGCCCACTGTCAGGAAGTTTGATCCTGACCGGTTCAAGGTTGATGCAGCCTTCCATCCATCTGAGGTCAGTAAAATGAGGACCCAGATTGTTGGGGGCAATATGCTGGCACTGTAAACCGCTTGGAGTGTGCTGCAAAGCACTGTGGAGCGGTATGTAAGTCTTATTGCTATTGCTATTCTTTGCTTCAGCACCCTGCCTTCAAACAATGTCCACTCAAGTTGCATTTCCCCAGCATTTGAGAAAGAAAATCAGATCCATATCCACATATAAAAGGGTAAAAACAGCCTCTGGATTTTGGGAAGCAGTTGTGACTCTTAACCTGGCTTGTTTTTACTTTCTAATTTTGAGATCTACTGCTTTGATATATGGAAGCTCTAGCCTTTCTTTCTGTAAATACATTCTTAAGGCAGTCTTTTAGGGGAGCCATCCAGACCAGACGAAACACTTTCCCCCACCCCTATTATTATTATATATATATATATATATTTCAAATAATAAAAATAGACTATGGAAATAGGAAATGCCAGTACAAGTAGTGAAATGCAGGCAGTTAAGCAACAAATCTGAAATACAAAATTAATTCATTGTATTACATTATTAGAAGCTTATAATATTTTAAGCTATCTCATACTCATTGTTCTAACCTAGGCCTCCTGAGTCAGTAAAACATACGAGTAGTCCCAAAAACCTGTTTTATTTTAACAGCTGTGAATTCTGTTCATTCACAGATGAGTCCCAAAAAGTTCTAAAGAGTCCTTCGGGATAAGGCTGATCATCACCCACCTTTTTCTCCCTTGACAGCTGCCAAAGACCTAATTGGCAAAGCCACATGGAGTCCAGAATTAGACTTTAAACTGCACAGAGTTAACAACGTTGCTTCCTGCAAAGGCCCACATACCTTTGCTCCTCTTTTAAGTCTTATGGGAGGGGTCAATCATCTCCCAGCCCTACTCCTGAGTCGTCCCTTTTGTTTTAACTGTTCTTGCCTTCTGGCAGCTCTGCGCAAGCGTGCACTGGGAACAGGCTCCCCCTTTTTCCTCTGTCTCGCTGAGGTCTGACTGAAGGCTCCGGAGGCAGCACATACCTCCCAGATGGCCCTTTTTCTGCCTCTGACACAGAGCCCTCATCCGAGCCTTCCCCAGATTCCAGGACTGGCCCATGGTCCTCTCCAGCCTCCTCACTGTCCGACGTTGCTGCCAGCTCCGCAGGCTGCTGGCGCATCACAACACTCATTTTCTTATCTATCCCTGGCAAACATTAAGCTAATAATGCTTGTTTAACTCAGTTTGGATCATTAATAAAATAAAAAAAGACCCACACATAAAATCAATACTGGACACGACACATCAAAATTAAGATTACGCATTCTCACACCCAAGTTTTGGCTGAGGACCGATTCCTAATAGGCTTGGACTGCAAATCCCATCATTCCCAGTACAGCCACAGAGTCTGCTGGCTAGAACAGTTGCAGGAAGTGCCTGAGCCAAGGCTAAAACCAACCAGCCCATCTTTTTCTTTTTCCATTCCTTTGCTCTAGTAAGTTTCCAAATGCCGTTTGCAAAGGAGGGGTAACCGACGCCTCCTTTTCTTTGTATCTTTATCACTAGGGAAACATGCTAGGGTGAAAGAGAAAGAACGCGAGCATGAACGTAGAAAAAGGCACCGCGAAGAGCAGGATAAGGCCCGTCGCGAATGGGAGAGGCAGAAAAGGAGAGAATTGGCTAGGGAGCACTCGCGGAGAGAGAGGTAATTTTTGTACCAGGCCCAAATGCAACATTTCTTCCTTAGAGATCTTGAGCAATTTCATTTGGATACTTGGTTATATTTCTTAACACTTTTTCCATTTGCTGAGGGGGAATTGACACGATCCTGTCAACGATGTCATTTATTTATTTGTATTTAATTTATGTAATTTCTTACCCCACCTTTATAATTTTTTTTTACAAATAAAGGCAGCAAAAACATGTCCAACACAACTTCCTCCTATCTCAGCCCTGTGAGGTGGGTTGGGCCAAGAGAGAGTGATTGGCTCAAAATCACCCAGCTTTCTTTCATGGCTAAAATGGGACTAGAACTCACCATCTCCTGATGATTGGCTCCAATGTCATCCAGCTAGCTTTCATAGCTAAGGCAGGACTTGGACATGCCATCTCCTGCTTCCCAGCCTGGTGCCTTAACCACTAGACCAAACTGGCTCATTGTCGCTTTATGATAGAAACCAGCATTTCAGTATCGTCAATAGAGAGAAATGATCATAGATCTGCTTCAGTTTTTGTGAAGAAATAGGCCTTTTACCTACCAAGTTCAAATTCCTGGAGATTTTGCTTATTACATCTTTTAAGCACAGTTAGCTTACTTGGAATGGCTGTGAGTGCTTGGAAAGCATGTGGGCCAGCTGATAAATTTTAAAAGTTGCAGGCGGTAGAATTAGGGTGGGAGGTGTCAGAAAACTACTGTGGTGTCCCCTCCCAGCTCCTTGTAGATGTCTAAACTAAAGGTGTTTTGATTTGATTAACATTGATAGTACATTTTGGTTTTGAAATGGGAGCATATTAATAAGCTCTAGTAAGAATGTCCCTAAATAAGAGAATGATACAATTTCACGTTTGTGGCATTCTACCAGTTACATTTTGTTCCCAAATAGACTCTGCTGAGCATCTGGTTATATTAAATCCGAGCAATTAAATATTGAGATTGTATCTGCATTTGAAGTTAAAGACAGCCCTCTTGTTAACTGCTTAAGGCTTACGTACATATAGTTGAAATACAAATAATATATAAATAAACCCAGCAACCAATTTAGATCAGTTTAGTTTTTCTGTTGCGTCTGCCCTTCCTGAAGATTTAGTAATTGTGTAAAACTTAGAAGAAGCAATGTCTAATTCTAATTCTTTCCTTAAGTATCTAAATCAGACAGGTCCATATTTCTTTTTTTTTTTTTTTGACATATATTTAATATATCTCAACAAGTCTCAACTACGGTAGATAGTAGTAACCTCTTAACGATTCCCTTTAAAATTGGTATATGCTCTTTCCTGGTGCCTGGCAGTTTCCCTTCTATCTCTATCCCTCTATCTTGCAAAGCATCCCTGGCCTGTTCTCGAGTTGCCATAGGCCAGGGGGGATGGGAAACCGGCGAAACTGCACAGCAGCCAAAGACAGATGCACATTCCACACTTATCTCTCTCAAGGCTGTATCCAGGGTGACCTACAGCAGCCGGAGGGGAGTGACCTTTACAATCCTCGAAATGTGACTGATGACACACCCTGGGGTGGAGGGGGGAAACAGGGTCATAATTGGAGCATAAATTATGTAGGGTCACTTGGGAACCTGCCGACATGAAGCTCCTAATAAATAACTGGATTTCTTTTGAAGCTTGGCTCGAGACTCATGATTTAATTAGGGCATCCGTGGGAACCCTGACACTAAATATGTTGTTATTAAGCTAAGACTGGGTGCCTGAATATAATATTATTTTAAAAGTTTGAGCCTGAAGAACTGTGAGATTTTTGTCTCGAGTAGGTGTCAATCCTTCCTGCCATCGTTAGTCTCTCATTCTTTCAACAATCAAAGGCAAAACGATTGTATTGGCCTCGCTCAAATTCTGACGTGAACTATACTTTTCCTATTGCAGAACGTTAGTCTTTCACTTCCGTTTATGTGAACCGTTCTGGGTAGGAAAACCGATAAATAAGGCTCCTTCTCCTGAAAGAGAAAATGAAACTCAACTTGAGCGCAATTCATCCGCACGCTGGACTAATAAAATTAACGTCGATACATGCAAACTCTCTAGAGACCGCTTGGAGCAACTGGAACGAAAACGGGAACGGGAAAGGAAATTAAGGGAACAGCAGAAGGAGCAGCGAGAGTTGAAAGAACGGGAGAGGCGAGCGGAAGAAAGGAGGAAAGAACGGGAAGCCAGAAGGGAGAGTAAGTAGCCCAGGGAGCAAAATGCGGGGTGGGCTGTGTGCTAAGCGGTGAGTAATGTGGGGAACGAGCGTATGGTACTTCTTGCATAGGAGTTATAGGCAAGTACCAATAAAAGAGAATAATTTGTAGCTTACTGTAGGATTGAAATGAGAGGTCCTTGATGCTCTGGGAACCTTGCAGACGTTTCATTACCCAACTAGGTAAGATCATCAGTGCTAGTGATGATGTCACTAATGTTCTGACCTAAGCTCCCTTAACAAGCAGGAGGCAGGAATTGGTCCCGGCAAAACCTCTTTTATTTAAACGACTGTGAATTACGTTCATTCACAGTCAGCAAGGTTTGTCCAAGCAGTTTTTCAAAGGAATATATCTCCACACAGACCTTATCTCGTTTGGCAAGCTGCCACGTAACTTGTTTCCAACCGGAGTACAAGGCCAAACATGGCACAGAGTCTCTCAGAGTCACGGAATGAACGAATTGTTTCCTGCAAAAGCCCCCTCCCTGTTCGCTCCTCTTTTATTTCATATGGGAGGGGCCAATCACCCCCAAGGTGTGGCTTTACTCCTGAGTCGACCCTGCTTTCTGAGTTGTTCTTGTCTTCCGGCAGCTCTGTGCACGCACACCCTGGGAACGGGCTCCAGCTGTTCCTCTGCCTCACTGCTGTCTACCTCCCTCTCTGCCTCCCACGCAGAGCCCCCGTCCGAGCTTTCCCCAGCCCCCAGGACTGGCCCAAGTTCCTCCCCAGCCTCCTCACTGTCTGACTCTGCTGCCAGCTCCACTGGCTGCTGAAGGGCCACAACAACTAGCACTGATGCTAGTAGCACTGTTGCTACTACCGGTAGCCCTAATGATGTTACCTAGTTGGGTAATTAAATGACCACAAGAAAACAACCAAGCCTCAGAGACCACCAAGGACCCCTTATGGGCAAGTTGGAAGTTGAAACGAGACTCAGAAGTTAAAGCCAACCTGGAAGGGGAAACTTGCTGGTTAATAGAATTTCATTTTTACTGTGGGCCAGTGTGCTCACAGTAAAAAAAAATGACCATAAAGGTTATCTTATCCAAGGGGGCTAGGCAGCTCAGGTAGATTCTGAACATCTGGGCGGGGCTCATCTTCAGGTGATGTAGCTTGGTCTGGATACAGTCAGGTGCCTGGCCGGAGTGAGTCTCATCTCGGGAGAATTGTAAAGATTTGAAATATCACCCTGGGAAAAATGACAACAGATGTCCCTTGTCTCTGTTAGTCTCAGGGCATCATAGGACAATGAGGGAAGACTACGGAGAGAAAGTGAGAATATGGAGCCGAAGTCCCCTGCGGCAACAGAGGGAAAAGCTTGAACCGTCAGAAATCAGGAAGCCAGGTAGCTTTTAAATTCATCAACCGAACTTGTGGGTATCTTGATTGAAACCACCAAGATGGGGATGGCTTGAAAGTACATTGCAAGTTTTATTAATCATCAAACTTCTATTTTAAATCGTGTGATTTAAGTATTACCCTGCATGCAGGGTGACTGAAAACACCGTTCCATATTATCCCGCTAAGCTTTTTTTTTTCCTGCGCCACAGAGGAAGAGGATGATAATTGTATCCTATTTTTATAGTACTTGAAAACAAGAGAAAAGTTACGCTATCGCATCATATAAAACGTCCTTCAATCTCCTGCACACTTGCTTTGAAAAAAAAATCAAATCATGGCTGCCAACCTAGAAAAGGTTCTTGGGAGAGAATGAAATTGGACAGCGGCAATTGGAAGTGAAATTTTAAATTTCCCAGATTGCTTTAGCCTGGAAAGTTTTTTAAAGTGCATCTTGTCAATTTATAGTGATATATTTCTGTAGAACTAAAGAACAGGTTCTACGTTATAACTTAGTTATAGACCACTGAAGAAAATACAGTGTTCCCCCGAAAATAAGACCGGGTCTTATCTTAATTTTTGCTCCGAGAGATGCATTAGGGCTTATTTTCTGGTGAGATCTTATTTTGGGGGAAATACTGTACTAAATGCCTCCATCTGGCTGACAATCTTAACTCGGGCTTATTTTGGGGGGTAGGGCTTATATTACGAGCATTTTGAAAAATGCTAGGACTTATTTTCCAATAGGGTCTTATTTTCGAGACAACAGAGTAAAATTACGGTGTTCTGTGTAAACATAAAATTACTGTGATCTGTGTAAACATATAAAATACTTCCCCCCCCCCTTTTTTTTTTTAATGGTCCAAAATAATTTAAACGTTTTAATGAGGGAAGCAATGCTGTTCAATTTTGTTGACAGTCATCTAATGAATATCAGGCAGGGCCTGCTTTCCAGATGGAGACACGGAGAGGAGGGTGTCTTTCCCCCAACCAGATATCTTCCAGATGTGCATGTTTCAAATTGCCAAGCAGTGGTTTTGATGGCTGAGAATTCCCCTATGTCTTAGCGAAAACTATCCTCCGTCTTAAGAAAGGAGATTTTCAAACAGTCAAATTGTAATCAATGTACAATGAAGTTCCTTTGTCACCTGAGGTTTACCCCCTTTTTTTTTTTGTCCTCCCCCTGCAGTGAGAGAGGAGAAACCAGAAGGAAAAGACCCTTTGTCAGATCTCCAGGATATCAGTGACAGTGAACGAAAAACCAGCTCGGCTGAAACGTCATCAGGTAGCTTTCATACGGGTGCCGATTCAGCGCAGTTGCCATGTTTGAGCCCACTGGAGATTGACAATTTTATTTTTTTCCTCTCTTCCCCAGGGGAATCAGGATCGGCTTCAGAAGAAGAGGAGGAGGAAGAGGAAGAGGAGGAAGAAGAATCCAGCAGTGAAGAGTCTGAAGAGGAAGAAGAAGAGGAGGAGGAGGAAGAAGAGGAGACAGGAAGCAATTCGGAGGAAATATCTGAACAGTCAGCTGGTTAGTCGTAGAAAACAACCTTCTTTTCACCGTGCTGCATTAACAGTAATCCTCATTTAACAATCCCTAATTGGGATTGGAATTTCTATCGCTAAGCAAAACGGTCATCAGGGAAACGTCAGGTGGACTGCGTCGCTTAGCAACAGCGGTTCTGGCAGTCCTAGTTGGGGTTGTTAAGCAAGGACCGAATTTTGATCATGTGTCGGGGAACGCTACGACAGTTGCAAGTGTGAGGAACAGTCATAAGGCCATTTTTCAGCACCGCTATAACTCCAGTCACTAAGCAAATGATTATGTATCATAGTCTGTTTCAGGGGTGAAATCCAGCAGGTTCTGGCGAACCGGTAGCGGAAATTTTGAGCAGTTCCAAGAATCGGCAAATACCACCTCTGGCTGGCCCCAGAGTGGGGAGGGAATGGGGATTTTGCAATATCCTTCCCCCAGGAGTGGGGAAGGAATGGGGATTTTGCAGTAGCCTTCCCCTGCCACGCCCACCAAGCCACGCCCACAGAACCGGTAGTAAAAAAAAATTGAATTCTATCACTGGTCTGTTGCTGCCAATGCTTGGCAAAACCTAAATATAGATTTATACCAATGGTATTGCTTAATCTTTTGACTTCTTGGGGTCAAGCAACAATCCACCCTCGTCTGTTCTAGATTGCAACACCAAGAACGTTTGGGCTCTGTGTGTGTGTGTGTGTGTGTGTGTGTGTGTTTCAGTTTAGCTGTTCCAGATTTTTATTTTTTTTTTGTAAACCACAACAATGCTGTGAATCTGAATTCTTTGTTCTTCCCTTTTGGCCCGGAGTTCAAAACGGCTGTTTTACTTGCTCCCTGAAGTAGATCTTCCATCTGTCTTTGCAGAAGAGGTGAGCGAAGACGAAATGACCGAAGAAGAGGAGCGAGAAAATGGAGACCATCTTCCACTTGGTAAGGAATCAGATGGAGGAGTTGATGTCCTATTCTCTTCTACTGGCCTTCTACCCTGTTTCCCCGAAAATAAGACCCAACCAGAAAATAAGCCCTAGCATGATTTTTTTCAGGATGCTGGTAATATAAGCCCTACCCCAAAAATAAGCCCCAGTTAAGATCGTCAGCAGGCGGAGGCGTTTAGTACTGTGTTTCCCCCAAAATAAGACCTAACCGGAAAATTAGCCATAACACGTCTTTTGGAACAAAGATTAATATAAGACCCAGTCTTATTTTGAGGGAAACATGGCAGGATAGGTCAGAAACTCAATTATTTTCCCTGGGCCGATTCACTTTCATTCTGCAATGGCAGACTTGTTTTTCAGGACTTAACCCCGTTTAACATTATAGCAATTGCACTTAGCCTTATATACTGCTTCACAGTTCTTTACAGCCCTCTCTAAGCGGTTTACAGAGTTAGCATGCTGCCACCCCCCAACAATCTGGCTCCTCATTTTACTGACCTCAGAAGGACAGAAAACTGAGTCAACCTTGAGCCGGTCAGGATCGAACTCCTGGCAGTCAGCAGAGTTAGCCTGCAATTCTGCATTCTAACCATGTGCTACCCCGGGCTCCATATAGTTTACAAATGGGGGGGGGGGTGCCTTGATGCTAGCCTCACCTGAATTTTGAGTGTGTATTACTGCTTGGCCTGCCTAGCCGTTGTTTCCCCAAAACTGCCCAGATGGCACAGTTGTAGGAAAAGGGAAACTTTTCTCATACGTGCACTAGGAACAGGCTCCTCCTGTTCCTCTGCCTCTCTACTGTCAGCCTCTAGAGGCTCCGGAGTCTGCACATCACTCCCCGATGGCCCTGGCCCCATCTCTGCCTCCGACACAAAGCCCTCGTCCAGGCCTTCCCCAGCCTCCAGGACTGCCCCATGTTCTTCCTCAGCCTCCTCATTGTCCGACTCCGCTGCCAGCTCTGCAGGCTGCTGGTGGACCACAACAACCTTTGGAATTACGTGATAGGCGTTTAGAAGTCCTTTTATCTCTAAAATACCAACTATAGTAACAAGGGCCGTTTTTGGATGGGAGTCAAAGCTCGCCCCAATCGCTTCCCCGATTATGATTCTAGCATTTAAAGTTACAGAGTCGAGATTTGACCAGGATTCTGTGGGAAGCGAAGTTGAGGAAGATGACATCGTTGAAGGAAGCCCCCAGTCCAACGCCCTGACGGAAGGCGAATATCTTCCCGATTCCCCCATCTCCTCGCCAGTAGAACTGAAACGAGAGCTGCCCAAATATCTCCCAGCCCTTCAGGTAAGACGGACCTCATACGGGTAGCCCTCCACTTAACAACCGTTCAAAGTTACGACACTGAAGCAAGGGACTTGTGAGCCTTTTCCACACTGACGTAGCCTCCCACAGTCGTCACTTGGGATCAGAATTCAGACCCTTGGCAACAACTGACTCGTTACTACGACGGTTGAACCTTCCAACAAGCAAAATCAGTGGGGAAAGTTAGATTCACTTAACAGCCAGGTTACTAACTTAACAAGTGTGGGGATTCACTTAACAAACTGTGGCAAGGGACGGTTGTAAAATGGGGCAAAGATCCACTTAACAACTGCCTCACTCAGCAACAGAAATTTTGGGGTCCATTGCGGTCGTAAATCGAGGACTACTTCTGCATTCAACACTGTACATTTGTCCCTCTTTTAGGCTGAGATGACATCTGTAAGAGACAGCTCTTCCTAATCCTGGAAATAGCAAACTTTTCATCTTTTTATTTTTTAAAAAACCTACCTATAACCCGTTATTACACCCCTAGATCTCCTCAGAGGGAATAAAAAAGGCACCCAAATAAAATAACCATTTAAATAAGGAGATTAGCTTCCTTTGCTTCCTAGCTACAAATTTTCAAAGTGAGATTTTTTTTTTTCCCAAAATGATTTTTTTAAAAAATGGGAACATTTGCTTCCTTCATTCTTGCACAGGGCTGCCGCAGCGTGGAAGAATTCCAGTGTTTGAACCGGATCGAGGAAGGGACTTACGGTGTGGTGTACAGAGCAAAAGACAAAAAAACAGGTAGGATATTTTGGGGAATTGTGGCAGGTACTAAACCTGAGCACAATGCAGGATAGTCAGGAGACAAATTCTTGACTTCCACAATTTTTCTTAAATTGGTCAAAAGCTGGCTGGGACACTGATAGGACCAGCAGCTTCCGAGGCCAATTACACTGTCAATCCAGCCTACCTCACAAGGTTATTGTGAAGAAAAAGACAAAGGAGTGCTCTGTACACCCACTTGAGCTTCTGAACGAATGACAGGATAAATATGTCATCCCAAGGACCCAATTTTGCACTTTTCCCTGACCACCCTGTTTTCCGAAACCTGGTGATCGAGTCCTTTTTAATTAAATTAATTAAAAAGTAATCGCCACCATTCATTTTTGGAGCTCCGGCCCTCAATATTTTTGAAAATTCTTTCATCAGGTACACGGGGGTTCAGAGATGTGAAACAGGTTTGCAGTTTCCTGGACTCAGGCTGTGAATTCTGAATTTTTAAAAAAAAAAAATACCTTCATGTGGTTTTGAAACACTCCATGCCTCGTTTAATGGACTGATGAGAGCTAAGCTGCCTGCAGTCAAGTTATACTCCTCTTTTATTTATTTATTTTGCAGATGAAATTGTGGCCTTGAAGCGATTAAAAATGGAGAAGGAAAAAGAAGGTTTTCCTATTACTTCCTTAAGAGAGATCAACACCATTCTCAAAGCTCAGCACCCGAATATTGTCACTGTTAGGGTAAGCGTATTTTTGCTTGCCAGGGATTCTTCCATTTTTATTTTTCCTATATAAAATACCTGGGCGTTGCCCGGGTATTTATAGACGTCGAAGCCTTTGTCTGACAGGGAGCCACTGAGAGGACCGTTTCTTCCCCCTACTCCCATGCCCATCATCCCTGCCCTCTCCTTTCCCCCTCCCATGCCTTGTCTATGATCCTGGCACTTCGCCCCAAATCCATTAGGAGCTTCCCCATTGCCCCACTGGAGGGTGAACGTCACGGCTGCCTTTCCAGAGGAAGCTGTGGAGGATCTGACATCACAAACAATTGCAGTTCTAGGATGCCGCACTCTCTCTCCTTAACGGCCCAGGCTCTCCCTTCCCCCTCCCATGACATCACAAACAATTGCCTCTTTAGGATGCTGCACTCGCTCTCCTTAACGGCCCAGGTTTTCCACAATTATGCTGGAACACATACACATACACACACACACACACACACACACACACACACACACACACAGACACAGACACAGACACAGACACACACACACAAAGGGGTGTCTTACCCCCACAGTATTTGTTTCCAGATAGTAAGTCATCTGTGTACCAAGTCTGGTTGAAATTGCTCGAGGCGTTCCAGAGTTATGCTGGAACATACAGCCTTTTTTATATAGATAGATTTATATAAACTGTCCATGTCACTGATACAGCGGTTCCGTTGATTTTTTTTAAAAACCGCTACGAAGGAACGAGAGCTAGCAAGTAGGACACAACAGGGGGGCATTCATCGCTATAATCTTTCTTTCTTTGGGATCTAGGAGATTGTCGTGGGTAGCAACATGGACAAGATCTACATAGTGATGAACTACGTTGAACACGACCTCAAAAGCTTGATGGAAACCATGAAGCAGCCTTTTCTGCCAGGTGAGACCCAGATACACCTCTACCTTTGGGTGAGAGAGAGAGACTTCTAAGTTGTGGCTTTTCCCTTCCTTTCTTCACACCTCCAATTTTTATATTCCAGGGGAAGTAAAAACTTTGATGATTCAATTGCTCCGAGGGGTAAAACACCTCCATGACAACTGGATTCTGCACCGGGACTTGAAAACTTCTAACCTGCTCTTGAGTCACGCTGGGATTTTAAAAGTAAGCCGTTTTGGTTTGCCTTACCCGTGCCCTGCGAGGGTTTTGTCCTCCTGCAAACCCGCCACTCCGCTTAAAATACAGGCATAAGGAACAGCGGAGGTTTGTCTCTGCTCATTTCTAATGAGAGCTGTAGAGGGATCCCAGTTTGGTCAATCAAGCACTCTTAATGGACTTAGTACATGTTTTCCAACAAGTCCTTCTATTTTCATCCCTCTTTAGGTTGGAGATTTTGGATTGGCCAGAGAATATGGTTCTCCCTTAAAGCCCTACACCCCGGTTGTCGTGACGTTGTGGTACCGAGCGCCCGAGCTCTTACTCGGAGCCAAGGTTTGTGATACTGGGGGGTTGCTGGCTTAAGGTTTTTAAGTGGCATCTCTTTTTTTCATGCTTCGTTTCCCTTAGATCAGTATCCTGGATTCCAGTCACAAGAAACTTTTTCTGCAGGCTTTTATAACTTCAAACCATGTTAAAAGAATGGTCATAAATTGAGGTCGTCCTCTTCCCTCTTTGGAAGAGCTTTATAGCTCCCACTGCCTCAAGAAAGTTCAAAACATTCTTAAAGATCCATCTCATTCTGGGGACCCCCCCCCCTTTTTTTTCCTTTTTTTTTTTTGAACTATTACCATCTGGCAGCCGGTACAGGACAATAAAAACAAGGACAAATAGGCTGAAAAACAGCTTCTATCCCAGAGCAGTAACTATATTGAATTCTACTGCATAGTGCAATATTAGTGCAATATCAGGGGTTTTCAGTTCAATTGTATAGAATGCGAAGTGTGTGTGTGTTTTATTTTTATAGTTATAACATACACCGAAGACTGCATTTAATTTTGTTGTACGAGGTGCAATGACAATAAAGTAAACTAACTAACAATTGAGGCCAACATTTATATTGCTAAGTGAGAAATTTGTTAAGTGAGTTTTGCCCCATTTTACAACAGTCCTTGCCACATTTGTTAAATGAATCACTGCAGTTGTTATATGAGTCACATGTGGGGCCAATCAGGGATACACAGAATCCTTTCTAGTTTCCGCTACTTCCACCTCAAACTGGGCTGATCCAATCTTAAGGAAAGTACCCCCAGAATGTTTGACACGCTGCTGGATGGGACCCACTCAACGGATTCCCCATATTTTTTCTCTTTCCCAGGAATATTCCACAGCCATCGACATGTGGTCTGTGGGTTGCATCTTCGGAGAGCTGTTAACCCAGAAGCCGCTTTTCCCGGGGAAATCCGAAATCGACCAAATTAATAAAGTTTTTAAAGTAAGTCAACTGTGGTACTTTGCAATTGTCAGTTTTACGATGGGAACAGAGGGGTCTCAACATTTGATCACAGCGCTGTCAGATATGAAGGGGTGTGCTGCCTTTGCGGTTTTAGCCAGGTTGCATAACTTTGATAACAAACATAAAGATGTTGAGACTCTAGAAAAAGTGCAGAGAAGAGCAACAAAGAGGGGACTGGAGGCTAAAACATACGATGAACAGTTGCAGGAACTGGGCCTGGTAGTCTAGTGAAGAGAAGGACCAGGGGAGACATGATAGCAGTCTTCCAATATTTGAGGGGCTGCCACAGAGAGGAGGAGGGTCAAGCTATTTTCCAAAGCACCTGAAGGCCAAACAAGGAATAATGGATGGAAACTGGCCAAGGAGAGATTCAACCTGGAAATGAGGAGAAATTTTCTGACAGTGAGAACAATCAACCCATGGAAGAGAAGTTGCCTTCAGAAGTTGTGGGAGCTTCATCACTGGAAGCTTTCAAGAAGAGACTGGACAGCCATTTGTCAGAAATGGGTGTAGGGTCTCTTCCTTGGGCAGGAGGTTGGACTAGATGACCTACAAGGTCCCTTCCAAATCTGTTAATCTTTTAAAATGAAGACTCAATCATCCAGGTCAAAAGCATCGGAAAAGGTTAAATTAAAAGTTTAAGGTTTACATTTGCAATACATTTTGGGGAGAAACCCCTGCAGTTGGTATGGCAAGTTAGTACATTCCAACAACTCCCTGACACTCTGCCTAACTTAACTTTTTTATTTTGACTGAAGAAGTTACTTGGATGAGCAACAAAATATCTCAGTTTAATAAACTTCGGTGCAGTTCCCATGATTTAATCTTTTTAGATGATTTGATAAGAAATATAATTGTGACATGGATTGGATTTGCCTACAGGGTTGGTAGCAAGGGCAGACAGATTTATTCAGTAAATCTGGAATACCGAGAAGGGAAATAGAATTCATTCACTCTTCCTGTTGTAATTATGGCTGCCTTTTTGGAATTGACTGACCGGAATTTTGTCAATGCCGATGGTGTTCAATTTTAAGTTGTTTTTATTATTATTACTTATCAAAAGCCCTTTTCAAAAGGCAACCATTCTCAGCCTAGCTTCCTTAATTTTTGCTTTCTTCTTTTAAAGGACTTGGGAACTCCGAGTGAAAAAATCTGGCCGGGTTATAACGAGCTGCCAGCAGTCAAAAAAATGACCTTCACAGAGTATCCATACAACAACCTCCGCAAACGGTTCGGTGCCCTCCTCTCGGATCAAGGATTCGATCTCATGAATAAGTGAGTCAGGGTGCTCCTTTTGAGAAAGCAAGCAATTACCGTATTTTTCGGTGTATAAGATGCACTCCCCATTTCCAAGTGAGTGGAAATGTCTGTGCGTCTTATACAGCAAATATTGCCGAAGCCCCACCCACCTGCCGGCCCCCAACCTTCGGCCTCTGCCTCCCAGCAATTTGCCTCCTTGCAGCAAACAGCAGACAGCCAGGTCAGCTTCAACACAGCCTGATTTAGCACGAGCAGCTGATTGGCGGTTGGATCTGCCTCCCGGAATACCGCCTATCAGCTGTTCCAGGCTGCGGGGAACACCACTGCCCATCGCAGTCCATCACCGCTGCTGCCTATCGCCACGTGTCCCATTTTTGCCCCATTCCAGGCGGTGGTGATTGCCGCTGCCGCCGCCACCTGGAATAGGCTGAAAATGGGATGCTCAGAGAGTGAAAACGGGACGCGCAGAGGGTGAAAATGGGGTGCACAGCAGCGTCAGTAACGATGGGCCGCACCAGGGTATTGTGGGAAATCACGAGTCTATATCAGGCTTGCCCAGCAGAGGGCAGCATTTGAACTGATCTTAGTTGAGCCTGGTCCAGTGCCTGAAAGTTAGGATGAGAAATTGAAAAAATTTTCCTGGAGAAGGTTGTGAAAAAAACCGGCATCATTGCTCTGAAAAATGGCGCACCACGACTAAAATCTTTTATTTTGTTTACCTCTTGCTTAGAACCAATATAATTCTATAAAGTAGGTTCAGTTACAGCAGCCTAGCTGGGAAGATTAATTGGTTTTTTTCTAATATCTATTCAATATCCATTGAACTAACTCTGGGATATATGCATGCATTGGACTTCATTTCTCCAGCATAGGAAATTAGGTTCTGCGAATAATTACAAATAGTCCTTGACTTACAACAGTTTGTTTAGCGACCGTTCGAAGTTACGACAACACTAAAAAAGTGACTTACGACCATTTTCCGCACTTAAGGCCACTGCAGCATCCCCATGGTCACGTGAATTGAAATTCAGTCGTTTGGCAGCTGATTTATACTTACGACGGTCGCAGTGTCAACGGGGAAGCCAGATTCACTTAACAACCGTGTTACTAATTTAACAACTGCAGTGATTCACTTAACAAATGTGGCAGGAAAGGTTGTAATATGGGACAAAGAGCTCGCTTCACAAAGGTCTCGGTTAGAAAGAGAAATTTTGGGCTCAAATGTGGTCCTAAGTTGAGGACTACCTGTGCGGGTTGTCCTTGACTTACGAACGTTCATTTAACAAAGTTAAAAGGGCCTTGGAGAAAGGGATGCGCGGATCCCCTTTTTCTTTGCCCAATTCAATTTGCATTTTGTGCGTTTCTTCTTTTCCAGATTCTTGACCTACTACCCTGGGAGAAGGATCACTGCCGAAGACGGCTTAAAGCACGAATATTTCCGTGAGACCCCACAACCCATTGACCCCTCCATGTTTCCAACGTGGCCGGCCAAAAGCGAACAACAGCGAGTGAAACGGGGCACAAGCCCGCGACCCTCCAGAAGGAGGACTGGGATACAGTCAGCTGGTAAGTTCATCCAAGGAGTGTCATCGTAATACAACCAGATACCTTCCATTTGCAGAGTTTCTATACAGCAAAGGGGTATGTAGAGCATGCTAACAATGGAACAGTAATAGCCAGTTTGGTGTAGTGGGCTAGAAACCAGGAGCTGGGAGTTCTTGTCCCATCCTGGCCACAAAGCCAGCTGGGTGACCTTGGACCAATCACCAGGAGATGGTGAGTTCTAGTCCTGCCTTAGACATGAAAGCCAACTGGGTGACTTTGGGCTAATCACCAGGAGACTGGGAATTCTAGTCCTGCCTTAGGCATGAAAGCCAGCTGGGTGACTTGGGGTATTTCACCAGGAGATGGTGAGTTCTAGTCCTGCTTTAGGCATAAAAGCCGACTGGGTGACTTTAGGCTAATCACCAGGAGACTGGAAGTTCTAGTCCTGCCTTAGGCATGGAAGCCAGCTGGGTGACCTTGGGCCAATCACCAGGAGATGGTGAGTTCTAGTCCTGCCTTAGACATGAAAGCCAACTGGGTGACTTTAAGCTAATCAACAGGAGACTGAGAGTTCTAGTCCTGCCTTAGGCATGAAAGCCAGCTGAGTGACTTGGGGTATTTCACCAGGAGACAGAGAGTTCTAATCCTGCCTTAGGGTTAAGGTTAGACTCATATTTATGACGGTTGTAGTATCCTGAGGTCATGTGATGGTCTTTTGTGTCCTTCTGACAAGCCAAATCAAGACAGGAGCCAGATTCACTTAACAAACACATGACTGACTTACCACTAGTGATTCACTTAACAACTGTGGGCAAGGAAGGTCGTAAAATGGGGCAGAATTCGCTTAACCACGGACTCCCTTAGCCACAGAAACTTTGGGCTCAGTCGTGGTTGTAAGTCGATGTATTGAAACCCTTGGGGTATGTGTGTCCTTTTTTGCCTTCGCAGGGCGACGAGACATCAAAGATACCGGTTTTCATTTAACGACCACGAACCAAGGAGCATCAGCCGCAGGACCCGGATTCAGCCTGAAGTTTTAAAACGGAAAGGGGCCGAAGGCGCGATCTTTCGAGAGGAACCAGGAGGAAGGGAAATTGTGTTCTCTGGGGGAACGGAAAAAAAACAAACAGCAGGCTATGCCGATTACTTTTTCCTGCAGAATATTCTCTGCAGTTGGGACCAGTTTCTGGATCAAAGTAAAGAAAGTTGGATTTCCTTTTTAAGGATTGGAATTAATCCGAAAAACCAAGGACCCTTTCGGGGGGGTGGGGAGGAAGGAAAAAAAAATACAACTACCATCATGAGAACAAAATCCCACTTAACTTCAAGAACTATTTTTTTTAAAAAAAGAAAACGCCTCTCATTTCTATTTATGTTTTTCCCCCATTCAGATTAGGTTTTTTTTTCTCCCTTGTTTGTACATATGTAGAATAAAAAAAGAAAATGATTTTTAATTGTTCACTCGTTTACAGATGACCTTGTTTTCTTTTGCTCCCTTCAATTTGAGTACGATTTGTATTTTAACACTTGGTGCATTTTCCTCCTAGCTTTCCAACAGTTTGTGTATTTGTGGCTCTTCAAATAGGAAGAAGAAAAGATAATGTAGAAAGAAAAATATGAGAGCTGCATGATATATTTTAATTGCTTTCGGGCCTGGAAAAAAAATTCAGGGGAAACCTGACAAGGATGAACACAACTTCCCCATTTTTTTTTTTTTAAAAAAAGAAAGTTAAGTCTTTAGCCTTCTCTTCAGATCTTAAAAAAGAATTGCCCACTGATTTGAGTTGGGGCTGACTGACTTGAACATGTGCTGATATCTTACTTTAATCCAATTGCAGACATTTTTGCATCAGATGCTGAAAGAGAGAGAGAGAGCGAGAATGCAGATTGTGATAGCGTAGATTGCGTTTTTTGAGATGACTTTGATCTAATTGTTTAGCTTCCAACCATTTCATAAGGTAAGTTGACTACTTTCAAGGTTCGTGATTTCAAATACACCTTCCTCCCTGCTTCCCTCACCATAAACCGTTTCAGGTTGATTTTAGACCAAAACTTTCTTTCGAGGGCCATCTAAGGTTCCTGATTCCAAAAAAGCAAATACTGGCTTTTTAAAAAGAGATCAGGTGTGTGCGTTGAAGAGAATGGATTGAAATTTGCAAATTTCTGTCTGAATGTCGCAGGATTGATTTTGGCTTTTCCAAATGCCTCCTTTAGTATCCTGGAAACAGCCTAAAGTGAACATATAGTGAGTGTCCTCCTGCATTACACAACACAGCTGCTTTAGGGTGTGAAACCTTAGGAATTTCTCAACTAAAAATGAATAAACATGACATCCTTTAGTGGTGACTTCTCAAACCTTCCCCTTGTGCCTTCGTCGTATTCTCAAAGCCTGTTGTTTTATACATAATCTGCAGGGAATCCTCGACTTACAACCATTTGTTTAGTGACTGAAGTTACAATGGCACCGAGAAAAGTGACTTAACAATCGTTTTTCACACTTAGCGGCCGTTGCAGCATCCCCCACGGTGACTGGATCAAAATTGGGGCACTTTATTTATTTATTAATTAATTAATTAATTAATTAATTAATTAATTATATTTCTATGCCGCCTTTCTCCCGTAGGACTCAAGGCGGTGTACAGTCAAGAAAAATATAGACACACAAACATCATAAAATTGCTAATTAAAATTATTACTTAGTTTGGTCAATTAAATAAAATCCAGAATTAGATAACATTTAAAAAATCATTCACATGTTCGTATGTTTAGCCCCGCCTGTTGGAACTTGACGGCTGCCATTCATTTATGACAGTTGTGCTGTCTCAGGGTCATGTGATCTCCATTTAACTATGGCAAAAAGGTTGTAAAATGAATCGCAACGCTTTTAATAGCTGCCTCGCTTAGCCACGGAAATTTGGGGTTCAGTTTTCGGTTGTAAGTCGAGGATTACCTGTACAGTATTTTAGGCTGGCAGCTGCATTGAAAATTACATCCCCCCCCCCCCTTCTTTTGTGCTTCAGGAAAAGACGAACAGAATGTTGCATAGAGAGTTTTCTTATCAGATTGGAAAAGTGTTATAAAATGGAACTTTTTTTTAAGTCTAAGGAAGCATTCTCCCCTGCATTGCAAATGGCAGCAGTATATACATATTTATTCATCTTAATGGCAGTCTTGTAAACCCTGAAAAGGTAAGAAATCCGTTCTTGCTGTATATATGCTGGCAGGCTTCTCAGTTTCCTCTGATACACACTTAAAAGTTGCTTTTACACTAGTAAGTATCTGTATAATAGTAACTATACGTAGTCCTCGCCTTACAAGCACAACGGGGGCTAGGATTTCCGTTGCCAACTAAGGCGGTTGTTAAAAGCCGTGCTGATTTTATGAGCTGCTTTTTTTGCCACACTTCAGCAAATCATTGCGGTTGTTAAATGAATCACATTGACATTAAGCAAGCCCAGCTTCCTCCCATTGATTTTGCTTAACGGAAGCCGGCTGGGAAGCTGGCCAATGGTAATCACATGATCCCAAAACACTGCAGTGTGTACATACATGTGAGTTGCGAAGCATAAACATTTCAATTGCATCACCTTAGGGGTTGCTGCAACAGTTGTAAACGCAAATTGGTTATAAGTTTTTTTTCCCAGTATTGTAACTTTGAACAATTGGTAAATGGATAGTCGTAAGTCAAGGACTACCTGTAATACGTTATCAGTGTGCTGCAAGCCACCTCTAGTGTCTAAATCTGCATGTGTTGTGGCCTATCGGCTGCCAGCCCCTCCAACAGCCAAATCAAATGAGGCCTGGAAGTCAGGATCAGCATCAGGCCAACCTGAGGGGGAAGAGGGAATGGAGCTGGCAGAGAGAGAGAGAGAGAGAGGCAGATTCTGGGCCGTCTGTCAGCCCTCAGATGGAGAGTCAACAGCCCCCAGGTCTGGAGGTGGCTGATGAGGAAGAGGAGGAACAGCTGGGTCCAGTGCCTGATGCGCAGAAGGCAGAGGAGAGGAGAGCAGTGGAAATCTATGGGCCGGTCCTCGGGACGGAAGAGCCATTACTGCTAGAGAAGCCCCACCCTAGCTCTGGGGATAAAAGGCAGGGGGCGGAGATGAATAGATGTGACAGACAACTATGCATCTCCCTGCGGGACAGACTTGTTAGCCTGTGTTGAGAGAGACACTTTTTTGCCGCAGCTGCCGGCGCTCTTAATAAAGGAATCTCGGGGTTAACTTCAGAGGGTTCGTCGTGTTTGGGGAGCTGGGTCAGGACAGCATCATAACCCCCCACCCCTACAAAATAACAAAACTTATGTGCATTTTCTCCTGCCTTCGATGTTTCTGCTCCTTGCCTTGGGTGGAACCCGAAAATTGGATTAATCCGATAAACCATGATTCAAGCTATGAGTGGAACCTTGTTATTTGCATGAAGAATGCCTTGACATTCTCTAACGGGGCTGATTAACATTGTTTGCCCGATAAATGTCTTCACACTTCTAATGTGACTTGCGAACATTATTTGTTGCCCAGGAATGTCTAGGCTTCCTTTGTGTCTGACAAATTGAACTGAGTCAGCGGAGTCATGAACCCATAACTCAGTGGTTATTTCTCAAAACTTGGCAATTTTAAGACGGGTAGAAATTTCCCCAGCCAGCTAAAGTTTTCATTGCCGGGAAAACTAATTAGCCTCAAAGACACGTCTCCGCGTGTTGTAATTACACGATCATTGTCTCACGGCAATAGGGCAAGCGTAAAGTCTTCGCAAGCCACAATAAATATCCGTATGGAAATGCTTTATTTGAGCAGAAGGACGAAAAGGGTACATTTCTGGGGAAATTCCTTAAGGATCAAGAGGTCCTGTACCTTTTCCAGAAACTATACCTGAGTTGGCAAATTCTTTCAAAGGCCGTTTAAAAAAAAAAATGCGTAACAGATGCAAAGGTTTGACGAAGGAATTCTTCTTTTGATCCTTTTTTTTCCCCCTTGCTCCCTAAACATGGTAGAAAACAGCTTGTAAATTGGAGGAGTACATGATCTCTAATCTTTTAAGTAGTGCGTGAAACTTGCAGACTTGTTTCGCGTAAGGTCTGCTTTGCGGAAATAACTCGGCACAGGAATTTCATTCTATGCTGGGATCTTTTACTAAATTGTAGAACGATGAAGGCCTTGGCTATAAAATGTGAGTTGCACCTCTGTTGTGAAAAAAAAAATCCCGAAAACTATACTACAAGAGGTTTATTTAGGTGGGGAAATTGGAGGAGGGATGTTATATATTTATTTATTTATTGTATTTATTGGTTCGATTTATATGCCGCCCTTTCTCCGGAGACTCAGGGCGGCTTACAATGCGTTAAGCAATAGCCTTCGTCCTTTTGTATATACCTGCTTAGTAGGGCTTTCGCCCCCCCCCCAAAGTGGTGTTCTTTTTTTTATACAAAGTCAGCTTATTGCCCCCACAATCCGGGTCCTCAATTTTACCTACCTCGGAAGGATGGAAGGCTGAGACAACCTTGAGCCTGGTGAGATTTGAACTCGCAGTAATTGCAGGCAGCTGGCAGCTAAGTCCTACTTAACAGCACTTTAGTCTGCTGCACCACCAAGCTCATATATATATTTTCTGAGGTTTTCGCGGGTATTTGTATGTAGGTCTTTGGTTATTCGGGTTTTCTCCCGCGTAAAATTGGAAGTGTCTTGGTGACATTTCGATGAAGTCTCATTCGTCATCTTCAGGCTGGTGTTTTCGGCTTCGTGCTTCTAGGAGCAATGTGAGATCGCAGCTGTCTCTTCCTTTCAGCCTGAAGATGACGAATGAGACTTCGTCGAAACGTCGAAAAGACATCTTGAACAGCTCTGGGAAAGAGGAAAAGATTTCCTTTAATTTAATTTAATAAACCAATCTTGGTGACAGCACCAAGGTCCAGATTATAGCAGAAAGTAGGTGAAAATATAAGTGTAAAATGGTTAGCAACTTTTAAAAAAATAAGCATCTCTTTTAGCTCATGTTGTCGTCCCTTTGGACTCCTTTATGACTTCGACTACACTTCCTATCATCCCCAGCAGGCTTGGCCAAGAATATAAAACACGTGGAAGAAACCAGTATTTTTGCAGTCTCCTTCTGGAATGGGTAACCTGGGAAAGCTGGTTTTTGTGAGTGTGGATCGGCTGTTGAAAGTGCAATAGGAGAACAGAGGGGAGGAAGGGGAGGGGACCCACAGAGAGTGACTTGGGGGTGGGTCTGTAAGTCCTTGCACAGAAGTCACACATTAATGCTTCAGCCTGACTCTCCAAGAATATGTGGTCAAAACTTTGGACTTTTTCTTCACGATGCAAGTATACGTTCCTTCGTTGATGGCGTTGGCTATGATGCTCATGTGGTCGCCATTCAGAAACAGGTAGCCAGGATAGGAATATTCTAGCAATTCTTTCTCCTTATACCAACTGCATGAAAAAAGGCAAGGGGAAGGAAGGAAGGAAGGAGAAAGGAAAAAAAGAAAAAACAGAAAGAAAGGAGAGAAAGAGAGAAACAGGAAGGAAGGAAAAACAGGAAGGAAGGAAAAAGGAAAAGGGAAAAGAAAGAAACCAGAAGAAAGGAAGAAAAAACAGGAAGGAAAAAAAGAAAAAACAGGAAGAAAGGAGAGAAAGAAAGAAACAGGAAGGAAGGAAAAAGGAAAAGAAAGAGAAACAGGAAGAAAGGAAGGAAGGAGAGAAAGAAGCAGGAAGGAAGGGAAAAGAAAGAAACCAGAAGGAAGGAAGGAAAAATAGGAAGGAAAAAGAAAGAAAAACCAGGAAGAAAGAGAAAGAAAAAAAAGGAGAGAAAGAAAGAAACAGGAAGAAAGGAAGAGGAAAAAACAGGAAGGAAGGGAAAAGAAAGAAAAAGGAAGGAAGGGAAAAGGAAGGAAGGGAAAAGAAAAAAAAGAAAAAGAATAATTAGTTTGATCAATTATCAAACTACAAAGTTTAGCCCATGCAACCTGCTTAATAACAGATCCCACATGGAGATCTTTTTTAGTCTGTAGGTTTGGCACCTACGAAACGATGCCAATCCAGGGGGGGGGGGGGAAGGTTAAAATTTAGCCTTAAAAAATTTTAGCCTTTAAAACTTTCTCTCTTGCATTCATCTCAGAGTCCCAAAAATCCAGATGCGAGTAACTTACTAAACTTTCCCCTTTTTGTGAATGATTTTCTGGCCACATCGGAAAGTAACGTTCCGGCCTTCGGGGACGAGCCTGGTCTTCATCCTTGGCGGTGGCGGGGTCGGTATCACCGTCGGAAAAGGGAACGCTGAAAAGTGGGAACAACAGGGACATCGGCTCAGAATTAAAACCAGGGAACAAACGCAGCTACCCCTCGCCAAAAATTTTTTAAAAGTGATGCGTGATCCAGAATAGCGATCTTTTTAGGAAATTCCCTGGCTTGCATTTGATCCGTTAAATCTGCTAAATTCCTAAATTTCTTTTCGCAGTTTTCGTTGCCGATTGATTTCACTCTGCAAATAGTTCGTTCTTCGTCTTTGGAATTGTTTTCATGTCACGACCCGCCCAGGCCAGATGTGAAGCAAATGATGATGTTTTGCTGGGACTGTCATTTCCTCCCCTCCCGAATCTATTTAGAAAACAAATTGGGGGTTTTGAATTTCCCAAAGACGGTTGGATGATGCAGAGAGATTCCCAAACTCTTGGGAAAATATTAACACCAGCAGTTCCTTCCTACTAAAAACTAATTATTTTATAGCAACTTTAAGAGGGGTGGACTTGAATTCCCATGACTGGCTGGGGAATTCTGGGAAATTCTCAAAGTTGAGAAATTCTCAAAGTTGAGAAATACTTGCGTAGAGGATCCATTGCCCTTTTTACTACACAATTCACCACAAAATGTGAGAATTACCCAAGCAAAAGTCACAGCTGTAGGGACAGTGTTTTTTCATAAACCGTTGGCGCGTTCGACAGTACCCTTTCCGACTCCACGACGGGCATATAAACAGTCGGTCTTTGCAGCCTGGAAAGAAATGTTTAAAAAAAAAACAAAACAGGATTTCACTTTAAAAATGCCCAAGAAGAAAAGGTAGAAATGTCATCATTCAAATGACTGAACTGATTGGACCCTACTCTTAACACAAAAGCGAGGTTTTGGCGGCCAAACTTAACAAAGCGCCAGACAAATTAATCCATTAGCAGCAAACTTTGATTCTTGCATCACGGCTATGAGTTCGGATTTAGCTGAAAGGTAACAGGCCAGTTTACTTTTCTGGAGGAAACCTGAGGATGGAGCTTAATCCCAACAGCTCAAAATTTTAGCACTTTCTCCTCCTGTGGCATGTAAAAACTGGTATATGAAGCAGCCTCTGTATCCTCTAAAAGATGGAGCCAATTTAAGAGGGGGAAAAAAAAACACTTGTTGATGTTTTCACAGGGTAAAATACACATCTTCTCCCATTCGATCTGTTCTAATTTGCTGAGGTTTTTCAAAGTACGTACTGAGAAACCACCGGCATCGATGCTAGAGGGGGATGAGAAAATACAGTTGATTCCCAGAAAATAAATATTTAGTATAAATGCAAAGAGAAGAAGGACATTTTCAGTTGATTCAGATGGTAGCGAAAATAATTCCACCCATTCTTTGTAAACGGGCGTGGATGTCCCGTTGGCACGAAGATCAACTGGTGGCTACTGCCAATCCAAACAGTTTGAAAAACAAATGGTACAGTAGTATGCATATATGTATGTATGTATGTATGTATGTATGTATGTATGTATGTATATTGTCCCTTCTCCACTGTCTCAGAGGCTGTCCACCAGCTCAATGCTCTCTGTTCCAAGCTGAAAAACATCCTTCAGCTGAATTTTAGGGTTGGATTGGAAACCTATCATTTTCTCTGCCCGACGTGTTCTGACTTTCAGAGGCCCATAGAAGACAGTCTGGGGGAACTCAAAGCCACCGCGTGCTGAAGTCCTCGTCCAAGAATTTGGGTAGATAATGCTGCCTTCATGAGGGTTACGATTGACCTTAAACCATTTTAATTTAAATTTTAAAACTCATGCCCTGTGATTTCTCCATGCAGACACTCTCCTCCGGGTGTTTTAATTCCTTCTTGCCTTTTTACAAACCTAGACCGGGATTTTAAAAATCCAGTTCTCCAAATCGGAGTCTTTTTGCACAGTCGCTTTTTCCAAAGGCAGCTGGGTTTTTCTTTTTTTTTTCCCCTCTGAAGATCTTTCGCTTCTCATCCAAGAAGCTTCTTCGGTTCTGAGTGAATGCTGGAGAACGGAAGGGTTTAAATTCCTTGCAGTCACCTGGTCCATTAGCCCTCTCTCTTAACGTCTTCAAGGAAAAACAAAGTAAGTCCAGTTGCCTTTTGAAAAAAAAAGTATCTTTGGGACAACTGTGCAAAAGGACTAAGATTCGGGAAACTGGATTTTTAAAATCCCTGCATAGGACTGTAAAAAAGGCAAGACGCAAGAAAACCACGAGGAGAAATTTTGCACGGTTGTTCCCTCCGTTCGGGCCTAACTGCACGAGGCAGCTACCGGCGCTCTTTTTATCAGGAAAACTGGCAAAGGAGATGATTAAATCATCGTTCCAACATTCTTCCTTTCCTCCTGGGCAACCGATGGCGCTTGCTTACCGTAAAGCCGGTACATTCCCCACATCTCGTCCTGCGAGATCGTGTTCTTCCCCGTCAGGGTTGCGTTCACATGCATCAAGGCGTTGGGATCCAGAGAGTGCATAAGACCTAACGCGTGGCCAATTTCGTGGGCGGCCACGTGAACCAGGTCCGTCAGCCAGACTCCTTTTAAAAAAAGTAAAAATTAAAAAAAAAATAGGAACCTAATTAACTGGTTGAATTGCAAGGAGGAAAACATACAGTGTGTTATAAAAGGTATTCGGATTAATTTGGGGCTTGGCGATAGAAAATAAAACACAACAACAGTCCTCGACTGAAAACAGTTCATTTAGTGGCCAGAATTTACAACTGCACTGAAAAAATGACCGTTTTTTCACCCTTAACGACCGTTGCCGACTTGTATTTACGACGGCCGCAGCGTCCCTGGCTCACGTACGACCTGACAAGCGGAAGCCAGATTCCTTTAACAAACATGTTAGCTCACTTAAACAACCGCAGCAAGAAAGTTCGTAAAAAGGAGCAAAGCTCCCTTAACGACCGTCTCGCTTAAGCAGCCGAAATGTTGGCACTCAATTGTCGTTGAGTCGAGGACTGCCTGTACTTTCGTTATAACGTTGCTGCAGCCTTGATCTGGGTAGCTAACGCGAACTGTCATTTTGCAACTCTTTCTCCGCTCTGCAAAAGGGCAGGATTCCCAAATGGTTGGAGAACTCACTTTCCAGCTCATTCTTCTTGAAAACACAAGAGGTTAGATAGAAGATTCTTTCCTTCGAGCCCCAAGCAAATCATCCCCCAACCCTTTTTTCCTTAATTTAAAACAGAAGCGGCAGTAGCAAATAAAGTTGATTCAGCTGCTCTTGAATTGTAATTACTCCGTGTCCTGGATTAAAGTCCCTCTCTCATCTAGCCCAAAGGATTTATTTTTTTCCATTTAAAAAAAATAAATGAAAGATTGAAATATTGAAATCAACAACCCTGCCTTGACTCCCAAGCTGCAGCTGTCTTGAAATTTAAGTCATGCAAAAAAAATTCTAGTTTTTATCGCTCTGTCTTTCTAAATAAGGAAATGCTCGCAAACTTGTCTCGAGGAGTTAATTCTCTGATGTTTGGGGCACCAGAAAGGAAATAACAGATTTTCCTTGTCTTGGAGACAAAGTACATCTGCCACCAGGGATTTCGCCGTTGTAAAAAAAATTTCCTGTTTCCTGATCAGAATAAATCCCAATGTCGCTCTGCAAAGTTTTGAGATTAGTTTTATGAGCGAATAATTTTGTCTCCTTGTTTTCGGTCCTTAGAGGAAAAGGCCGTGTGAGGTTGACAGCCCTTTAGAAGAGATTATTAAAAACAGGTTGCAAACTAATATTCAACATTAGGGAGGTCAGGTCTTGTCGCCCAGATCTTTTCGACAAAGCCCCAATAAATCAAAATGTTTCTTATGAAAATGATTCCCTATTGGATGGGCAGATTAACCATCCCATCATTCAAATTCAAATTTTTCTTTTCTTATTTTGAATAAGATCTTGGCACTCTGTAGCTTGAAAGAAAGAGCAGCAAATTTTCCTTCTGCAGTATAGGCCAAAATTGGGGGAAACTTTTGGGAAAAGCTGTATTTTTGAGGTTTGATGGCTAATAACACTTTTTTTGGGGGGGGGGAGTTTCAAGCTAATCCTATTCCACTGCTGGAATGGCCTGGGAACACCCCAGACCTTCACCCAATTGAAAATCTATGGAGCCGACTAAAGAAACTTGTTAGCCAGAAGCAACCCAGCAATAAAACCCAGTTAATAGAAGCCATCATTCAATCTTGGTTTCCCATGATAACAGCTGCAGAACTCAAAGGCTTGGTTCACTCCATGGGAAGAATTTGTAAGCCGTCATTCATGCTAAAGGTTACCCAACTAAGTATTAACTGACATGGGGATCATTTTTGTATATCTCATTTTTTTTCTACGTGTTTCACTTTTCTTCTTTAGACTGTAACTGCTATTCTAATAAGTCCTTCATCAAAGTTATTGCATTACATTCTTGATTAAATTATCTTTCCGTCGATATATAATTTTATGGTACTACTCCCCCAAAAAAGTAGCTAGTTTTAGAAAATACACTTTCCACAATTTTGGCCACTACTGTATATTCTTCCCAAATGGGGCATCAGATAGCCAGTATCACAAACTTGAAGATGCTAGAAACCTCAAGACAGTGGAGTTGTCCCGTTGTCTCTCTGCATGCTGCATCTTGCTGGGTTTCCCACTAACTCTCCTTGGGGTGAGGATTATTTATACCATCAGGCCACCGATGGATCATTTGGGAATCCTGATTTGCTATTTTCCAATCCCTCTCTGCAGAGACAGGCCCAGAACAGGGACTCGTACAGAGACACATCAGACAGATTCTTTAAGGGAAGCATGATTTTTTAAAACAAAAACCTTAATGGGGAAAAAGGCTCATCTTGAACCAAAGGGCCATCTGTTTAGCATTTAATGGAACTCTTTAAAAACAAATAACAGTGGCCACTGAGCTCCCACAAAGTCTGCAGAAGAAAAAAAAAGCCATCATCCCAGATGGGAGAAAAATGTAAACAGCGTTTTTGTTTTTCCGATGAGAAAGGGAGCATGACAAATGCTCGATAACGCTCGGCGCTTTTGGGGTCTCGGCCAGCAGCAACAGTTAAGCAAAAACGTCAGTTTTCAGCTGGCAGGAATATTTTCACCAGCGCGCGACGTTCTTTAATTTGAAAGGCATCGGATGGCGAAATCTCGACAAGCCGGAAAAAGCAACCCCGAGAAACTCCGCCTAACGTCATACGGATCCATTCAGTAACTTGAGTGTAGGGTCTTCAGGATGCCAGTAATTTTGACGCTGATTTCTACTTTATTGCAAAACAAAAGTTAGATACTCGTGGACGTACAACCTCTGATGGGTTTAGTCTGCTCTCACTAGAGGAAAGACTCATTAGGAAAGACTGCAAAACTTTCCAAGGAATAAAAGCCAGGAAAAGCAAAAAAAAAAAAAAAAAACTAGTTGGAGATGTTCATAGATGTGGAATTATCTGACTTCCTTAAGGACTAGAAGCTTGGTTTAGCAAAACAAAGTGAGAAAGTTGAATACTGCCCGGTGTGAGAATGTAAGATATAGAATATTGGAAGGGACCTTGGAGGTCTTCTAGTCCAACCCCTTGCTTAGGCAGGAAACTCTACACCACTTTAGATAAAGGGTTATCCAACTTCTTAAAAACTTCCAGATCTTCCTCCAGAAGCTAGAGATTATTGGAGCAGAATTAAGACATGGATAGAAGAAATGACTCAACAACACATTGATTTAAAACCTGAGTTGTTCCTACTGGGTATCCTACCAGAGAAAATTAGTAAAGAAAACGTACATTTGATTATACATGTAATAACTGCAGCAAGAATAGTATTCGCACGAAGATGGAAAGCAGAGAAAATCCCTTTAGAAGGGGAAGTAATTAGAAAAATTTTGGACTCTGCAGAGATGAATAGATTAACTTTAAGGATTAAAGAGAAAGAGGAATATTTGAAGATATGGGGGAAATTTTATGATTGGATAGAAAAGAGATATGGATAAAGAATTTGATAAGCAAACAGGAGAAAGTTACATTAAATATATGTACTTTGGGGGAAATATTGAAATAGAGAAATGAGATCTTCCAAGGAAGAAATAAGAAGAGGAGGAGTAACAAAAAGAAGAAGTCACCGAAGAAACACCGAGATGACACACGGAAGGACTGATGTATTATATGTTTCTTTTAAAAAAAAAAGACTTCCATCCAGATCTTCCTTGCATTGAGTTCAACTCTTTGACGCCTTCGTAGACGTATAGGTAGTCCTTGACTTACGACAGTTCGTTTAGTGACCGTTTGAAGTTACAACGGCCCTGAAAAAAGTGATTTGCGACCTTCTGACAAAGTCCAAAGGGAAGCCAGATTCCCTTAACAGCCGCGTTAACCCATTTAATGACTGCAGCGATTCACTTAATAAAAGTCTAAAAAAAATGGGACAAAACTCACCGAATAATTTTTTCAATTAGCAACATAAATTCTGGATTCAAATTGTCCTAATTCAAAGACTACCTGTATTCATATTTTTCTTGGCAATAACCCAACAATGGTTTGGATAAAGTTTTTTTTTTTTGTTTTGCTTAGTCAGCCCATTATACAGCCTGGAACTAAATATCTAAAGCCAAATTGGTCTTCATCTCTCAAACATCACAGTCTTTTTTATATATATATATGATTCATGGATGTCAAATCCAATACTTTTAAAATTTGCAACATGTTTGCTGAATTCCCTTTCATCCGGTTCCAGGATCTCTTAATTGCTGTTGGATTTATAGCTGATTTTTTTTCCTTCTACAGACTTTCTACTTCAAGTAGCAAATGTCTGGATTTTGTTCCTTTCTCCATTCCTTTCTTTCCTCCATTCCCCTCTTCCTCCGATCTTTATCAACCAACCTCATTTTATTCTTTTCGACTCAAATTTTCCTTTCCTGGCTCTCGATTCTTTTTTTTCTTACAAATAAGGCGGATAAGGGGATCCTGGGATCCATCCCAGCTCACTTACCCTTTTTCCAGCTGAACCGAGTGTCCCCGACAATCCAGTACTCATGGTCGTCAAAATGGATCTCTCCCGTCTGCGGGAAAAAGGCGTGGGCTAACTCACCCGTGATCCCATCAAAACAGTGGTGGATCTGCGATTCCACGCAATCCGTGTGGTTGATGGGGTAGAAACCTGGAAGGTTAAAGTTTGTAGGGTGGGGAGAAAAAATTGAGATCACTTCATATCTACAAACCATTTTCTTTTCTCTCTTCTGGGCATCCCCAAGTGTTGTTTTTCAACTTTACAGCTGTTCATGCAACTTCGAGTGGACTTCAACTCCCAGAATTCCCCAGCCATGCTGGCTGGGGAATTCTGGGAGTTGAAGTCCACACCTCTTAAAAGTTGGGTCACATTCCGCAAACATCGTCACCTTTGAATGCCAGAGTTTAACTTGCAACAGAACCCAGGAAGGGAAATTCTGACGTGCATCCTTCCGTGGCCATATTTAATTGGAATGAATAGCATGCAAAATCTCATTTTTATTTATTTTTAGTCCTGAATCCCCACTTATAATTCGATTTTTAGAACGTGATCCTCGCCCTACTTCTTGTGCCCAAGCAAACCATTTTAGAAATCTTGTGTTAACCCACAAACTACTTCTTTTTTTCTCTCTCTCTCTCATTTCCACACAGCACCCAGCCAACTTCGAGACCTCAAAAGCGCTATCTTTGCAACTCCCTCCAGATTTTTTGTGCTCCCAGCCAAACGAACGTTCTGTTTTCAATTTAGTGGCATGCACTGATAGAACGGCATGATCTGGTCAGGCTAAACTATTCCCCCCCACCTCCCCACCCCCCACAAAATAATCTGGAAGAATATGTAAACTCTCGCTTAGGCTACCCGATGACCTCGTGCGTTCCAGATGTTGCAGTGTGGCCCTCTGATTTGAAGGAGGGAAGCAAACAAGAAAAATTGGTTGTGCAAAGGCATTTCTGCCTGAGTCATCTCCGCGGTTGACAATCAAGTCGCCAGACTTGCCAACAGAATGAATTGGTAAGATAAAATGTGGGTCTCATTAGGGAACTGAGTCTACGATAAGCCTTAGAAATTGGGGTTTTTTTTAGGCTTTTCAATCAGTCATTCTTGGTTTCCTGCTTCCCATCTGCGTCCTGCATGACATATAATGCTTCACGGTGCTTTTACAGCCCTCTCTAAGCGGTTGACGGAGTCAGCCTTTTGCCCCCAACAATCTGGGTCCTCATTTTACCCACCTTGGAAGGACAGAAGGCTGAGTCAACCTTGAGCCTGGTGAGATTTGAACTGCCAGATTGCAGGCAGCCAGTAGTCAGCAGAAGTAGCCTGCAGTACTCCACTCTAACCACTGCGCCACCACGGCTCTTATTCCTTAATCATTGCATCCTTAATCTTTTCTACTCCTTGTCACGTAGTATTACAGGCAGTCCTTGACTTACAAGCACAGTTGAGCCCAACATTTCTGCATGCTAAGCGAGACAGTTGTAAAGTGAGCTTTCCCCCCATTTTACGACCTATCACACCACAGTGGTTAAATGAATCCCTGCCATTGTTAACGTTAGTCTGTGACACAGTTGTTAAGTGAATCTAGTTTCCTCGTTGACTTTGTTCGTCGGAAGCTTGCAAAAGGGGATAAATACGAACCAGTTGCTTAAATTGATCTGAATTTTGATCTTCATGGCCGTGGGGATGCCGCAATGTGAAAAATAGTCGTACGTCGCTTTTTTTCACTGCCGTTATAACTCCAGTCACTGAACGAACAAACTCCAGTCACTGAACTGAACGAAGTCAAGGACTACCTGTATACAGAGCAGTAATTTCAGGATGCTTCCGTCAGAAGCGAAATTCGGCGCCGTGAAGGTACCTACCAATTGTCAGGTCGCTGGAGGTACTCCCTGACACTTCGCGGAAGGTGAACGGGGAGACATCGCTCCACATACGGAAAGCTGCGGTCAGTCCTTTCCTGGTCTGGCTTTTGCTAATCAGGTTTTTGGGGAACGACAGAATTCTGCAGGGGAATACAAAAAAAATAAGCTAAGAGTTCACCCCAGATTCCCGCCCGGGTTTGACTTCGGCTGAGGACCAACCACCAAATTTGGGCTATGAAAAGTTAAAAACCAGGACAAATTCCTCGTGTGTCTTGATCATACTTGGCCAAATAAAATATTGTTGTAGAAAGGATGCACTTTCCATAGTTCTAAGGAGCGCAGGCTGGCTGAGGAATTCTGGGAGTTGAAGTCCACAAGTTGTAAAGTTGACACGGCTATGGAGGGTCTTTTTTCAATACACTTTATTAAGCTTTTATTACATTAAAAACATAAAAAAAAAATACTTCACTCAAGAGCAGCTATTTGTGGTGTTTTTCTTGTGACGATAATTCGTGCGTTATTTACAAATATTAAATTGTGCGTATTTACATTCTTATTCTATTACTTATGCTTTATAACTATCTATCTTTAATCTGTCTCCGTTCCATTCAGTTCCCACACATTGTAAAATATCGATGCCTCTTTATCTTTTAGACTCAGCGTTAATTTGTCCATTTCTGCGCAATTCATGACCTTTTGTAGGATGAACTGTTTTGTCTTTAATAGGGACAATCCTTACAGCTCTGTTTTTTTTGTCTCCCTCCCTCTCGGCACCCAACAGGCTGAAGCAGAGAAAGAACAAAGTCTACCAATAGCATCTTTTTTTCTCCGATTAAAGATACAGGTATTCGTATATTTGTTTGTAAAGCGAAACGTATCAAAACTTCAACTTAAAAGGACAAATATGAGCTAAAAGCCTTTGGAAGGAAAACCCAAGTCATGCATGAGGATTGCTGTGTGGCCAGCTGAGTCTCATCTGCCAATCTTGACTTTGGCATGGCTTTGCCAACAATAATGTTGCCTGCAGCCATTTCTGCACCAGCTAAAGGTTTGTTCCAAGCAAGGGCTGTGTGTGTGTGTGGATTTAATGTCCCTTTTCGTGCCAACCCTTCAAAAGGTTGGGTTTCTCATTTCCTCCATTTCCAATTCGAAAGTGGGCAAGCATAAATTTCAAAAAAAAATTTAAAAAAAAGAGGAAAAAGGATTCCAACGTCCATCAAATCTTAGCCCATCCATGATCGTTCCAAGCAGGACTTGGGTTTTTTTTTTTTCCCCTTTGAATCTGTGATCTCTCCATGCAAAGGAATCTTTGTCCTTCCAAAGATTGGAAGTGGGAGGGGGGAAAAAAAGATGGCGTTGGGTCCAAATTTCTATCCAAACATCTCATTCTTGGCACCTCCCAAGGCAAAATTCATTTTTTCAGAGTTGTGCAATGTCGTTTGCAGTTTCTTTTATTTTTTTATTATTCTTAAATTTTAAAAAAGGACACAAATGCAAACTTTTTTAAGGGTGAACGTAGGGAGTAAAATGCCTATTAAGGGAAAGGCCATTTACGGTAAGTAGGATTCAGGTGTGTTTATTTACTTTAGAAAGTGTGGGGAAAAAAGTAATTGGGGTGTTTTATTTGTAGCCTGATGTACAAATACAAGAAAATAAGAGATGGAGTGGAAGATTTATGAGACATGAATTTCATGGCGTCATACGAACAGCTCAAAAGAAACGTTTAAAAAAAAAAAAATCCAGACTTTTGGAAACTTAACACAGCCACTCAATTTGAAGTGTCTGCGTAAGATTTCTCTCAAGGGAATGACGGTCTGATTTACAACTCTGTTTAAAGAATGGATATAACGTGTATTAATTTCAGATTTGGAAATTCGACTCTAAAATTGAAGTATGATTCTGAACGTGAGGAGGGGAGAAATATGAAATCGGTGGATAGCGATAGTCTTAGCTGTATTGATTTGAATGCAGCTGATCGAGGCATGTGGGAGGGAGCCTACTGCATCCCTTTCGCCTTTCAGCTCCGATCCAGGAGCCCTCAAGCCGTCGCAGTCACGACAAACCATTTTACACCAAATTTAAGAAAATTCCACATCCTTGGTTTAAATTTGGGTAACTGCCATAATAGTGCTCTTGACTCAGGGGGGGGGGGAAACCACCTAAATGTTTAATTCTGGTTGCTTCCTCACCACTATCCTTCATTGTTCTTGATTGGAAAGATTCTTCCCCATCTTAGCATGAATAGAAACCAACTCTGGTTTCTATCGATGATGGTGTCAAATTTAGCACTGGGGGAAAAGAAAACATCCTTACTTGTATGTTAAGTTGAAATGATCCCATTTGAGACGTCCAGGCGTCAGCGTGTAACGTTTTTTCCGGAGATGAGGCGGCGGAGGTGGGAAGGGCACTTTTCGAAGGCCCAAGTTAACTCCAAGGGTTGCACCAGGTAGGACCGTGTCTCCCTTAAACACAGAGGAACAAATCAGAAACTTTGGAGCAGAACCTTCAAACAGCTCGCAGGCCAAGTCAGTTTCTCAGCATTTTCTCCATCTGTTTTGCAGCAGCCATTTTTTTTTTCCTGGAAAAGTCATTTTCTCTCTCGGTTCTCCAATCGAAACTAATTTAAATCAATTGATCTTAGGTCAACACCCTTTAGATATGATGGATTTTAAGCTTCCTTCTATCAGCCCATTTATGCCACAGATTGTAGATGTCTGGATGACACCAGATTGTCTACTCTAACCTTACTAAATCAGACAGGAGCCAGGAAACCCAGGATATTTTCCAGGAAAAAAAAACAAACAAGCTTTTCCAAGTTACTAGCTCCTGGGGTGTATTTCTCGGAATTCAGTTGCCACTGGATCTGGTGTTTCCATTTAGCAATTATGGGTATTAGCTGTTTATTGTCTTTCCAAGATTCACCCAGCCTCCTTATTTAAAGACAAACCAAGCCGGTAGCCTCCCTTAGATTTTTGGAAGGAGATTTAAAAAAAAAAAAAAAGTCATCTGTTGTATAATAAAGCATTTTTGCACTTTTTTTTCCTAAACCGGCTCATTTGTGCAAAAAAGGAGTTTTGCGCTCTGTGCAAAAATATGTGGTTTTAGGGGAACGGGGCCAAGATCAGGAAAAGGCAAGGAAAGAGGAGACCAAATGCACAAAATAAGTTTAAAAAAAACCCTTTTAGAAATGGAATAAAAGCCACAGCTGATTAATTCGCTCACTTCTGCCCTGAAGGCGAAGCAAAGGGGGGGGGGGGGTTTAAACAATAAATAATTTGAGCAGGAAAAAGTAATCTTGAATTTCGCCCTATGAATTTCATAGTCGCAAGAACCCCCCCCTCCTCAAAAGACGTCTCTGTACCGAAAAGCTATTGGTTTATTTTTATTTATGTTTTTTTTTAAAGAGCTGGAACCAAGACAAATATTGGCCTAGCTTTTATGCCGCTGTTCTCCACTGTTTCCCGAACCAAATAATCACAGCGGGCGCCTGCCATACGACCTCAGCGGTTGAAGGTCAGCCAATTCTGGCCTTATAGATTTTGGGGAGGGAAAAGCTCACCCACCGGAAGAGAAGAAGAAATATATATATATATATGTTCAAGACATTAAAGCTTTTGATGGATGGCTGCTGGTAACCAAGTCTCCAGCTTCACCCCAGCTTTCGTCGCTGCAAAAAAGTAAGTGACATAACCGCCGACATTGAATTGATGGTCTAGGAGTTTTACAGCAATGTATAAATTGCTGTCAAACTCTTTTAACAGATGAACAGAGGTTATCCGAAGGAAGTATTTATAGTTGCAAATTTATATTTGCTGATAAAGAGATAAAGGGAGACTAGTATAGATCTCTTTCAAGCTATTTAGCTCTCATCAGCTAGCCATTATCGGCAAATATAAATTTGGTATAAAATGGTTTGTCGTGAATGCGACTGCTTGAGGGCTCCTGGATTGGAGCTGAAAGGCGAAAGGGAAGAAGAATGCTCCCTCCCATATTGGGGTAGACCAGGTGCTTCGACAGAAAAACATTTAATCTCTCCCCTGGCTCAAGCTGATAAAGGGAAGACAGGCTTGTTTTAAAAGGGCCTGGTGGCTCAGCAGACTGATAGCATTGTGATTAACACCAGCTGCCTGCAATTACTGTAAGTTCGAATCTCGCCAAGGCTCGAGGTTGGCTCAGCCTTCCATCCTTTCTAAGGTAGGTAAATTGAGGACCCAGTTTGTGGGGGCAATAAGCTGACTTTGTATAAATATACAAAAGGATGAAGGCTATTGCTTAGCGCATTGTATGCCGCCCTGAGTCTCTGGGCGGCTTACAATGGGCAGCATATAAATCAAATTTATATGGGCGGCATATAAATCAAATTTAAAAAAAAAAAAAAGAAAATTGAGAAATTGGTTTATTTCCAGGGCAACTGAAACTCAGTAGGATGAAAAGGAGCAAATCTCAAGGAGTCGAAATCTGCAACCCGTTAACCAGAAGGAGGTTTTGTGATATCACATATTTGACATTTCTCCTCCTCCTCCTCCTCCTGAGAAGCGTCTTCGGAATTTATGCCTGGACGTTCAGAGAAACCAAGGATCCAAATAATCCTGCCCTCATGTTCTTATCTAGCTTGGGAGTATCATGAAAATTGCATGGCTGCCGCCTCCTTCTCCTCGCCAAAACCTCGCTCCAAGAAGTATTAAATCCAAATTAAACGGTATTAAATCCAAAATTTTGGGGGGGGCTGGAGAGCTAAAGTTGCTCCTTTTTTAAGTTCTCCTGTTAGAAAAGGAACCGGGCTTTTTTTTTTGACTACTGAAAGGCCTCTCCAAACTCCAGCCCTTCAAAGGCAATTCCTCGATATTCTCAATTTTGCTCATCTCAGCAAAAAAAAAAAAAGGGGGGGGGGGTGGGGAGAATCAGGGCTGGATGAGTCACTCAGCTGCTGCGCTTAAGTAACAGAGAACTGGCTTTTTTGGAAGTCCTCCAACTTCTCCATGGCTTTCCTCCATGCCAACTTTTTCTCCTTGGATTTGCACTTTTCCTCCAGTTGCGGCAGGAGTAACGTCTCCGCCGCTGGCCTCTTAAAATTTTAAGTTTGGAAAAGGCCTGCTTGCATAGCTTTTGCGGGCACGAAAAAGAGATTCAGAGGTCCAGGAAGAAGAAGGGAGAATGTAAGAATGTTAAGATCTTCTAGTTCCAGAAGGGGCATCGCTGATAGATTTAAACAAGGGCGATGTCGTTTGAATTGATCCGGTTTCTGGGATCTTTTACCCCAGAAATGGATAGATGAGAGAGGATTGACAAAGTGCTCTGCGGATTCTCTCAGGAAAATCCCAATTGCTGGTTTGCAAATCTCTGTGCAAAAACAACCACAAGGGACTCAAAAGAGGGGAATCGTTTTGCCACCAGATGTTGTGAGTTTTGCCAGCATCCTTCAGCGCTGCCCTAAGGCCACATCTGCTAAATCTCTTCCCCCCCAGAAACACGGTTAGCTTGCAAAGCACGTTGGCGCATTCAGAAATGAGACCTCAGGCTCAAACTTCCCCCTCCTTGTCTATTTGAACGGACAGCGCCTGACGGAATGCCTGGCCCTGGGAAGGAAGGAAGGGCTGTGCACACACCGGGCTTAGAGCCAAGGAGTTGAGTTAAAAAAAAAAAAGAGAGAGAGAGAGATAAAGGTAATCCGAAAACTATTCACTAAACTTGTGGCTGCAAGTTTGATAATGGAAGACAGCAGAGAAACGGAGATATTCAGAGAATCAGACAGGCTGGGAGGCAACTTCAGAGGTTGAGTTTCTTGACAAAAATGGAGCTCCTGGTTTTATTGCCATTATTTCGCATAGATAGATAGATAATACAGACAGAGATAGATGATAGATAGATAGATAGATAGATAGATAATGATAGATAGATAGATAGATAGATAATGATAGAGAGATAGATAGATAGATAGATAGATAATGATAGATAGAAAGATTAGATTAGATAGATAGATAATGATAGAGAGAAAGATTAGATAGATAGATAGATAAATGATAGAGAGATATAGATAGATGAGAGATAGATAGATACGATAGATAACGATAATGATAGATGATAGATTGGATAGATATATTGATAGATGATTGATAGATGATACAGATCGTAGAGATGATAATGATAGATCGATAGAGATGATAATTGATAGATGGTAGAGATGAATTAGAGATGGAGGTGATTGATAGACGATAGATATATGATAAATAGATTGGATAGATGATATATTGATAAATGATTGATAGATGATACAGATTGTAGAGATGATAGAGGTGATAGATCGATACAGAGATGATAATAGATAGGTAGATGATAGAGATGGAGATGATTGATGATTGATAGATAATAGAGATGATAGAGATGATAGATGATATAGATAGAAAGAAAAAAGAAAAAGAATATATATAGATGATAGAGAGAGACATAAAGACAGGAACCATTCGCATTCTTTAATGCTTGAAGGTTTTTTAATTGTGATGTCTTGTTGCTTATGATGGAAAGGGCCTCAGGAAACAATTGCAGCCTAAAATGTTGGACTCCAGTTCCCATCATAACAGAATGACAAGAGTCGGAAGGAACTTTGAAGGTCCAACCCCTTGTTCAGGCAGGAAATCCTACACCATTTCAGACAAACAAGATTGGTTGTCCAATCTCTTTTTTTCCCCCTCCCCATCCATGACCCCCATCCCACACCAGGTTTCAAACAGGACGAGGACTCCAACAGTCCATCCAACATGCATAAAGGGAGCATTTGTTTTTGTGGTAGGAAAGAAAACACGGACACATAGCATTCAAATCCCATCCTGAGGGATTTGAAGCCTTACTCTACTTTTAAGTCTACCTCGCCAGATTGTTGTGAGGGTATCGGGGTGGGGGGGTAGGATGGGGCTTCCCACAGAACCCCTTGGAAGAGAAGCGAGCAAGATAAATCAAAACAGTCGTATTTTAAATATCAGCGGCTTACCTGGCTCATCTGGGCTTCTCTTGCAAACGAATCTTCCAAAACCACCAGAAGAATTAAAAGCAGGAAAATGCCGGTGGAATTTCCAGAGCTTGGATAATATTGATGTTTCTTCTGCCTGCCAGCAGGCAATGAAAAAGGAGAAACGCTCGCAGAAAGACTTTTGAACTGCTCCATGGCTGCATTTAATTAAAACCGAACGCGAAAGAAGAATTAACCCCGGAGGAAATTCAACCCCACTTTGCAAAGAGGCAAGATTGAAGTTCTGAAAAGTTAGGCTGAGATGGCAAAATTTCCTGGAGTGCTGAGAATTTTTCTGGGACGATGGGAAAAGAAAAAAAGATGCCAACGCCAAGGTTTGAGTCTCTTGACAGGCTCCGCCAGGAAATCTCTGCTTGTGGAAGAAGGGAATGGAGAAGGAAAGAGGGAAAACAGCTGGAAAGGAAAAGGAGAGCTAAGCCAGCTGTTTCAGCATCTGGATGAGGGCGGCCCTAGATCCCTGTGTGCACACAAGGAGGAGGAAAATGATGGACTCCCAATCAGTGGATTCTGAGCACATATGCACACGCCTTGAATCTTTTTATCGATGGGATCTGTTCCACAGCCAGAGATCCACCCATGAGCTTTGAGGATCTGATCTGCAAGAGAGGAATTTTTTGCATTCGCCGGGCTGATGCCCCCCTGTGGGGATCTTTCGGCCTCCATGTTGGTGGGCCCCGTTTGCAGTGTTTTAATTTCATTTTGTGTGTGTGTGTGACTGCATTGGTCTCCTTTGGGGGAATTTTATTTCACAAAGAGCTTTACGGCGAAAGAGCTCATCCGCAGCTTTTCCGTAGGAAGCTCCGCTTAGGAGCCAAATTTCTCTGTAGAGCTTTAGCCTACCTCGCAGGGCTGTTGGGGAAAGTCAAAGAGGGAGAACTCGAATCGGCGCCTGGCGCTTTGGGAGGTGAACTTATGTACTTCAACTCCCAGACTCACCTGTCTTCAAGTTGCCAAGGTTGGAAACTCCTCATTTAGAGGGTCTCGCAATCCTTCCCCCCAGTGGGCACTTTTTTTAAAAAAAAAGTCCACAGCCGCTTTCCAGATTTCGAGGTATGGAGGTGAAAATCGACAGCTTGAAAAATAGGAAAAGCTTTATGAAGTTCTTATGCCATCGAGTTTTAACGGGTTTTTCTCCCAAGGAAATGCCAAAGACAACAAGTGGGATGTAACAAGAAGTAAAAACGCTTAGCAAATATCTATCTTGCACTCTTGGATATTTTTAGACAACTGAAACAATTGGGAGGTGGTGTGTTAAATTCGTGGCAGGCCTTACTGCTGAAACAATAGGGACTAGAATCTTGTATAATGAATAGTGGGTTTTTTTTGGCATTATACCAGAACTGAATTTGCCCCGGAGAAAGTGAGTACTGTAAACCTCGAATACACAGTATTAATGCCTTTCTCAGTTCTTTTTCTGTAGTTTCCTTTTTGCTATTTTTTTTTTTTTTAAAAAAAACACCATCTGCAGTATTTACATGCCTTGACACAAAGCCACAATAAATATTACATAAGCAACACAAGGAACGGTTCTTAATTCTGGCCATTTTTTTTCTTTTTTCCGTTCTCACATCTGGCTGTTTAATTTGGTCACCTCTCAAAAATCAGTGAATCTGGCTCCGTACAATTTTGGACCAGAGGAAAAAGGAGGGGGAAAAAAAAAAAAAAAACTTCCTCGCAGCCAGAAGCATCTTCACGGATCTTCGTCAAAAGCTTGGTGAAAGTTTGTCTTCTCCATCCATCTCGGATGCCACTAAAAAGATCCCTTGGATAAATTTTAATTGATACTATCGGTTTATATGGCTTTTTCAAAACTCCCCTTTCCAGAACTGCAATTTAGCAGTTCGAATCTCACCAGGCTCAAGGTGGACTCGTCCATCCGAGGTCGGTAAAATGAGGACCCAGATTGTTGGGGGGTAAGAGGCTGACACTGTAAATCGCTTAGAAGGGGCTGTAAAGCACTGTAAAGCGGTATATAAGTCTAAGGGCTATTGCTAAATGCAACACAGAGCAAGAAAAACAGTAAAAGGACCCTTTGAAAGAAAAAAAAAAGCTGCTTTCTCCCAAAACTGGTATCCCCCCCCCCCCTTTATGGAAAATACCAAACAGGTAGTTTCCATAATAAGCACTGGCCTTGGTAATGTGTAATAACCAGTTATGTCCACAGGATGGCAGACTTTGCTATTCCAGTGATTAAAACAAGGACTACAGGCAATCCTTGATTTACAACAGTTTGTGTAGCGACTGGTTACAACAGCACTGAAAAAAGTGACTTGTGACTTTTTCACACTTCTCCTTGGCGACCTGATCAAAATTTGAACGCTTGGCAATTCATATTTATGACGGTTGCAATATCCTGGGGCGATTGATCACCTTTTGCAAGCCAGATTCTCATTTAATAACCGGGTTACCAACAACCGCATTGGTTCACTTAACAGCTGCGGCAAGGAAGATTGTAAAATGGGGCAAAGCCCATTTAACAGTTGTCTCATTTAGCAACAGAAATTTGGGCTCAATGGTCGTAGGTCGAGAACTACCTGTGTTGGAATTCCCGGAAGAATTTTTTTTAAAAAAAATAGGCCCTCTAGTGGTGGTTATACATATGGCATCCAGAGCTTTATATGATATTTTTGTGGTAGAAATGTCGGCAAGGTAAGCGGACCATAAATCTACAGGGCTGAGTTATAGTTCATCAAGGTTTATGCCTTTTAAGAAACTGTTGCGACACAACATATTCTGATTTCTGGCCATCTTAGACTGGCATTCTATGATGATCGCAATCTTATTTTACTGAAATAAAAACAATTATTGCTTTGCCTAGTGGGTGTTAAAGGGATGGCTTAATATATATATGGACTAGAATAGTCCATCATCTGGCTGGTTTGACTAAACTTTGGTTTGTTCCTTAGGGAGGGGATGGCCCAAAATGGCCAGCAGAGGGCACTCTTTTTATGAGCTTGTGCTATACATAATATGGGGCCAAAACACCTCTAACCATCAGAGGGCGCTCTTTTCGCCCTCTGCCACTGATGGTCTTAGCATTCCCTTTCAGCCCTCTATGCCCCAAGGAACCACCAGAGGGCACCCTCTTGCATGTCTTTGTAGTCCCTTTCAGGCTGATATGTATAAAATAGCTGAATAAGGGCAATCTTTCCATGTCCTGTGGTACAGATGGTCATTCTAGTCCCTTTCAGTCTGTTATGGTATAAAATGGCCATCGGAGGGCACTCCTTGCATGCCCTGGGCTGTAGATGGTCTTTGTAGTCCCTTTTGACCTATGCCCAAAATAGCCCCTGGAGAAGCACCCTTTGCATACCCTGTGCTGTAGATGATCTTAGTAGTCCCTTTCAGTGTACTATGCCTAAAATAGCCACCAGAGGGCACCCTTTGCATGATCTGAACTATTGATGGTTTTAGTGATCCCTTTCAGGCTGCTATGCCTAAAATAGCCACCAGAGGGCACCATTTCCATGCTCTGTGCTATAGATCAGGGGTCTCCAACCTTGGCAGCTTTAAGCCTGGTGGGCTTCAACTCCCAGAATTCCCCAGCCAGCAAGGCTAAAGTCCGCCAGGCTTAAAGTTGCCAAGGTTGGAGACCCCAGATATAGATGGTCTTAGTAGCCTCTTTCAGGCCTTTACGCCCAAAATAACCACCGGAGGGCACCATTTGCATTCTCTGCTACACATTGACTTATTAGCCTCTTTCAGGCTGCTATGTCCAAAGTAGCCACTAGAGGGCATCCTTCCCACGCTTTTGTGCTGTAGATCAGGGGTCACCAACCTTTCGGACCTCAGGGACCACTAAATTCATAATTTTAAATCCCTCAGACCACTAATATGATCTGCTTAATGACCGGCTGGGCGGGCGTGGCTAGGTGGTCATGTGACTGGGTGGGCGTGGCCAATTCACCTCCCCACCTTAGGGCCCCAACAGGAAGTTGTTGGAGTTTAGCAACAACTTAGTTTAAGAGAAAGTGTTGGCAAAACAGCTCAGTTCAAATTGGATCTGACCGAGAAGGAGGCTCAGTAGAAGCACCTCACTGAGGACTAGGAGCATAGGCTTTCCAAGCAGAGGAAAGACCTGCAGGAGTGCAAGGCCAGGTACTGGCACCTGGAGGCTCAGCAGGCTGAGATGGTCAGCCAGTTCCAGGCCATGATTCAGGAATGAGGCCCTCCAGCTCTTCGCCACCAGCGGCGCTTCCCTCCAGCCTTTGCCCAAAGCCCCCCACCAGGAGGCTGAAGCAGACCCCCAAGTCGGAATTTCTGCCCTCCTCCAACCCACACAAAAAGACCCCGAAGGGGGAGACTCTCTGCAGCAACACAAGCGTTCATTGCACGTATCCGTCCCAGGGGTCGTAGTTTGAGGACCCCTGATTGAGTGCAATATAAAAAACGCAAATAATTTTCCTGCCGACCACCAACATTTTCTCACGGACCACCAAGTTGGTGACGGCTGCTGTAGATGGTTTTAGTGCTCCCTTTCAGGTCACAGTAAAACAACTGCAGTAATCCACTTAAGAACCATTACAAAAAAAAAAAGTCGTAAAACAGCAAAATTCCCATCTCACTTAGCAAACAGAAATTTTGAGTTCAGTTGCGGTTTTAAGTCAAAAACTCCCCGTAGTCCCTTTTAAGCTGCTCTGCCCAAAATAACCACTGGAGGGCACTCTTTTTTTTAAATGTCCTGCAAGAATGATAACCCTTTGCTCCTCTCTGGTTTCACTTTGTCTCTGGAACAACTGACCGGTTTCCTTGGAACCCAAAACGATGATGTGGTTGGGATGCTCACAATTTAAATCTGGGCTCAGCAACCAGAATAATCCCGAGGGCCTTTCCCGTCTCGTCCGACTTTCATAGCCGCTTGGACCGAGATTCCTAGAGATCTTGGCCTCCGCAACCCGGGTTGCTCTTCTTCTTTGGTGCTGAAAATTTCCGCTTTGCGAGGCTAAGAAAGTCCAATCACGGATTACCGGCCATTCCCATCCAGCCCGAGGGCCTTCCTTTCTGACATCTTGGGTTTCTGGGAACGGAGGTTGGAGGGTACGCTGCCCCTGATCCAGGAGGCTCTCTTCCCCCTCTGGCAAACAGTCCGACTTGCCTGAATCGGTTCCAATCTGACTCGTATCAAACCTGGAGTGTTGGTTTCGCTCTTAATTAGCGCTTCCCGGGGGCCAACTTTTCAATCGTTTCATTGGAATTACGCCTTGGTCCCCCTTTCCTTTCCACTTAAGACGTCCACCGAGCCTCGTGGGGCGAGGGGACGGATTTCTAAGGCGGATTTCTATGTTCTGGGATTGCCTTCCCTCCATCCTGCGCTACAACTATCTAAAGGGCTGCCCCAAAGAAGAAAGAGAGGGTCAAGCTATTCTTCCCAGCAGCCGAAGGCAGGACAAGAAGCAACGGGTGCAAACGAAACACGGAGAGAAGCAACCTGGAAACATTTCCTGACAGTGAGAACAATTAACCAGTGGAACTGCTTGACTCCAGAAGTCGTCGGGGTCCCAAGACTGGAGACTTTTAAGATCAGATTGGATACAACCCTGTGATTCTGCTAACCAGCCCACCAATTTGACCCCCTCATTAAGAGCCCCCTCCTTGAGAGACTCCAGTTCAGAAGAAATGCTACCAGCCCATAGAAAAAAAAGGCTTGTGCATAAGTGTTGTATTTTTTGCCAGCAAACATTCACGACTTCATGTTGAAGGACGCACCCTCTCTCACACACTCACACTCACACACACACACACACACACAAGTGCACACCCATCCCTCTCTCCCATCAGGGCTTCCTCAGCCCGTAAGATCCCTTTTCCGTTCGCCTTCCCGACACCCAGGCTGGTGGGGCACCAACTCTGCTCTGGGCTGGCCCCTCCCTGCCGGGAGGGCGGAGCCAGATCCAAACCCCGCCTTTTAAAGTGCAAGAATATTGCTTTCCCACGGGACGGAAGGAAACATGCTCTTTCGGGAAGATTGCTCCTCTTTTTGACACTGGAGAAAGCTAGGAAGGAAAAGCTATCATCCCACAACTCCCAGCCCAACGTCTCCGTAGTTTGGATCTTCTCTCTGGCCCGCTCCAGGTTTTCCCAACCGAAGCAAAATTCGAACCCAGAGGGAGGGGCAGGATAGCGGTGGGGGGACGGGGTTGGGGGGGTTGGGGCGGCAAAGCCAGAGCCAGTCTTCAAACGAAGATCGGGATCCTCTCGCGGATGGTCTGTCGGCAGATGGGACAGACGTTCAAGGACACGCCGCACTCTTGGCACGACCCGTGTCCGCACTGGTAGATCATTCGGATCTGGCTGTCGATACAGATGGGGCAGGTGATCCGTTCCTCCATCTGCCGATAGCGGCTCTGTAAATCCTCCATGAGCTTCTGTTGGTTGGTGACCTCGGGGCCCGACCCACCGTCGACTTCGGAGTTGTCTGTGGCGGGGAGAGGAGAGAGGCGGTGTGAGAAAGGACGGGACCACGGACACGGTCCCCTTTCGAAGCGTCTTTGCGTTCCGTGTGAATTTCCCAGCTGGCGGCTCAAACTGAGATGTGACACGTGTTCAGTGGTGGGATTCAGCCAGTTCGGATCGGTTCAGGCGTACCAGTAATGGCGACCTGCAGATGGACCTGTCCACCCGCCCCATCCTATTTAGCCACATTTTCTAAGCCACGAGCATGCATGCAAGGGCCAACCCCCCCCTTGTGCGCGCTCACATTTTCGGCTGTGAAACCCACCGCTGCGTGTATTGCTTGGGGCAAAGGACAAAGCGGAGAAAATCATCCTCCGCGAAAAAAAGACCCAAGTATGGAATTCCCCATGATTTATTTTACTGACTTTTTTTTGGTCTTAACCGTGGTTTCTCTCTCGTTAGTTTCTGGAGTCTCTATTCTGGGGGAGGGGACCGAAGGCCGGGAGGGGGAAAAAAAGCCAGAAATTGACTGAACCAACATTGGGGTTCCCAGGCTAGTCTAAACAGCCTGTGGCTTGTTTGCAAACTGTGCGTACAACCTGATTAATGAACCTAAACGAAGTCCAAGGAGAGCACTGGTGGGATTCACCCGACAAAAAAAAACAAAAAACCCCTGGGATTCAGGAAACGTGCAAACAAGCAAATCGTGGCTTATAAAATAAGAAAACCAGCCCTAGATATGCTCTTAGGTTTCCAATTGATAAAAATGCAACCCCCGAGGAAAACTGGAGGAGGAGGAGGGCAAAGGAAAAGGAAGATTTCCGTCCCACCGTTCCTGACGGCCGATGATCATAATTAGATGGTCCCCATGCCGTTCTCTATTCCACACCTGCTGCCTAAAAGCGAGGGAAACGCCTGCAAAGAGATCAAGCGATCGGGCTCACCTTGTTTCAACTTTTTGGTAATGGTGACTTGGCATTTGATGCATTTCTTCATTCTTCTGGAACATTCTGTTTACGGGGAGAAGTTGGGAAGAGGGGAAAAGGTTGGAAGGGACATTGTTTTATATGCAAGCTGCCAACAAGCTCTCATTCTTTACTTTAGGGTTAGGGTTAGGATTTTGCAGGATCCTTCCCCTGGAGTAGGATGGGAATGAAGATTTTGCAGGATCCTTCCCCTGGAGTGGGGTGGGAATGGAGATTTTGCAGTATCCTTCCCCTGGAGTAAGGTGGGAATGGAGATTTTGCAATATCTTTCCCCTGGAGTAGAGTGGGAATGGAGATTTTGCAGTATCCTTCCCCTGGAGTGGGGTGGGAATGGAGATTTTGCAGGATCCTTCCCCTGGAGTGGGGTGGGAATGGAGATTTTGCAATATCCTTCCCCTGGAGTGGGGTGGGAATAAAGATTTTGCAGTATCTTTCCCCTTCCATGCCCACCAAGCCACACCACACCCACCAAGCTACGCCCACAGAACCGGTAGTAAAAAAAAAATTGGATTTCACCATTGGGGCAGGGGTGTCAAACACAAGGCCCGTGGGCCAAATCTGGCCCGCAATGTGCTCGGATCCAGCTCATGGGGCCATCCTGGAAAATGTAAGGGGCCGTTCGCGTAACTTCAGCCCGATCTACCCAGTGCGAAGAGGAAACATTGGGCCAATGTGGCTTCGGCCTGGTCTACCCAGTGCAAAGAGGAAACATGCCAGCATTTTGGGGAAGTGGCGTCAAACTGGCCATGCCCACCCAGTGGGCCACGCCCTGCTGCCCCCCCCCCCAGGTCAACCACAGCCCCGATGCGGCCCTCAATGAAATTGGGTTTGACACCTGCTTTAGGGAGGGGGGAAAAAACCCCAGGAAGTTAAGAAATAGATGTTTCAAGTGACAAGATACGGGAGTGAAACGCAGCGGTACCTTCGCAGACGATGCTGTGTTGGCAGGGGAAGAAGAGGACCAGCAGCGCCAGTTCCGAGCAAACCAAGCACTCCGAAGGGGCAACCGCTTTTGGCACGCTGAGATTCGTCATGGTGTTGGGGGTGGTGTGGACTCTTCTCAGGCTGCTGGTCATAGTGGAGCTCTCGGAGTCCTGCTGCTCTCTGGGACAGAAAGAGGCCGTGTAAGATGAGACACCAGCATGGCCTGGACAGGGATGGAGTGCTGCGGTGGCCTAGAGGCGGAGCTCTCGCCTCAAAATCAGGAGGCTGTCTGTTCGATCCTAGGTAGAGGCAGATATTTCTCTCTCTGGGCACAGTGAGAATATATCTGCCGAACAAAACTCCGCCCTGGAGACAGGAAAGGCATCTGGCCATTAAAACACTCTCCTAGCTCTATTCAGTTGCCCCGACTCCGCTCCGCAAGGTCAGGGGTGGCTGCAATTTAGCAGAATCCAACATCTTTTGACAGCTAAGCCCCACGTCTTCCTGAGAGGGGGGGGGAGCGTAAGGGCCGTTCGGAGCGCTGCAGAAGGGCCCCAATTTGGAAAGGGGAGCCATGCCGTGTGATCCAGAAGGGGTGCAACCTCATGCAAACTATGTCTCCAATTTTTACAGCGAGACCATTTCTGAGCTCGGAGTGGATCCCTTATCTCTAGCAACGAAGAATGTTTCCAAGGGTTCAGGAAGTCAAGAGCAGGAGAAGTTGGGACCGACCCTCACCTGTATTTATGGGAGAAATTCTGGATTAGGTGTGCAATGCTCCCGTCCAAGACGAGGTCAAGCGGAGATTTGCCTCGGTGATTGGCATAGTTGACGTCGGC